CAAACTTTCTATAATCTTGAGAATCTTCCATAGTGTAAGTCGCAACATGCATTTTTTCAACCATACGTGATCACGTGATTGCTTATATCATAAAAACTAGAGCCAATATACATTTTTAAATGTCATTTTTGTTTTCAGCACCCCAAAATCATAAAAGAACAACTATTTTCAGGCCCGCAACTTTTTCTCCGTTGAACAGTGTAATATGAAGGAACACAGTATATTTCATGTGTCATAGCATAGTCGCTGCATGTTGCGCGTCCTTTATCTGAAATGTTTGGGACCAGAAGTATTTGGGGTTTTGAATCTTCTTCTTCTTCCTCTTCTTCTTCTTCTTTTGGATTTAAATACATAATGAAATATTTTAGAGATGAGACCTACATTGAAACACAAAATTCATGTATGTGTCATATCTACCATATACATGCAGCCTGAAGGTAATTTTGCACAATACTTTTAATGATTTTGTGCACTGAACAAAGTTTGTGCACATTGAATCATCAGAAAGCCAAGGTATCACTATTTCAGAAACCCATGTACACGATTTTGGATTATTTCATACAAGGGATGCTCACCCTTTGCATTTCTATTGGTTTAACTTGTCTTAGCTTTGCCATTTTCAATAACAACTTTTTCAAACAAGGAAAAGCTCTCCTGAGGTGTTTTCGAGCATAAGATCAAAGCTACTTGCTTTAATAAGGTATTGTGAATGTAAAGTCTAATTGGATAAAATGCTCACTCACATTACAAATACTTATTTTCCTCTGTCTCTACAGGAAATATAATAGCGGTGCTGCTTATACTTACTGTATGAATATGCCAACTGTTATTTTTAAGGAACCTGCTGTGACTACATTTTCCCATGAGTGAGAGGTCACCAAAGCCTTGGGGGATGTTTCTTTTTCAAACCTAGTTTCAACTGCAGTGCTGAAATTTCAGAACTTCAAAGAAGAGTGTTACATTCAAGCATAAAAATCAAACAAAAAGAACAACTGTATTCTTGTGTGCTTTCTCAAAGTTTGGTCATGTGAGATTATACCAAACCACAATGATGTTTTCACTTCAGAAATCAGCTTCCTATGGATCAGGAACAGTTGCTTCTAGCAAGAACCAAATGCTGCATTCTGTTGTGCATTCAGCCCCAGAAGCAGAATGCTGGAGAGACAATTGAACTGCTGTGCAGTCCATTTTATACTTGTTATTCTTTATTTATTTATATTGGTATTCGCAATCCTTTGCTATACAAAGGAGGAGACAATTAGGGAAGTGTCTGTTTGGTGAGACAATCAATGAATCAAATGCTAACAGCCTGTCCTTACCTCAGTTTGTTATAGAAATTACTTTCTGCTGGTTCCTTCCAAAGGAAAAATATGTCATTTTTGCCACTCAGCACTGGACCGCTTTTTATTTTGTGTCAATTACTAAAACTACTTCCCCCCACCAAAACAAAAAGTTACATAAAAACAAGGTATAAATTGTAATTCACTGCAATAGTTTGCTACATTCTCTGTTTGTCTGGGAAAAGGTGCATTTGCTTCATGTATCAGGTTAAATCCTATTCTTCCAAAAACTACTATTGTACTTGTAGAATCAGTAATCTGCTTCAACTGGGCTCTCTGACACAGGAGGGTTGCCGGCAATGCAAAGAGGCAGCTCTATTGTAAGAGAGAGGGAGGGAGTGGCAAGACATGGGACACTTCCTGAGAGGCTTGAAAAGCCTCGTGTCCAGCTGGTAGGGATACCCTTTGAGCTAGCCGTGTGAGGAGGGTTGACTGAGACAAGATAGTAGCCTCTTGAGGAGTGGCTCTGGGAATGAGAGGAGTAGACCTGGGGTCTTGTACCTGTTGAGGTTCCAGGGGAACATATGGAGGTAGTGGAACTGGGGTAAGGAAGGTGTTCCTCAGTGCATTGAGGTGGACATAAGGGTTGCTTTTTGGTATCAGGTCAAGGCTTGGCTGGCCCTGAGTGGATAGCTTTTGGCAGCAGTATCAGCCTCGGCAGAAGCAGAGGGGGTTGCAATGGAGTCATCTTTGCAGAACATAAGTTGAGTCTCTCAACTTTCCCCTCCTCCAAAAGCAAAAGTTAACAGGTGGTCTCCACACCCCACCTTGCAGCCTTCTTCTAATCCCGAGCCTTCTCTTTTCCTTGGAACATCTGTCTGCTTACTTTTGGTTTGCATTGTTCCTTTGGGCCAGGGACCCAGCTACTGTGCTTCTCCTCAAGAGATCAAGCCAATGGACCTCAACAGAGTCATGTAAGGGACTAGGACACAGACCATGCTGTGACAGACTTTGTATTTCTAGGTGCAAATATTACTGCAGGTGCAGTCTGCAGTTAGGAAATCAGAAGATGCTTACTTCTTGGGAGGAGAGCAATGACCAATCTCGATAAAATAGTGAAGAGTAGAGACATCACACTGACAACGAAGCTCCACATAGTAAAAGCAATGGTATTCCCTGTAGCAACCTATGGATGTGAGAGCTGGACCATAGGGAAGGCTGAGCAAAGGAAGATAGATGCTTTTGAATTGTGGTGTTGGAGGAAAGTTCTGAGAGTGCCTTGGATCATGAGAAGATCCAACCAGTCCATAATTCAGGAAATAAAGCCTGACTTCTCATTGGAGGGAAGGATATTAGAGGCAAAGATGAAGTATTTTAGCCATATAATGAGAAGACAGGAAAGCTTAGAGAAGACAATGATGCTGGGGAAAATGGAAGGAAAAAGGAAGAGGGTCCGACCAAGGGCAAGATGGATGGATAATATCCTTGAAGTGACTGGCTTGACCTTAAAGGAACTGGGGGTGGTGATGGCCGACAGGGAGCTCTGGTGTGGGCTGGTCCATGAGGTCATGAAGAGTCAGAAGCAACTGAACGAATGAACAACAACAACAACAAATGATTAGACAATTCATGCCTGGTGAGTATATGCTAAACCAGATAGGTCAGGACAAAAAAATCAACTCACCAGGTTGAAGACAAGAGGTTTATTATGATTTGGCAAAAAAGGATGCAAGTACAGCAATTTGCTTCAAAATGTACAAGCATCAAGTTACAGAGAAATACAAGACATCTTATACAGTTCTGACAGCCATTCAACCCTCCCACCCCCTCCCCTGATTGGCGGGAAAGTTGTCTGGTCAGGATATGCAGCAGGGTTGGCTGGGAGCTTCGTTGACGTCACCAGGGATTCCTTCGGTGGGGAGAATGGAAGCTGGGGATTGGTCAGAGTGGAGAACCAATCAGCTGTAGAGAACCCCCTGAGAGGGTGTAGTCCCAGGAAAACAATGGCACAGATATGCTGATGGGCTTTTGATTCTCTCAAATGTTCAGTTCTGTGCCAAACAAAGATATGGAGTTCAAGAGACAAAGGTGCAAGACTCAAAAGACAAGGGTGCTGATCTTGGGTAATCAATGTCTTGCTGTCAGTAAAAGAGTTAAAAAATGCACATACTTTAAGCTTCTATTTCCATAAAAGAGAGACAAACCCCCATCTTCATATAAATTGTACAAACATTTTGGGCTTATCTGGCTGGCAAAGAAAATCACCTATCCTTGCATACACACAATGAATCTGGTAATTTACCTGTCTTGGAATTTGCCCAACTTTTTCCATTCCCAGGAGATTATCTTAATAGGGTCTGAACTGCACAAACTATCACTCATTCAAGATAGTAAGCTCCCACCACCCTACAACAGCGGGAGATGGCACCAAGGTTATAACCCAGACTTCTTATTTGTGAGTGACAGCATTGTACAGCAATGCACTAAATCAGTGGGACCACCAATCCCAAACATACAGCACCGACCAATAGTATGCCAACTGTTTCCAACTATAAGGCCCCAGGAAGTTCAATTTAAATGAAGATTCAACTTCAGAAAGGCAGATTGGACTAAATTCTCAGACATGTTAGATGACATGATCACATTGCTCACGCCAATCCCTGAGAAATACGAGCACTTTATCGAAATAGTGAAAACCTGCTCACGGGCCTCTATACCGAGAGGCTGCAGAACCAACTACCTTCAAGGCATTACTCCTGAAACAGCTACCTTGTTGGAAAACTACCACAGGCTCCGCAACGAAGACCCATTTAGTGAGCAGACCCTTCAGGCAGCGCAGAACATTGTGTCCTCCATCTCTGAAGCCAAGAAAGAACAATGGATCAAGCTGATCACAGAGGTCAACATGGGCAGGAGCAGCCAGAAGGCGTGGAGGCTGCTAAGACGGTTGAGCAACGACCCCTCACAAACTAATACCCATGCCAACATAAAGGCAGATCAGATAGCACACCAACTCGTGAAGAATGGGAAACTCAACCTTGCCACCAAAGTAGGAAAGAAACCAATAACCACTTAACCAGACAATCAGAGGATGTAGGTTAACTACAACTCCCAAACCAAGGTCAATGCCCATCAAACCCTTCCAGTATTCTCTGTGCGAGTTCTGTGTACCAAGTTTGGTTCAATTCTATCATTTGTGGAGTTCAGAATGCTCTTTGATTGTAGGTGAACTATACATCCCAGCAACTACAACTCCTAAATGACAAAATCAATTTTTGAGTGATGGTCACTCATTGGGTTGTTGGGCGTATTCTGTCCAAATTTGGTGTCAATTCGTCCAGTGGTTTTTGAGTTATGTTAATCCCACAAACGAACATTACATTATTATTTATATAAGAAAATAGATTACTCTGTGAGTTGCCAGTTCTTCCTCTACAGCTGCTGCCTAGCTCTTTAAATGTTTGGAATAGTGAGATCCCTCTTGTCCTGCTACTATTCATTTGAGAATCCTTCCCTTTTGGGGGCAGGTTAGTATCCGCTTCTGTCAGCACTGAAAAGCCACAAAGGAAACATTACTAGTAGCGACCAAAGAGGAACAACCGACTGCACCCAGTCCCTCCCACCGTGCATGCCAATCCAAGGCAGAATATCGCGAGAGCGCTGCGAAAGCCACAGATGCGTGTGGGATTGAAAACTACACTTCCCAGCATGCCTCGGGGGCTCTCGTCGACTCCCGCTCTCTCCCGGCGCTTTCGCGGGCGCTCAGGGCGCGGCGGTTGAATGGTGGGAAAGCCAAGGCAGCCGGGATGAAGGCAGCAGCAGCCTCCGCTGCTCCGTCCCTTTCGCCGCTGATCCGGAAACTCCGTAAGTACATCCACGCCAAGGAATTAACCCAGTTTGGCACCACTTGAACTGCCCTGGCTCAGTGCGGTGGGCTCCTGGGAGTTGTAGTTTGTTGGGGCCCAGGAAGGCTAGAGACAGGCTTTGTGAAAAACCTCAGCTCTCGGGACTCTGTAGCTTTGAGCTATGCCAATTAAAGCGTGGCCAAACTGCATTGATCCTGCAATATAGACGCACCCAACCACCTTTAAATTGCTTAATTCGACCTTTTCAGCAGCAGCAGAATCATAGAGTTGGAAAAGACCACATGGGTCACCTAGTCCAACCCACTGCCATGCAGGAAAAGCACAATCAAAGCACCCCCGACAGATGGCCATCCAGCCTCTGTTTAAAAGCTTCCAAAGAAGGAGTCTCCACCACACCCCGAGGCAGAGAGTCCCACTGTTGAACAGTGGACCAATGTGCCTCTCTCAAGCGAAATAACACTCCCCCTTTCAAAGACACAGTGCTCTGTGTTGCACTTGAACTGTATGTGATTGTTACTCATTCCTAGAATGTACTGTCTGACCTTTAGGAAACTACCATAATATTGGAGCCCCCAGTGGCGCAGCAGGTTAAAGCACTGATCTGCTGAATTTGCTGACCGAAAGGTCACAGGTTTGAATCCGGGGAGCGGGGTGAGCACCGGCTGTTAACCCCAGCTCCTGCCAACCTAGCAGTTCAAAAACATGCAAATGTGGTTAGATCAACAGGATCCACTCCAGCGGGAAGATAACAGTGCTTTGTGCAGTCATGCTGGCCGCATGACCTTGGAGTTGTCTGTGGACAATGCCGGCTCTTTGGCTTAGAAATGGAGATGAGCACCAACCCCCCGAGTCGGACATGACTGGACTTAATATCAGGGGGAAACCTTTACTTTTTACCATAATATTTGTTATTATCTCTCTCCCCACATTGCACATTATTATGTATATTTGTGTACAGTACAATTCCTGGCACAGGCTGCTTAGAAAAGTGCCTGGCTTTCTTTGCCAAGGAAAGGACCTCTGTCTCCTTGCTCAGTTGAGAGAGTTGCAGGCCTCTTGATTGAAAGTTGACAGTGTTTTCAATTGTGTTTTAAATTCTGACAGCTCATCTAGCTGTTGGATTTCATCCCGCAGGTTATTCCACAGTCGCTTGGCAGCCTCTGGGTGATGGTTGCCAGTCGGGTTATTGCTGGTTGGAGTAGTGTCTTAAAGGCAGATTGTGCAGGAGAATGTGATCCTGGAGGTAACCTGGACCCAAACCATGTAGGGATTTAGAAGTCAAAACCAGCACTTCATCCAGAAACTAAGTGGCAACCAGTTTTAACATGGGTGTAATATGCTCACTGGACGTTGGTCGAGAAAGGAGTCTGTGGTCCCTTCTATACAGCTGAGTAAAAGCCCACATTTTCTGCTTTGAACTGGAATATATGGCAGTGTAGACTCAGACAGGAGCCCCTGGTGGTGCAGCGGGTTAAATCACTGAGCTGCTGAACTTGCTGACCAAAAGGTCGGCAGTTCGAATCCAGGAAGCGGGGTGAGCTCCCACTGTTAGGCCCAGCTTCTGCCAACCTAGTAGTTCAAAAACACAAATGTGACTAGATCAATAAGTACCAGTTCAGTGGGAAGGTGATGGTGCTCCATGCAGTCATGCTGGCCACATGACCTTGGTTGGAGGTGTCTATGGACAACGCCGGCTCTTCGGCTTAAAAATGGAGACGAGCACACACACACACACACCCCAGAGTCAGATACGACTAGACAATGTCAAGGCGAAAACTTTACCTTAGACTCATATAACCCAGTTCGAAGCAGATATTGTGGGATTTTCTGCCTTGATATTCTGGGACTATATGGCTGTATGGAAGGGCCCTAAGTCGGTGAAGAGTGAGGAGACGGAGACTCCTTTCTTAGTCAAGAGGGGCAGACTGACTGCATGTGGTCCTGGCCCCTCTTGGCTAAGGAAGGAGTCTCCATCTCCTCACTCGGCCCAGAGACACACACAAAGAGATATGAACTTCTCTCAGCCAAGGAAGGAGCTTTTGACTCCTTGTTCCACCTAGAGAGGCATGGACCGCTCTCCTTTATGGAGTCATGTGCCCATCTTAGAAGGGGGCTGTGCCCCCTCTTCTGCTGAGAGATAGGCAGCTTGGCAGCACAGAGCACTTGGCTGGGGATGGAGTCTCCTTCTCTTTATTTGGCTGAGAGAGTCGCCTTGGTGTGGGGTCATGCACTTTGCTCAACTGAGGGAAAAGCCTTATATCTTTATTTCCCTGTGATAGGCATGAGCTGCACAAAGCCACATGCCCCATTTGGAGAAAGAAAAAGTCCTTGACCCCTTACTCAGCTGATGGAGGCATAGGCAGTTTGGCAGCATGCAGACCTTTTCCCCTCTCAGCCGAGGATGACATCTCCATCCTCTTTTTTCAGCTGAGAGAGACGTGCTTCTTTTAGCAGAAAAGGCTCCATCTCTTTGCTCGGCTGTAGACACAGAACCATGCACCATTCTCAACAAGAAAGGACTCTCCATCTTGCTCGACTGAGAGGTGCAGGCAACCCAGGTTCATAGAATCATAGAGTTGGAAGAGACCACATGGGCCATCTGGTCCAACCCTGCCATGATAACAAAGCACAATCAAACCACCCATGATAGATTGTTTCCACCACACTTCAAGGCAGTGATTTCCACTGTTGAAACAGCTCTCACGGTCAGGAGGTTCTTCCAAATGTTTAGGTGCAATCTTCATTCCCGTAATTTGAACCCATTGCTCCTAGTCTCCAGGGCCGCAGAAAACAAGGTTGCTTCCTCTTCCTTGTGATGGGTTAGGTGATGTTACATGGTCAAGGAAAGAGTCTTTGTCCTCTTCTGCTGTTCTGCTCTTAGCTGAGGAAAGATGTGGGCAGACCTACTGTACAGAGCCATGTGCCTCTTCAACCTGAAGCTGGAGTCTCTGTCTTCTCATTTGGCAGAGAGAAGCATGAACTACCCAGATGCATGGTGGCATGTGCTCCTCTTGCCAGAGGAAGGAGTGTCCCTCCCCTTCTTCAGCCAAGAGAGATGCAAGCAACCTGGTTAGTTTGAGCCACTTACACCTCTCAGCTGAAGAAGGACTCTACTTATTCACCTGGGACAGTTATGTTCCTTTCAGCCAAAGAGGGAATCTATGACTCCTTTTCAACTGATAGAGGTAAAGGCAGCCAAATTGTGTTTTGCCACTTGATCTCTCAGCAAAGGAAAGAGTTTTTGGCCCCTTCCACACAGGCACAGAAACCAAAACCTGTCTTTGTTTTACTGGAGCCATCCCAATGATGCCACCGGGGAAAAATGAATTAATCTGGAACAAACCAGGGTTTCCCGAAATAATTAAACACCTGATAAGAGCCAGAATTTATTGTAAGATCCTGGTCTTATTAGGTGCCCTGTGTGGATTGGACCCAGGGACCAAGTCACATGATTCATGGGCCCAATCCAAACAGCCATCTTGATTTTTCAGGTTCCAAGAGCCCGAAAAACCAAGAAGGCATCTAATCCTCCCCGCAAACCCCAAATATATCCCTAAAAAAAGTTTAAAAAAAACAACAACCCTTATCTGGCCATCATAATGTTCCTTCTTGCACATGCCTGGGGTGAGTAAATGATGTAGGGGAGGGGGGAAGGACAGACCTCCTTAGTCTCCTGGCAAATCATTCCCTCGTGTCATGAGGGTGTTAGGAGGAACACTATGGCGGCCAGGTAACAGAATGGGCAGAAATTTGGGTGGCCCTTGGTTGACCGGATTTTTGGATGGGAGTGGGGACAGAAATCCGAGCCAAAGAGGGGTTTTAAAACCTGCTTTGGAGTGGATTTCTGGGTTGTCTGGAAGTGCCCTTTGTCTCCTTGCTCAGGCCAAAGAGAGTGAGCAACTCAGGTTTTTTTGTACTATGCCTTTTTCATTGGCATGAACCATCAATTTATCTCTAATTTCTGTTTGCGCTCTAAAATTAAAGTTGATGTAACAAAGCATTACTGTCCCACATCTATATCTTCCTGTATTAATGTATCTGTAAACTTTGAGAAAGGCTGGTAGGTAATAAGACACATTGGAAGCTTTGAACCATGCACCTCTCTCTACAGTAAATGAGTTTCTGCACCCTTTCGCACAGCCATATAGCCCAGAATATCAAGGTAGATAATCCTCACTCAATATCTCCTTTGAACTGGATAAGTCCACACTCTCTTATAATCCAGTTCAATGTGGATTTTATACAGCTGTGTGGATGGGGCCTCTGTCTCCTTGTTCAACTGAGAGAGGCCAGACAGTGGTATCAAATTTGTTTTGGGTTTCTGTACCATATTTAATGAGGATTTAGTTACATATCTCTGCAAAAAACTATCTGATTTGAGAGACCCAGAGCACAACTTCTCGCCTTACAGGAGCATACAATCCCATCACCAGGTGGCGGTGAGTAGATGCCACATTATCCCTTGATGACTCCCTGATTCCTTTATTTGTTTGTTTTAAAGAATCCAGATTATTTGCTGGTTTAGGGCCCCAGTTGATAACATGGGTTAGATTGCAAAACCAATTATAATAATGATGAAAATTGTTTTTTGTACTTTTAAAGTAGCCATACCTTGCTTGAATGCTGTTTGCTCTCAGGGGAATATTTGATTGGCTTGTTTTGTTTTGTTTTCATTTTTCTAATGAGATTGTTTGGTTGCCCCCAGGATATTTCTGTGTTGATTGAAATTAATGTTGCATTTATTTTACCTACATTTAGAGTAGTTTGTTGAATGTTTTGGCTAGTGAGAGCCAACCCTAGAGCCAGGTTTCTAAATGATATGCAATGTGAGCAAAAGCAATGTAAAATAAAACTGGGATGCATGTTCCTTGGGTGGAAGCTTTGTTTATTGAATCCCATTAGACAAATAAAAAAGTGATGCTGTGGTTGCTTAGGCATAAATAAGTACTATTCAGTTGAAAACGATGTATACAAATTGTGCTTTGATTTTCAGACTCACATATAGATGTAGCATCTCATAGTTCTAATGAAAAAGATCCTGGCTAATAACAATTTAGTAGGATGTGGATGTAAGCCTATATATATGCGCGCGTGCGCGCGCGCGCACACACACACACACACACACACATACACACACAGTATTTATATTCTGCCCTTCTCACCCCAAAGGGGACTTGGGGCAGATGACAGAACACATACTGCTGTATACAGCAAAAATTCAATGTCATTATACACTGACAAGACAGACAACAGTACAGATGGAGGTAGATAGACTTTCGGTGTCCTGGAGGTTTTGCTCAATTCCGGCCACGGGGGGGGGGGGGGGGGGGGGGGTACTGTTGCTTCATTCTCCATGCTAGAGCCCTGTTCACAAACTTTCTCCTTTTTGATCGAATCACCAGCATTTCCTGGTATTTCCTTATGGTGCCATTAAAATACCTTCCCGCTACCCTATTTATCTACTCACAGCTGTTTTCGATCTACTAAGTGGGCGCTCACCCAGACCCAGGCTTAGAACTGCCAACTTTTTCTTTGGCAAGATTTATTGCATCTGGTGGTTAACCTACAGTGCCAAAGCCCGGTCATTACTAACTCTCCAACCTCAAGGTTAAATGCTATACATAAGTGCTGGGAAAAATAGGATGTCAACAAACATTTTAAAAATAGAATTTAATGTAGAGATTCAATTTATTCATCTGATACTTGCCTTTCTAGCAGCTGGGAATATCTAACAAGCTTATATTTTGAGTTGAGACCCGACATATCTTTTGTGTTGAACAGTTTTTTGTAAAAATAAGGATGGGATTGTCATTTTTTATTATCAGTAATAGAATCTGTTTGGTATATACATTACAAAAATACTTTTCGGATGATAATTGCCAGGATCCCCCAGCAAGATGAGCAGCTGTTATGTTGACTAATAGATTCTCAGGGTTTCCCTTTTTGAACGTTGGAAAAAAAGTCTTTGACTTACAAAAACTGTATTGTGTATATGGCTATGCTCAATTGTAGAATGAGGAGGGAAGAATAAAAACACAGAGTCTAATGGCCATGCTTAAAATAGTGTAAATCTATTGGAAGGAATGGGGCAATTTAATCATGATCAATCTAAGAGACAACAGGAAGCATCCAGCCAATGTATTCTAAATGTACAGCAAATTCTTGGATATAATCACTCACAACTAATTCCCATTGATTTTGTTAATGCCTGGTAAGTGAATGTTGAATTGCATTATTAAATGCCTGTCTATATAAATAAATGACAGCTAGTGTTTTTCACTTTAGCCTCTGACTTACTAAGCTTCCTGCATGTCTGCAGGTGTACATGAAAATCAGTGCATCTGAAGTGCAATATAAGTTCTCTTTTCAGCCAAAAGGCAAATCAGGGAATAGTAATTCAGCCTGTAATGGGTAGTGCTACACTTGCCCTGATGTTTCAGGTGAATAACTTGGGCATACTCCTGGTCTCAGCCCTAAGTTAAGACTAATATGCCAAATGTGTCCATTCCTGGAGATGTCAGATCTGGCAAACACATGCCTTGATCACATCCACTTTGGATTACCCTAAAACATTCCATAGGAGGCTGCCTTTGGAAACTGGAACTTAAGCAGGTCCAAGGTGCTGCAGTTAGATTGCTGGGCCATCGTTCAATCTACTGTTTACAATCTCTAAAGGCCTAAATTCAACAAACAAAGAAATACTGAGTTAAGTTCCCCCACTCACTGAACACCCGTATATCTCCATTTTAGCTTCCTTTGGTCTCGTTTTAGAGGGATAAAATAAGATAGCAATTATTTTTATATTATTATTATTATTATTATTATTATTATTATTATTATTATTATTATTGAATTATATGAGGATTGCATGCCTCCACATCACCCACACAGATTTGTTTGGTAAAGAAATGGAGATAAGCTTTAAGATGACCCCTCTCTACTCATTTTTTATTGACGACACAGGCTTTTTAAAAAATTAAACAGCCTTTAGCTGTTGCTTTCTCCATTTGAAATATCTTTCATTTTTGTTCTGTCTTTTGAACAGGTCATCAGCTGGCTGAGATTCGAGAACGAGCTCTTAGGAACATTTTGTGTAAATTAGACCACTGTTTGATTACATATGCTGATCTGGTGCAAGAAAAGTTGCTCTTTCTGAGTCTTTTAGAGTGGTTCAACTTTCCTGTGGTACCAATGAAAGAAGAAGTCTTACATTTATTAAGCAACTTGGTAAAGGTATGCCTTTCTGTACTGCTTGCTCCTATGTGATATTGTCTAATATTCTAGCCTGTATTATAATGGCACATCTGGAAAAGTAGACTCTTTCAGAAGGTGCCTTTTACTTCAATGCTTCTTAATTTATTTCATCTCAACCCCCCCCCCCCCCCAAAAAAAAAATAATCATGATTTATTTTTAACCTGGTATTGTCTTGGTAATTTTAGCATCCATCAGCTGTGGAGGAGTTAGTTGGGATCGGAGCAGTCGAGTTTTTCTCCCAACTTCGTCCAAACGTGGATCCAAATCTACAAGCTATGATTGATGGGATTCTGGATGGACTATTTGTGCTACCTTCAGAAATATCTTCTGATTATCAGGCACTGCCTCATGAGGCCCATCCCTGCCCAACAGTGGCCGATCCTAGTAAGTTACACCTTTGCTTTTGATGTATTTATTAGTGAAGTGCAAATCTTATATTGAAGACTGTGAGTTTACTCAGGCCGGTTATTGTCTCTTGTTAATACACATTCATATTTGTTACTGTTAACTCTTTAATTTCTAGAGGAAGAATGTCAGTTTAGAAACACGCATATTGAAAAATTGAAGAGACAAAATAGGGCTATATGGCAAAATTTCTCCTTTCAAAGAAATCCTTATCGCATTGTAATAACAGTTTAGTTCATTAGGAAGAGTAAGCTGTATAATATGGGAAATGCAGTTTCTTATTATAGTTCAATATCTTTAAGTTTTGTCCCAAGATACCCGCATTGGATATTTCCAGCAAGGGGAAAGTTATCTACAAGACACAGAAGTACCACCCAAGCAACAAAATGGTAGGTATTTGACATGCCTATATGTACTTACTTACTTACTTAGGCGATCCCTCATAGTCCAAGGATGATGGTCCTCCAAGTGTAGTGTCATGGCGGTGGGTCCATAGGTGGCTGTGGAGCCCAATTTTTGATCTGCATGTTCTCCTGCAGTGAGACATTGGTTTCCAGGTGGAAGACAGTCCCAGTCAGGGTTGACTTGACGCACTTTCCTCTTGGCACGTTTCTCCCTTTCTTCCTCCATTCATGCCTCATTGATTTCTGCAGTGGTGCTGCTCACAGCTGACCTCCAGTTAGAGCACTCTAGGGCCAGGTCTTCCCAGTTCTCGGTGTCTATGCCACAATTCTTAAGGTTGGTTTTAAGTCCATCTTTAAATCTCTTTTCCTGTCCACCAACATTACATTTCCCTTTCCTGAGTTGGGAGTATGGTCACTGCTTTGGGAGATTGTGATCGGGCATACGGATAACGTATCCAGTCTGGCGGAGTTGATGGTGTAGGAGCATCACTTCAATTCTGGTGGTCTTTGCTTCTTTTAGCATGCTGACATTTGTCCACCAGTCTTCCCAAGAGATTTGCAGGATTTTTCAGAGGCAATGCTGATGGAACAATTTCAGAAATTGAGTGTGACATCTGAAGACAGTCTACATTTTGCAGGCGTATAGCAGGGTTGGGAGGAAAATAGCTGTATAAACAAGCACCTTGGTATCCCTACGGATGTCTCGGTCCTCAAACACTCTCTGCTTCATTCAGAAAAATACTGCACTTGCAGAGCTCAGGCGGTGTTGTATTTCAGTGTCAATGTTGACTTTTGTGGAGATGTGGCTGCCAAGGTAGTGGAAATGGTCAACAATTTCTAATGTTACACCATTAATGCCTATATGTAAGAGGTGTTTGCACCTGTGGGTCTATGTCCTCCTTTGATCTGCCTATGCCACTTTCTCAGTATTGTCTTCTTTTTTTTTTAACTCTTATGGTGTCGAAGTAATGAAATCAGGGAGGAAACTTTGTGTAGGGGCATGAAGAGCGGAGTTAAAGTCATAGTACAGCTTTAGCCTCAATGGGAGAGTCAGTATACAGGAAGTCCCCTAGTTATGAGCAAGATAGGTTCTGTAGGTTTGTTCTTAAGTTGAATTTTAATTTAAGTCAGAACAGGTACTTACTATATTTAAGTGTAACCATGTATGTGTCTATCTATCTACCTATCTATGTTTGGATATCATATGGGTTAATACCCCTGTGGTGTTTGTTTTGTTGTCTGTGCCCCTATTCAGAAGATTTCACTTCACTTTCTGTCCTTTGGATAATTGGATTTTGAAAACATTGGCTGGTTGTGGAAACAAGGATTGATAATAAAGCTTATTATTAATTATTCATCATGGTAAAAATCAAGACACCCTTTCCCCATGATAACATTTCAGGAGTGATTTTACCTTCTGAGGGGTAGATTTCTCTCACTTTGTGTTGTCTCACCTCCATTCCTAACTATAAGTCCTTTGTAAGTCGGATGTTGTAACTTGGGGACTGCTTGTATTCTATGGCTTTTGAACACTTAGGGGCCATAGAATAGCAGTGCCAATAGCTTAATCTGCTTATTGGCAGTTTTCTTGGTATCTTATTTCTAATTTTAGTAAAAGTACAGTTCTGGAAATAAGCTTCAAGGCAGAGCAACATGCAATAAAGTTTTCTGAAGACTGATTTGTTGGGATATGGGCTAGAACATTACAGCCTCTGAGAACTAGTCATTGTTGACAGCAGAAATTATTCAACACAAGATCAGATTCATCTGTAATAAAAGCATTATCGATTTGTAGTATAAGAATAATCAATAAATGTTTGTTTACTTTATGTTGAAGTCATAGTGCTCACAAAAATTACTTCTCTTTCCCTCAACCAGTGAACCACAGAGTGAAATGTCTGAAGTTTTCTACATTCCCTTGGTTATCTCTGACCACAACAGATAGGCATGTTCTTTCGTCAAGTGAAAGGTACATTACATCAATTGTGTTTTAATTTCACCTTATGCCAAACTGTGTTTGAGAGCCTTTGTAGCTCTAGTGAAGTGTAATATGGGATCAAATATGGATAAGGTTGTAGGGAAAGGAAGAAGGACTGTTTGCAGAAATCCCAACACTCTCTGTGGCTCAACTTAAGGATGCAGTTAGTTATGCTACCCATCTTTTGTTGCACTGGCCATCAGTTGAAACCATTTCTGCAAGAAGCCTGAGCATCATTAGGCAAATACATTGTGAATGATTGCCACAGCCCCCGGTGGCGCAATGGGTTAAACCCATGTGCAGGCAAGACTAAAGACCGACAGGTCGCAGGTTTGAATCCGGGGACAGCACAGATGATCTCCCTCTGTCAGCTCCAGCACCCCATGCGGGGACATGAGAGAAACATCCCACAAGGATGGTAAAACATCAAAACATGCGGGCGTCCCCTGGACAACGTCCTTGCAGACAGCCAATTCCCTCACACCAGAAGCGACTTGTAGTTTCTCAAGTAATTCCTGATATGAAAAAAAAATGTCATAGCAAGAATTTATTGGGAATAGGGGACTCTCAGAGCCTTCTTAGTACAGTTTGTGGTGGAATGCAAATAGGGTGGAGTTAAAAAAAATCAAATTTAAAATGAAACTGCTATCATAGCTTCTTTAAAAAATAGTAAATACCATTAATTAAACATATGTTTTCAGCTCATTGAGAAGTAAAAGTCACAGATTAATTTGGAATACCTGTGAGCTGTTGCAATATGTTATCATGCAAGACTTTCCTGCTGAGATCTTTCTTCAGAGACCAAAGATTGTACAGGTAAGGAGTACTTTTAACTGAAATATTTCATTGCTGACAGGTCGAGATATATTTGAAAAACTTAAGCAATTCTGATGCTTTGGGGGAGTAGCCTTTTTTTCGTGTGAGGAGTGGGCTCAAACTAAAAGGACAGAAACCAAGAAAAAATTGTAATTATGTTGACTTCTTGGATTTCATAGGGTTTTCTTAGGCAAAAAATATTCAGAGATGGTTTTGACATTTTCTTGTACTGAAGTGTAGCCTAAAGCACTCAATATTTGTTGGTAGACTCCCAAGTGCTAACCAGAATTGACCTGTGCTACACAAAAATTGTACAAAGAAATATGAATTCACACTATACCAGAGACAGTGCTATGTTTCACAGCAAATGCACCTTAATTTTTACCATCTAATGAAGAAAATTAACGAAACAGTACACAAAAAATGGAATTAATAAAGATGTTTATGGTTTTTAGACATAGTTTCATGTGGACACAGTTTTAAGGACTAGGATATCAATGTTATGAAGTCTGATTCAACTCTGGAAATATTGAATTAGGCTAGCACACTAAAATTTTGCACCCACTTCAAAAGCTATGCCATAGGTTCTGATATGCTGTTAGAATGTTTTTCCATCATATGGAAATGATATGAGAGACATTTGTGTGAATGTAAGTTATACTTGTTGTCTGACATATACACATGGCTATAGATATATGATTCTGATTTTTAACACAGTGTAGATATGGCAATAATCTGAAGTTTTGTTTACGCCAGGAGCTCCTCTCTCTAACTACACTGGCTCTTGGAAGCGATGGGCAATACCGTTTGGCCTTACAGGGTATCTTATGCCTGCAACAATTATGTGTCTTCTTAAGAAACAGGCTTAACTTCCATAGAGATCCAAGTTTTCTTTCAAGTGATACAGGTTTGTATATAACTATAACTGAGTAAGCAAATTATTGAGTATACTGCAACCAGACACTGAGAGTTTCCCTCCATTTCTCTGGAAACATGTTTATTTATATGCTTCTTTTCCATGGTAGATATTGAGAAAGTGTTACATAATATAAAACAAAGTTACCAAATAATTCAATAACAGTTGTAACTCAAAGCACATCTAAACTGGACATCTCACAGAACTAAATATGCATTAAGATAAAAAAATCCACTGATTATTCCCAGTAATTTATTAAAAGAGAAAAACAAAAAGAGAAATCTATGTGTCTATAGAAATTATACATTTAATCCATAGCTAAATGTTGTTACAACCATAACACTTGAAGAAAATCTTAGACAAGTGTTGTCTAAGTACCTTTAGTTGGAGTTACCCAGGCTTCCACCTTCCCAAACTAGGTTCAAATGTACCAGCCAGAGCACCAGAATCTTGCACAGCTCATGGTAAGATGATCTCCAGGGTTCTGTTGTAAGATTTGTAACTAGAGCCAGTCGAAGTCCCATTCTCCTAGACAGGAAGAAATGAAAGCCGGGCTCATAGAAGACCAAGGTCTTGAAGGAAACTCAAAGCGGCTTAACATGAACGTATTAACATACAATTTAAAATATACAAATATGCAAACATTAAGACAAGATAAAATATAAACAGTATTAAAATAATTCCTGGTTAAAAACCATTGAAAAAGATATTCAAAGTTAAAAACAACACCCCCTGACTTGATCTTAAAAACCTTCATCTTTAAAAGCATGTCTGAATAAAAAGGTTTTAGCCTGCCACCAGGACAACAGGAAGGGGTGCATTCTGGCTTCCCTGGGCAGGGAGTTCAGAGTTGAGGGGCAACCACAGAGAAGGCTCACTCTTTTGTTCCTACCAATTAAGCTTGAGATGGAGGTGGGACCAAGAGAAGGCCCTCTTCTGAAGAACTCAGGGCCCGGGCAAGTTTTGTAAAAACTAAAAGCTAAAACAACCCTAACGGCTCTAAGTTCACTTCTTCCAATATGTATTTTTCATGTCAAACAGTACAGAGAGGCCCTGAACCCTATCTAAAAAGTAAATGGTCATAGTTTGAGGTTTCCAGGAACAGTAATTCACTTTGTTTTGGTCAGACAAAAATCAATTTGAGGCTTCAGGAGCCGATCTAAGGGCCAAAGTTCATCCAAACTTAGTCTAGGACTTAAAAAACTCATAGCTAGAATGTCTTCACATGCCTTCAATTGCGGAAGTCTTTGTAATTGAAGACTTTCAGATACCTTTCAGAATTTGCAGCTACAGTAAGCATGAACTCTACACTCAGAAAAAGTACAATATACTGTTTACAGAAATTATTTACGTATACATTCCAGGCTCATATGTTATCTTGGAATCAAAAGTATCTACCCATGATATGTAACATAGGATCCTAGGGACTATAAAGAAGAGTTTGTCCATGTTATGTAAAACACCATTATAGAGGTATAGCACGAAGAACATTGGTTTTCCTTGCCATGTACAATTAGCTGGTACAATAGCTCTACAGTTAAGGCCTTTAATATGCTTACATGGCTTTTATGTCCTTTATCAGATTTTGCTTAGAATGATATAAATACATCTGATGGAAAATATTTGATCAAAGTTTACTGCAAAATATATGAAAAGTTGCCCCTTTGTCAGCAATGGGGATCCTAGTAGAATGTACTTCATTCTCCTCTTTGTTTTTCTGCCTGGCTGAAGACATAATGACGTCAAGGCCTTTGCTATGCTCCTGATATCATCTCACCTCAGGAGAGGGTTGAAGAAAATCTGCTCCCCTGCGCAAAACCAGTTTCCCTACCCTGCCTTTATGCTGAACTAATTTGTTTCATTTTGTTTTCTATGGGGTGAATGCATAGGGGTTTAAAATAATAATTTAAAATGTGTATTCTGTTGTAATGTATTTTAATCTTTATACCATGTAATCTAATATATGTATTTTATAGTAATGTGTTTAAATATATGCATCTTATTGTATGCATTTTATGATTATGTATTTTAACTGTGTTGTGTCCTGTCTTGAGCTGTGAGGAGAGGCGGTTAACAAATAATAATCAGTCATGTTTGTGGCACACAGGAATCTTACGTAAATACTTAATGTTATAAAAGGTGCTGTTTCACAGAATTCATCAGTGTCATACTGTCAAGATGCCAGAAGACCTTCTCATTCTCAAAATCCATCACCGGGAGGTAGTAGTCCTCGGCCATCTGTGATCGGACGTACAGGACAACGTCCCAGAGGTGATGGTCAAGATTGGGATGCAGGATCTTCTAGGTGAGAGAACTGGTATATTATATTTTTAATATTACATCAGAATTCAGGTTTCCCCCAACTACCAAGAGAATAAGCTTTTCACAGCCTTTCTTGTCTTCAGGATGATTATTTATGGTACTGAAGTTTTAACTGTCTTCCCTGACTTATAATTCCTATCTTTAATTTCATTCAATGATTGTTGTTGTTATTTTTATTGCTTAAGTAAATATTTTAACACCCAAAAGATGTTATATATTTTTATATGTAACTAGCTTGGGTACCCAGCATTGCCTGGGTTATTTGAAAATTGTACAACATGCATAAGGTTGCAGGTGAACTACAGCTCATATCATGCCAGGTTAATCCCGAAAAACTCCATTAGTACTTAAAATTTGTTATGTTGGGCAAGTTTGCTCTTGATGCATCATCAGTAGGTTTCAGTGTGATCTCTGGCTGTAGGGTAAACTAAAACTCCCACTATGGTGAGTCAGTCCCCTCAAACCTCTCCAGTAGGTTCAGTTAGTCATGGGGGTTTTGTGTGCCAAGTTTGGTCCAAGTCCATCATTGGTGGAGGTCACAGTTTCTTTCGTTTGGGTTAACTACAGCTCCCACAAAGGAAGGTTGGTTTTCCCCAAACCCTTCCAGTAAACACATTTCAGCATATCAGGTGCCAAGTTTGGTCCAGATCCATCAGTCTTTTGGTTCACAGTGCTCTCTGGTTGTAGGTGAGCTACAAATCCCTCGAATCAAGGTGAATTTTCCCCAAAGACCTCCAGTGTTTTTTGCTGGTCATGGGGGCTCTGTGTGCCAAGTTTGATCCAATTCTATCTTTGGTGGAGTTCAGAGTGGTCATTGATTGTAGGTGAACTATAAATCCCAGTACCTGCAACTCAAAATGTCCAAGCTATTTTTTTTTTCAAAACTCACAAATATTCAGATTTGGGCATATGGGGTATGCATGCCAGGTTTGGTCCAGATCCATCATTGTTTGGGTTCATAGTTTGTTCTGGATGTAGGTGAACTACAATTCCTTTAAATCCCTCCAAAGAACTTCAGTATATTTTGTTGGTCATGGGGGTTCTGTGTGCCAAGTTAGCCCCAGGTCCAATGTTGGTAGAGTTCAGAGTGCTCTAAGATTGCAGGTGAATGGCAAATCCTAGTACCTACAACTCCTTTAAATCATGGTGAATTCTTTCCAAACCTCTATAGAATGTTCAGTTGCTGATCAATTCCAGTTTGCTGTGTGCCATAGAAAAGAATAGGAAAGGGTTAAGAGAGAGGCAGTGTGTGGTGTCATGCAAATTCCACAAGAAACAATGGGATGTCTATGGTAGAGAAAACACATAAAATCTAGGATGAAATTGTCCCTGTATGAAAGCTTTCACTTGAGTGGTGGGCAGTATGGTGTTTGTGGAGGACATTGGCAGGGCTCTTGGACATGTTCATGGCCATCACTATAACCTGCAGTGTCATTGGAGGGAGGGCTATTGGTATCTCCTGAGTAGTGGGAGTTATAGCTGTTTGTGGAAATGGAAGCTTGTCTGTGAGTACATATTTTCACTTTTATTATGTGTATAGATTACTGTAAACCATGTACATGAGTTGGACCTATAGAGTATTCAACAGTATGACCTTGACTGAAAGAATTTGCGAAGCTTATTGACTGTTCCTTCCAAACAGTAGAGCTATTATACATATTAATGCAATTTCTGCTTTTGTTTTGTAGTGGAAGCAGTTCTAATGCTAATGTGATTTCCAGAAGATCTGCCCAGTCACCTTTTGATATGGGTCATGTTGACTTGCCAGAATTGGAAAGTGAGGACACCTTGGAGTTACAATTTCAACAGCTTAGTCTTCCTCAGTTCTGTGTGGCTATTTTGGAATATGCTGTGCCGCTTCTAAGGACAGGTAAGATTCTCCTTTTGAAAAATCAAGAGGCCAGATATGCCCCAGGTTTTTATTCTATTACTAATACCATGCAGGGGTCCCCTGGTGGTGCAGCGGGTTAGAGCACTGAGCTGCTGAACTTGCGGACCAAACTTTGGCAGTTTGAATCCAGAGAGTGGTGTGAGCTCCAGCTTCTGCCAACCTAGCAATTAGAAATGTGAGTAAATCAATAGGTACCGCTTTGATGGGAAGGTACTCCATGTAGTCATGCTGGTCACATGACCTTGGAGGTGTCTACAGACGATGCCAGCTCTTCTGCTTAGAAATGGAGATGAGCACCATCTCCCAGAGTTGGACAAGACTAGACTTAATGTTAGGGAAAACCTTTATCTTAATATCATAGATTTAAATATACATATAGACATTTTGCAATAAAGCAATATTTTGTCGCTAAGCATACTCAGATGCAATGAATTTGTAAATTTCTTGCTTGAAATATGGCACTTTTTTAAAGGAATTCAGGACTGTGTATGGTTCTTCCTCTCCCTCTTTTTAAAATTGTTTTAGCAATTCTTTGAGTTAGGCTAGACTGGAAAGATATTGCTTGAGATTAATGGCTGAATTGAGATTTTTGATGACTGTTTACCTGCCTCTTACATCTATAGCTTATCATCTGTATTCAAGCTGAACTTGCTGACTGAAAGGGACAAAGGCTCTTTATATATCTCATTTGTTAATTGACTTACCAATAAAGGGGTGTTGGTTTTGGTATGCAATTATTATTTTAAGAAGATGGCTGTTAAAATGATTACCATTATTGCAGCTTCCAGCATACCTCACCATGGTTTTACCATTATTTGTGTTATTTATGGCTGTTGGGAGCTGCAGTTCATTATCTGTTTGGCTATACATTTCCTACTCCAAGTCTATAAGATTCCACAAATCTCAGTTGTTACTTCATTGGACAGTCACTGCCATCTTTGAAACTTGAAGAGTTTATTGCTCTTCTTTGTATAAGTCTGTTAAGCAAAAGATTGCACTTATTTTAAATGGCTACGAACTTTGTTGTTCTAATATCTTTATCATACAAATTCGCAGGAAGCAGAAGAGTGACTATAAAAGTGTTGGAGTTGCTTGCTGAAGATCTGCTGCTTATTGCTGATGCGGTGTCAGACGATGTTTGGGAAGACAGCAGTGTCTTTGGGTTGGAACTTGTAAGAATATTATGAGTTTTGGTTTTCAGTTAACAGTAGTTGCCAGTCTGTTTTTGTATATATGAGTCAGAATGGGCTGCTTTTACTTCATTTCAATTTCTTCATACTTAAGATTTAGGATTGACAGGAGCTTTATCAAAAACAAGAACAGTATAGAACATATAGTTTCACATTTCTCTACATAGATATTTATAGATACAATTTTAAAATTAACTCCCTATGCAGCATATGTGCATCTGGTGGAATGAAAATGAGTAATTCATTTCCATTTTCTCTAGCAGTTCCTTGCTTCTCTTGTGTTTTACTAGACAAGGAACTTCAGCTTTTTATCCTCTCAGTGAATGAACCAGGAGCTTAGATAAGAACTATGCTAGAAATCTCTTGTCAGATTTGGCCATTTGTTCTAGTAATATACATTCATAAACAAACCTAGGGAATTCTCCCTTCATCAAAACTTTACTTACTCTTGAAAAGTAGATTACACAATTCGGTAAAACTCTATGGTAAGAATTGATTTCTACAATTAAAGTACAGTAAAGTGTTTGCCAAATGTTTTCTAATAAATTCCTACACATTTTAAAGATATTTTTTTAATAGTGAATTTATTTTGGGTCTTAATTTTTTATGATTTTTATGCTGCAAGATGATTTTGAGCAGGACTTTTCAGATATAAGAGTAAAGTATTTGTATCTATAAGTGTATACCTACCCATATATAAGCATAAAAATTTTAAAACAGGATCAGGAAGATATCCAATTGGGGTTTTTTTTTTGTTCCTTAGATCCTAATTTCAGAATTTATGCATATGTTCTTAATATTGTCTGTTGATTGCTTTCAATTTTCAGAAGGAGAAGCTGCTTGGAGTCTTAGATTCGTTAGGTGAAACCATTTTGTACCACAAAAATAATGTAAATCCAGATCAGCTCAAGTTTGTGACAGTGCACCACAGAATGACATTTCTGAGCGTTTCACTTTTCACCATTCGACTTCTTCAAGCCCTTCTTCCTGTAGAGAAGGTGAGGTGTTCCACTTTTCCTACATATGAAAGGTCATTTGCTAGATCATATGTATTTTCTTAACTCTTTAATCTAACTATGAATCATAAAAAGTGGATCAAATAATTTTCAAAAGGGAGAAAAAATGACTATGCACCTGTGCAGGCTCTAATCTGCCGGGTGGCTCTCCTCTCGGTCCCACCACTGTCACAATCGAGAGGAATTTCTCGGTGGTGATCCCCTGACTTTGGAACACCCTCCCCAGGGAGATTAGACAGGCCCCCACAATGTCCTCCTTTCATAAGGACTTGAAGACATGGCCCCTAGTTGTTCTGCACTATAGTTACATAGTCTTGCACTTTATCCTATGCCTTCTCTTCATTGCTAAAGCTCTGCACTTTATCCCATTCCCTTTCCTATTGTTATAGCCTGGCCACGTTTATAGCAGCTTATCGCCATTGGTTGTTGAGTGCAATTTTATTGAGTTCTACTTGTTCTTTTTATATGTTTATGTGTTTTTATTGTATTGTATACTGTGTTTTATTTTATTTTATGCTTTGCTTTTAGGCACCTTGGTGCTGTGTGTAAACCACCCTGCGTCCCTTTGGGGAAATGGTGATGGGATACAAGAATAAAGTTATTATTATTATTATTATTATTATTATTATTATTATTATTATGAAACAAAATGCAAGGGGTAAAACAGGTACATTACAGTAACTGTGGCCGAGCATTATTTCCTCTTCTTTATTTACCCATTTTCCATTCACGCTGATTCAGAATGCAAACCACTCTTTGGAAGACAATGTTCTTTTCAACATTGGAATACAATTAGCTTAACCATCCCTATTATTCATGTTAACTATAGTTCATTATTTGAAACAAGCTCCAAACTAAAGGAATACGCTTTAATGAAACAAATCCATATATAACATACAATGATGTTTCTAATACTTCAAAGCACTTATATCTGGGCAGTACCACATCATTTGAATTCCTACTATAATTTGCTATCAGTTTGCAAAAAGAGGTAGCAATGTACAGAGAAGCCTCTGTTGACCAACACCAGCTGATATTGGATAAAAATAATCTCTGTCCCATATAATGCAAGAGTTTGCCCATGTAATAACCAGGATGTTGAATGTATGCATCACATCATATTATCCTGCAGTTTTCACAAGCAGGCTTAGCTACATATTATTAACCCAATACTGATCAACCTACACAGTTTCCAAGTAAATATTTTATTAGGTGACAATTTTCCCCATGTGACCTTGGCTGTTGCTAAGTTTTTCTCTGAGGTAGCCAGTATAAGACAACTTACTTTATTAGGTTCAGGTTGAATCTTGCTTTGTATACATTTGCAGTGTTTTTACCCTTGTTCATATGCATCTAGAATTGCACTCGTCCTGTTTTTAAGTGGACTTATCAGTTTATGAATCTGCTGTGCACTTTTTCTTCTCAGCAAATTGGGTCTTTGGAGCATAATAAAGATTTATGGGGATCTCAGTTCGAATGGGGTGGAGTCTTGAAATGAATCCAAACAGCATGGGTTATCATCTAACTGAATGGGATATGTTAATTTCATATTCAGTTCCCTATGGAATATTTGTATCTTACATATGGAATATTTGTATCTTACATATTTGTAAGAAGCACTGAAACAAATAGTCTCCTTGGTCTGGTGAAATCTAATGAGGAAAATGTTCCTTCTAAAATGTTTGGGAACACAAGGTGGCTGATACAAAACACATGAACAGTAGCGAAATGACAGAAATTTCCAATTCAACTTATTTGGACATTAGATTTCCTTTACTGGTTCAATCATGTTTTTAATTCATCTTTCCTATCCAAAGGTTAGTCTCTGTAACGATGCTCAAATCAGTGTTCTGTCATAAAGTTCGCTTTGGCATGTCTATATGAGTAGAGTCCACTGGGGCACTGTAGTTAAATGCATTGAGGTAGATAAGTTCACTTTTTGTTTACTTATGCAAGACTTAGCTGACCATGTTGTTTCACATTACATATGCATATTGTTAGAGTTTTTTGTAGTTTTTTTATTTCCAATATTTTACTAAATATTTACAGTGAAACAGGCAACAAGAACATAACAATATGATATTTCCTACCTCCACAAGCTATTGTGGGGACAAAATAATCTACACATCTTTACATACATATCTATATTCCAACAACTCAGTATGTCATTTTGCACAGACACAACAATGTCTGTTGCTCTTTGCTTTTTCTTATCTGCACATCTTTAGCTTGAACTGTGTAAAAAGGCTATGTTACTTCAAATTGTATGCAGTAGAACATTCTCAGTATTTCTATGTGGACTTTTCAGCTTGCTGCTTTGTGTTTCTGTGGTAGTAGGAAAAATTGGATATAAATGAGGTTAATAACAGCAACTTGCTTATTTGATTTATCAAAAATCAAATCAGTTCTGCAATGTAGCAGTTAATAGCGAAGAATATTGAACTATGTATTTCTTGTTTATCACTTAATGGTGATACCTTACTGTCTTGATACATGTGTTAAGAAAATGCATGTGAAATGGTTATTGGATTAGTGAAGGGAAGAAGAAAATGCTAAATTATGCTAAATATATTGATTACCAGCAGTAGAAGATTTGTGGTACAGATAGTTGAGAAAACCTAAAAACAATTGAGGTAACGAATAGAGTAAGAAAAAGAAAAAAGCAACATATTGTTGGTTTTGATGAAAAAGTCTGCTGAAGCACATTGATCTGCTCTTCTTTTTTGTGATATAGGAACCTACCCTATTCCCGTCAATTCTGCCTCTGGTAACAAAGTTTCTATTAAAGAAACTTTGTTAACTGATGTATTACACTGTGCTTTGAAATGTGATCTTTGCAACATTATTAAGAGACAAAAATAGAAATATAGCCCTCTGGTGGTTAGAAAAGAACTTAACACCATAGTTTGCTATACATCTGCAATGTGCCTCTAGAGGTGGTTTGGAACTGTATATATTGTACACAGCGATCATTTCCACTTGTGATGTTGCTCATGGAACTAGCAAACCTCTGAATTTTACATAGCTTTGTGATGGCAAGGGATCGTGATTCTTAGTTAATGGTTGTTGGAAATAGCTGCAGAAGCAGAGACTGGTGGGTATATGGAGAGTTGTTTGCCAGTGTGATGGCTTTATTTATTATTGCCAACACTCATATTTTTCTAAAGTCTATAGCTTATATTTCCTTCTTTACTAAAGCTCAGGTTAAATGACAAGTATATAAAGTAATAACAGGCTCTTTCGAAAATAACAGCCATTGCCTATGATAATAATAGAATATGCACATAGAGTACATGTCAAAAATGTGGATGGTTGTTCAGGACAATATGCTGGAGGCACCAAAGTCCTTATATTCTAAACAGTACAGTGCCGTTAGCATATTTTAAGGAAAGTGGGTCATAATCCAATCTTTATGTGTGTGTGTTTTACCATCCTTGTGGGAAGCTTCTCTCATTTCCCCACATGAGGAGCCGGAGCTGACAGAGGGAGCTCATCCATGCTCTCCTTGGATTTGAACCTGTGTCCTGTCGGTCTTCAGTCCTGTCGGCACAAGGGTTTAACCCTCTGCACCACCGGGGACTCAATCCAATCTTTAAGATACCATTATTGGAAAAGCCCCACTTCTTAAGCAGATCTAGGATAGGTAGAATCTGGATTAATGATCTTCAGTTGAAATTATAAGTCATGGGCCACAGCCAGTATTGGAAAAATGGTAACCACAGTCTTAAATTATGCTCACAAGTTCATTTGGACTGTAAACATGTGCTTTCGGTGAACTGTTTCTACAACAACATAGATTGTGACGTTTTGTGCTGAAATATCTGGACTGTTTTAAAGAGGAGTCCCATGTGGAGTACATTTTAATTGAACATACTGCTAATTCATTGGTACAGCAATGACAGCAACCGTCTGTTATGGGAACGTCAGCCCATTTGGGTTATGGATATTCTGAATCAAAGTTTAGCTCTACATTTACCGTTTGAAGAAAATGAAACTGGCATATCATTTTTCATAGCTTTTTCAGGCAATTATCTTTGTTGAAACTATTGAGAAGTGATCACAAGTTTGAAAATTTATACTCATTTTCAAATACTCTCTGCTTTCTCCTTTGTGTTTCTTCCTTAAGGCCAGCAGTGTTTTACCAGAGATTCTACTGACTGCCTTATTTGACATTTCGATGGACATGCCATTCTCTTTGGAGTACCCAAATATTCATGAATCTGTTGTAGCCTATTTGGAACAAATGAATTCAGAAAACTACATTATTTATAAACAAGCTGCAGAGGCTGCCTATTCAATTGAGTGTTCTTGTAACTTTATGATGGATGTCCGTAAACAGGTAGGGAAAAGCACTTGGGTAAATCCAAATTTATATGAGTAAACATTTCTGCATGTCATTAAGAAGAATAACAACATCATATCTTTCTGTCAAATGATTAACCAGAGATCCAGTATAAAGTCAAGGATCTAGGAGGCTGTTTTCATTTTGATTTGTGTGTCTAAATCTTTCTCTCTAGGTCAAGAGGTATGTTTGTATGGTTGTTTCTTGATTTAGTTGTTGCATGTGTTTAATATCACATCTGTAAGTTATTTAAATTTCAGATTTTCTTGCTATGCCATACATGCTAGCTCAGTCTGTAAGATATAACAAGGTTATTTGACAACATTGGGCAGTGTGAGACTCAAAAACACTGTGGTGTCCCACCCTTTTGATCAGTGTAGAAAAATAACTTTGCAAGTCAAAAGCACACTGACAAGATATGATATTTCCATGGATTTATGTTGCAAGGGATATGGCTTATTGAAATTATTTGGGAGACACTTGCATTATCTTATGATGATGACAGAAGGAGCACAGCAGTTCCTTTCCCTTGATCAACATGGATAATACTCAGTGCCAGGGGAAAATTGTGCAAGCACTTGCCCCCTGTCCTGACAGTGGAAGTAAATGGCTAAAAAATCAGTAGCTACTAGTCTTGGGCTTTCGGGGCAAACCTTGTACCTTGTCCTGTCCTGGCTTTCATTGGGGACCCCAATCTATTTTTGAAAGGTAGGTAGGTAGTCCCCTGACATTAAGTCCAGTCATGTCTGACTCTGGGGTGTGGTGCTCATCTCCATTTCTAAGCCGAAGGGCCAGCGTTGTCCGTAGACACCTCCAAGGTCATGTGGCCAGCATGACTGCATGGAGCGCCGTTACCTTCCCACTATTTTTGAAAGCCACCCGAAATTTGGAGGCTTTTTTTAACATCGGGACCCTGAAATTCAGACCACTATTGGGGGAGGGGGCTTCTCACCCACTGGCACCCCTTCCCAGCATTCTTCTTACCTGGCACCTGCTTTTGCTCCTTTGGAGTAAAGTGTTCAGCTGCAGGCAGGCCTGGAGCGTGCCTGCAGGCCCTGCAATCCACCACACACGCTCTACCACATTCTCGGAATGTGTGTGTGTGTGTGTGTCTGTGGCAGGGCCTGCAGACAGGCCCGGAGCATGCCAACAGGCCCCATCACACTCTTGGAGTGTATGTGTGTGTATGTGTGTGTGTGGCGGGGCTTGCATACAGGCCCAGACCATGCCAACAGGCCCCACCACATCTTGTAGTGTGTGTGTGTGTGTGTGGCAGGGCCTGCAGACAGGCCCAAAGCATGCCTACAGGCCTTGCCACGCCCGGCCCACTACACTCTTGGAGTGTGTGTGTGTGCAGCGGGGCCTGCAGGCAGGCCCAGAGTGTGCCTGCAGCCTAGCTCCAGGCCTGCCCAAATGCAAGCAAGGAGGTAATTTTGGCTCGACACGAAAGCAAATTTCCGTGTGTGGAGGGGACTTCCTGTTTCATGCTTCTAAAGAAACTGAAGACGTGAAAGACACAAAAGAAGTGGTAGGAACAAATTTTGCACACATGACTAGTAATTACCTATTTGCTGCTGTTTCATGGCATCCCAATTCTGCAGCTCAGGTTGCTAGTTCCTTTTGCCTAAAAGTATGCCTGGTCCTCTAGAATGGGAATGTGTCCCTCTTAGAATATTTATGTTTGTAAAATCATTGTACACGTTACATTTTCTGATTTCACATATTGTGTATATTGGCTTTCCTTTCTTTTTCTTAAAGGGAGAAAAGAATTTTGTTGATTTATTGGAGTTAGCAGAACAGGCCTTAAAAAGTATTCCATATCATCAGTACTTCAGTCTTCTTCAGGAATTCATCCACATTTGCTCAGATATGTGAGTATTGCCTTTTTATAAAATGCTCTCCTTGTCAGGATGCTGGAGAGCTAGTATGGGAATCACCTACATTCAGTTTAAGTTGTTATTTCAGATCAGTGAACAGATGCATTATTCTTAATAGGCTCTACTGTTATTTTTTTAAAAGCTAACTTTAGAGACATACATATAACTACAGTCCCTATAAAGCATTTATAATATAAACCAAAATATATTTATTTGGAAGAAAGGGCCTTTTCCTCTTACTTAACGATACGCAAATTCAAGAATCAGCTTTTCCAGTGAGGACTTAGCAATTAACTGAATTGTGATAGAAAGGAGCAAGTTGCCAAATTAGTTGTAATTCCAGAAATCCTTTTGCTAGGGAAATCTGTATCACAAAGCTTAAAATTCTGGCTACCTATGCCTGAAAGCAGTTACTTATGTTTTAATCTGTCTTGCTGTTTTTATAATTGGTTTTTTAACTGTTTATATGTTTTAACTGTTTTATAATTTAATATGGTATGTTTATTGTTATGTGCCCGATGCGGCATTGAATTTTTAGCATAGTTTGTAAGCCACTCTGATTCCCCTTTGGGGTGAGAAGGGTGAGGTATAAATGGAGTAAATAAATAAATATTGAATTATTTCTGTTTGCAGCTGGAAACCTGCCCAAGCCAGCCTAGTGCTGCAGGATGAAAGCCAGAAGGTGCTCCTCCATCTGCTGTCCCATCCCGTGGCAAACATAAGAATCGAAAGCTATCACTGCTGCCTCAAAGCTGTTAAGGTTAGCATTTGAAATGGCTTGAATCTTCAAAATAGCATTTTCTTCTTTTTAACTGATTTCTCTTCCTTTTGGTAAGGCTGTAATACAGAACAGCCTGTGTGAAAATATGCTTTCATAGCATAACGGTTGGAATTAAACTTAAGTTGCTTGGAACGTATTTAGATTGTACTGAGTTTCAAAAAAGAGAATATATATCTGTGTGATTGCTGTGACTTCCCACAGTTTTCCTATGAAACTAGACCTTATTTTATTTCTTCTCCATGAAAACCTGTTAAATTGAAACAGAATATGGGGACATCCGTGCAGGCCTTAACACTCCATTTTAATTAATCATGTTGTCTTAACATCTTCTTTCTAGGAATGCTTAGGCATTCATAATGTCTCTAAACCTGTCTCTGCAGTCACCCAAGGAATACATTTCTTGCTTCATCCCAAAGTCCTCTATGAAATTTGTAGTTTTGGCCTTCAAGACTCCCAGCATGAGGTACTGTATTTCATGCATTATATGTTTTGTGCAATAACCATTAATTATTCCTTTTTATTACTGCCTTGTGCTAAATTAACTCTTGTGGACATGATTCCTGAATGCATTTGTTCTGAAGTAAGCCTCACTGAATTCAGTAAAATGGGCTTCTTCATTCCTAAGATCCCAGCAGTGACTGATATGACACTTTCAAGATCTCAGTGACTGATACGAAAATACACTTTCAAGAAAAAAAATACTGGTTGAGCATCTCTTGTTTATGCACAAAATTATTTAAAATATTGTATAAAGTTCATCTCTATGTGTAAAGTGTATATGATTCAGATATGAACTTTGTGATTAGAAGGGTTGCAGCTCCAAGATATTTCATTTTATAAGTATATGCAAATACAGATATCCCAAAATAATAATAAAAAGCAAAATCCATAACAGTGGGTTGTTGTGAGTTTTCCAGGCTGTATGGCTATGACCCCAGAAGCATTCTCTCCTGACATTTCACCCACATCTAGGGGAGGCATCCTCTGAGCTTGGGGGATCTGTTGGAAACTGTTGGAATGCTTCTGCAACATGACCATACAGCCCGGAAAGCTCACAGCAACCCAATGATTCGTGCCATGAAAGCCTTCAGCAACAAATTCCAAAACACTTTGAGTCTCAGGCATTTTGAATAAGGATAGCCAACCTGTATACCATATTCAAATTCATAGTAGAAGACAAAAGTTCTCTTCTGCCTTCACCATAATCCAGTGGCTTGGCAAAATGGTATTTACTGTTTTCGGTGAAGGGTTCTTTTGCAGAAAAAGCAGAAGAGATCCCTGGTCTAATCTGTGTCTGTGATTTTATTATCATTTTGTAAATGACATATCTTTTTCAGATCAGTACCACTCAAGTGTCAAAAATGATATTATTGGAATGGCATGTGAGGACCAACCCATTGGCTAGTGGATTAATCCCTACATGTCAAACTAATTGAGTGAAGTCTATATTCTTTTTTGGTCAACGCCATTAAGACTGCTTCCCTTCCCCAACAGCTTTGTTCTTCCTGTCCTGCCAAATCTAGACAATGACCTTCCATATAAAATGAAAAAATATTGGTGTTTATCCTGACAATCTCCAACAGAGGGGACACCTTACCAGCCCTCAGTGTGTATGCAAGTGACTTTCATGCATTTGATTGTTTACAGATTTCATTAAAATGCACTTGTAGGGATCTGTAGGTTCTCCAGAGTGAAGTTAACCATAGAGTCTGATAGAGGACCTAGAGTTTCCTAAGGCAATGTTCTCTTTTTTTAAAAAAATATTATTTTATTTGTGTTTCCCCCACTTTTGCATTTTTTTCACCTCCAATCCCAACAAATGTGAAAGGTGGATTGTATATTTCTTGATGTTGTTAGGCAAGCTTTGTAATCATTCACTTGAAATATACAGCCTGTAACAACCATTCAGCTGTTCTGGTTTTCCTAAGAACTCTAGTAAACAGTCCCAGCCTCATTTAAAGCTTGTTTAAAGAACTATGCACTGAATTTATTCAATTTAAAAAACACACCCATATTTGCTCAAGTGTAATGTGCCATTGAATCTAATGTGCACCTCAGTTTTCAAAACCCTGAAATAAAAAAAAAATATATTTACCATATTACTGGAATCTAATGTGCACCCTAATTTTGGGAAGTTAAAAAAGGTGAACATAAGAATTGAGTAAATATGGTACTTCTTTTTCTATGTAAACATATCTAAAAATGGGATGTGTGTCTTATGTTTTCTTGTTAGTGGTGGTGGTACTGAAATTTGGGTGCATCTTACAATCAATGGCATTTTACAAAAGAAATGTGGTACTAGCAAATTCAGAATTAATATGTTATGGGACAAAAGTATGCATTCCCACGGAGGCACAAAATAGAGGGTGTGTGTCCTTTAAATAGTGTGTGTGTGTGCCAAGGTTGCCTGTGGAATTATGGTGACACCATGAAATTCATAGTTTTTTCTTAGACAAGCAATTATCAGAGGTGGTTTTGCCCGTTCTTTCCTCTGAAAGATTGCCTACTTTAATGTAAGCAATTCTGGCTGCTGAGTCTCACAGCTGATGTGAAGATTGTTTGCTGCTAACAAGGGGTAGATTCATGATAATATTTGAGTATGACAAGCATTATCATGTTTTGTTTGTATTAAAGCTCTAACTATTTGGTGTTAAGTCGTAGGACTAATTTCCCTTCCTGACACCAGCAAATTGGTTTGGCTGTTCTTTATTGTACCACCTTATCTTCTCTCATTAAAACAGGTATGCTCAGCTGCCAACTCTGTACTGATGTATCTTCTCCAGGGCCGATTGATGATGACAGTAGTGACCTGGAACAAGTTTATTGAGGCCCTCTGTCCTGTTGTTCCAGTTCTTCAGGTAATCTCCACATCTCAAAGCACAGTTTATCTGAAACTAAGTTTAATTGCTTTACCAATAGAAACAGCACAGACATTACACGATAGGGGAAAATAAACAAACACAGAAGCCAGGCAGAATAGGAACAGAGAAGGAATCAGTATTCGTGTTTGTTGAATATTCTGGACAAAGTCTGTAGTAATAAGCTTTATGAAACCGGAAATACCAAATTCAAATGGCTTAACTTACATTATTGTTGTCATTATTATTTGATACATAACAAGATTAGTACACAGCAAACAAGATCACTGTGCTGGCTTTTCTATTTGATCACACGTTAGACACTTCCCAAGCGTCTAGGACTGTATGATATATTGGTGAATAATACATGCAGATCCGAGTAGAGTGGCCTTTTGCAGCTGACAGATGGTAACTTGACAGCGCCAATTGTTTTTAAGTGCAGGCCAAGATCTTTAGGCACTGCACCTAGTGTTCCGATCACCACTGGTACAACCTTTACTGGCTTGTGCCATAGTCTTTGCAGTTCTATCTTTAAATCCTCATATTGTTGTTGTTGTTGTTATGTTATCTATCTATTTTATTGTATGTATTTTATGTTCATATGTTTTGTCTCTTGTACCCTACCTTGAACCATTACGGGAGGCAGGTAACAAATAAAATGTTTTATGATTATGATTTCATATTTAGGTTAACCACTATAAATTCTTGCCCATTGTGAGCTGGAAGACCATTTTTTTGATTTTTTTTTTTAATGAACTAGTATGAAATGTGAGGGGAAAGCTTCCATAAAATTAATGTTCAAGTCTACCACATGGGAAATTCCCAACCATTTTATGATGTGAGAATAGTTATACTGAAGTGAGGGTGTATTTAAGACATCAAATACATTGGCCTGTCTCCACCAGTCCATGAAGCATAGGCTATAATGAATATTTTGTCACACTTTGCTAGTGGGCAATGCCAGTGGAATAAAACAAAATGATTGGTGGAGCAATAGAACTACACAGTGTCCCCTGAAGTAGTAGTGAATTAGGAAAACAGTGGCTATGAACTGGTATGAGAAATGCATAGGATTGGTCAAAGAATTTAAAGTAACAGTTTTCATCTCCTAAGATTAGAACTTTTGCAACACACACACACACACACACACACACAAGAAACACTGCTATGTCCAAATACAATGTAGCAATAGTTCATAGTTGTGTATGCATTTTGGCAGTTTTCTGTCAATTTGATAAGGTAACTTAAATTTATGAGTGAATGATTTTAGTTGTCCTTTCCAAAGAAGAGTGGTATTGATTTTCTTTAAATGGCCTGTATAAAATTTTAAACCTAGGGTTATGCAGACACAGAAGATCATCTGGGGAATTGCATCCTCACATTGAGTGAAACAACTGCTGAAAAAGAAGGGATTCTGCCAAGAACTTCCAGACTCAGGGCTGCTCTGCGTCTTCTCTTTTCAAAGAAGCCACTGTGAGTAAACATAGGTTATAATTTCTGTTTATGAGAACGCTTATTTGTATGGTTATGATTTGTTCCACAGAGTTCAGAAGATGAAATAGATTTCTTTACTAATGCAGGTGACACTGAGCACTACTCTAACAATTTTCTGGAATTTTGGTTTGGCCTTCCTTAGGAAAGATGGACTAGGGTGGAAAGTACAGACAAGTAACCTTCCACATGTTAACCATTTTTCAGAATAAAGTATAATCTTCGAGGTGCTGAATGTTTTTTATTTTCAAAAATGGCCTGTCCTAAGAGGGCTTCAATATATGTGATAGACACTAATTTGGGAGTACCTAGGGATTGGTTCGGTTACAAAGAAGTAGAGTGTGGTTGACAGGGATGAAGGTGCTGTGAAAAGGCAGTTAAGTGTGTGGTTCAACGAATGGGCATAGACATTATCAGATGGTGTGGGAATGTTTGCATTTGTTTTTTCATTAAAAAATCCCCTTCTGTCAAGCACCCATTGGTGTAGTTCAACAGAAATAGCTCTATCAGCAGAAGTAGGAAGGGGACAACCTCCAGTATGCTCTCAGGACCCTTCCATACAGCTGAATAAAATCCCACATTTTTTGCTTTGAACTGGAGTATATGGCAGTGTGGACTCAGAGAACCCAGTTCAAAGCAGATATTTTGGGATTTTCTGCCTTTATATTCTGGGTTATATTTGTGTGGAAGGGTCCTCAGAGGTAGTTCCCCTTCTCCCCTTAATGCTGCCCAATGATCTTCCACAGAAAGCTTTTCAGGCTGCAGAAATAGAAAGTAGATTTTTCCTCCTCATTTCATCGGCAATACTGTTTCTACCAGTGGAACAACACAATTTATTTTCAATTAAATTTTAACTTTTATTGAGATGGAGTGATAAGTGGTCTATCAAGTCTTCTGTATAATTCAGAGCGTGTTCTTATTTGGGAGCTAGTTCTTTTAGATGGCACTTACCACAATCAAACTACGCTTATTTCAGCCTAAAGCGATGGTATTGATAGTAGTTTTGGACAACCATCTTTTTCTTAACTGATTTCCCAGGCCAGGATCCAACAGATTACTTAAGCTTTATTTCACTGTTTCTTCCAGAATTTATTGTATTTTCCTTCCTGCAACCTCCCATGCATACTAAATATCTGCTTGAGGGGATTGAGAAACCTTCTGAAATAGGGTTTTTGTATTCGTGGACTGCAAGAGGAAGGAGAGTACTGATTTTGGCAGAATTTGTGACATCTCATATAAGTACACAGATGGATCCTAGCCCCAAACTTTTACAGCAATAAGTGCCTGGATGTGTAAGATGTTCCATCATAAATCCAATTGTACTGAATTAATTGTGGAATGTTAACTCAACATTTGTGTAATTCCCATTCAATGGATCTACTCTGGCTGGGAATAGCAATTGAACCTAAGCCTCTCTTTAGAAAGGAATCGGAACTAGCATAAAACATCTCTGATATAAAACATCATGTATAGAATATCTCTGGATTCTGTGCTTCTCCATCATTAACATGAGAGTTTTCCAGGAAAAGAAACAAAACCATGTTCTGTCTTCCTAGAGTCCGTTCCATGACACCCAAACACTTAATGTTTCATCTTACTGTTGAAGAAAAGGGAAACCTGAAGCGGCCACTACTTCATGGCAGTGTCCTTTCCAGAATTCCTAACTTATTTATTGTGGAAAAGCCTCTTGAACTCAAGTTAGATGGCACAAGGGAATCAATTTTTAAGGTAAACAAAGAAACCTTTTCACGTAGTTGGTAATGCTCCTTTCCCCAGAACTAAAAAGTAGGGTAACCCCTTCCTAATAAATAACAATATATTTATATTTATTTTCTTTTTTAGGACGAGACTGTTGAAAAACTGTATGAGATCTTTATTTCTGACACAATTGATCTGGTTTTGAGGAAGTCTGCTGTTGAGCAGTTAGCTGTAATTATGCAAGGTAAAGTAACCATACTACCATACATAGTTGCTCCCCCTCCACGTTTTGTCCCCTGAGTCTATTTCTCTGCCTGTACAAAGGTCTATTTTTACGACCCCACTTCTTTATGAGTTTCTCCCTCACAAACAGTCTGCTCCATTCTTATCTCACCCTGATTGAATTTTTTAGTATTAGTATTTTATCTTGCACATGCAGCCCGCTCATTGTTATTTCACTGTGTATTATTTTGTTTTGCATTTTATATCTTTTTTTGTATTCATATCTTGTATGTATTTTACTGTGTTGTTACTGTGTTTTGGTTTTTATTTTATTGTAATATGCTTTTGGGCTTGGTCTCATGTAAGCTGCCCCGAGTCCCCGTTGGGAAGATGGTGGCGGCGTATTAAATAGATTATTATTATTATTATTATTATTATTATTATTATTATTATTATTATTATTATTAAAGGGGTTCAGTATTTTAAAATAGACCATAGAAGTGCCGAGTGTTATCCGCTATGTAGCCAAAAGAGGATTTTTTTTAAAGAAAAAGGAGGTATCACTATGTTTGAGACATGTCTAGATTAGCAGAAGTACTACTATGAGGGGATGTGAAGACCCTAAAGTGGTTATACACACACACACATAACTACCAAAGAGCATGTTCATCTGGTACAGAGTACTAACAGATTAATGGATCAGAGAAAATGGAAATACAGAAAAGGAGGAATGGACTGGAATCTTTGGAATGCTGAGCAGTTGAACTCCACGCTGCATACTTATGACCTCTATTCCTGGCCTAATGCTTACTGAAGATATAAATATTTCTTATCTATAAGAGTTAAAGTTGTTCATAATCCAATGTAATGTTGTAGTACATGTGTTTCTGCATGTGCAGAGCTTGTTTCTTATTTCCTCTTTCAGATACCAAAATGCATGACATTATTAAAAAGATGGGTGTGATAGACAGAATTCTTGCCTATTGTGGTGAATGTATTGACCAGGATGGCAAGGTAGGTACAACTCGTTTTTTTCTCACCTCTTTCATTTTTGGATTGTTTTGTAACATTATTTTGGCTAGGAATTAAATACTCGATGTGCAATATATACAGTTGCACACCATAAAAAATGCAGCTGCACATTTGGCCAGTTTCCAATTTTTGTTTGACAAGCAATAAGAATTGAGAGTTATTTGGCACTTATTTCAACATTGTGATTGAATGCAGGCGGTTCAGCTAAAGATAAATTTTCATTCAGTTTATAATAATAGGTAGCCAATGGGTATAGTTCTAAACATAAGAATTGGTTATTAAAATATAGTGCCCAGCAGTAATTTCAAACAAAATTTCGGAGTTTCAGCTTTTTGTATTCTTGGTAGATAATTTTCATTGATTTGATTAGGTTTTATGAGAGATTAAAACAAACTGACTGCCTTCAAATGTACTACTAAACAAGTACAGGCAGGCCCCTGAGTTACAAAAGGCAAACGGAAATTAGCATTTCTTTCTTTAAATCTGAGATCTTGATCAGGTGGATCAGAAGGAAGGAGAAGGAGGACAACTATGGAGGCTTTTTGAAAACTTTCTCAGATTCCAGAGAAAGGAAATTTATCCCAAGGATATAAAATGGAAAGAGGGTGGGGAATGGGATATACTTCATATTGTGCATGTTGCATAAGCTCTTCTGTTGACAAAAGTGTTTCCTCTTTTGACAGATTATGGATTGTATGATGTTGCCATGTCTTACCCTCTTAAGGAAACTTGTCTATTCAGATCCAGTTAAGCGACTGTCATTGTCCAATCAGCCGTCTGTCTTGCTCATGTTATTTAGAGGTAACTTCATAAAAGTGGCATAAAAACCATAGGTGACTGTTGTTTTTGTTGTCATTGGTCATCAAGTCAAGTTTGATTTATGGTGAGAAGCCTTCAGGAGCTCCTTTGTCATCAACTGCTCTTTTGAAGTCTTGCAAATTTGGCTCAAATCTGTTACATTGCAGAACTGATTGTATGACTTAAATATCAGTTCTTGTTTCTATTTATTTTATTACCTTGTATATGTAGATCGGGAAAATAAATCTCTCTGTTCTGCTTTTAGTTTCCTTGATATTCCAAGATTATGGTGCTGTTGTAAGCGAAGCAGCAGCATTACTTTGTCTACTACTGTTTGATGAAGCAGCAAGAAAAGAGATGTGGTAAGCTAATCTGTAGTGATTGATTTAATGCTCCTTTGACTCTGTATCAAGCAAAATATTTTTGTTCATTGTGCCATTTTACATAATTATAAATTATAAATGAAGCTAAGATTTGTGTCTGTTACCTCTGTTTATGTATGTACACACACTTGGAAGTGTTTGATATATTTATCAGGGACATGAGCAAAGTCTCTTTTGTGAGTCTATTAATATTGCATGTAATATTAAGAAGATGAAATCCATTCCTGTCAGAAACCTAATTGCAAGAAGTTCCCTAAAATGCAATCCAGGCTCCTCAGTTATTTTCTTGAATTAGCTTAAAGATCTTGCAGGTTGAATCCAACAATTTTCCAGTAGGTATAATGCTACTGCTTAAGAAAGGCTAATGAAATCTAGTGTTTTGATTCTGCAAAAATTTCTGAAATTGATACATCATCTGTGTGGTCTTTTCCAACTGTGATTCTATGATTTTCTGAATCAAATGAGTTGTCAAATATAATGATCTTGTATATTGTTAATAGAGTTATATGAATAAGTGTAGACCATTCATGCACTTATATGATGTTACATTTTTAAGGGGTTGCTGCTGATTAATCCATAGCGTACTTTTTGATACATGGATTTTCTTTTTTTATAGGGCTGATACTCTTTCTTCGGACACTTATAACTCTCCTCCTTTCAGCTTGCCTGTTGCTATCGTGAGACGGTAATTTTTCTTCTTAGTATCTATAATAAAAATATGTATCAAAGCTGCTGTGGTGAGTTAAATTGGGAATTTATTACTGATATGTGTAACATAATATGAAACATCTATAATGTAATATTCATGCCAAAGGTTTGACCTATGGAAACATTCTCTCCAATGAGCATTAAATTCTTTGTATTGCATGTAGAACTTGCAATGCTTAATGATACTCAGTAGGCCTTAAGATTTAGGCATGATAGCATTTTCCTTTTTACAGTCATGCAGGTTCATAAATACTGAAAAGATTTGCTCTTTTAGAAATGCTTGAAGTTCTGTGTTCACAAGCTATAGACAGCAAGGCAGTACAATGTAGAAGATCAAGGGTTTCCCACCTCTGCTTTAGTAGTTTGAAACAGTACAAAATAAGGCTTAATACTACAGTGAAGCTGTAAGGTTTTTTCACTCTACATCCTATTGTGAACACAGTTCCAAAGTGCTGTTTTAGTCCCATGTAAAAGGCCCTTAATAGTTTGCTTTATATTTGTTATTTGGCTCGTACTGGCCTTCATGAATGGAAGCCTCTTGCTTTCATGAAATGAAAACCTAGGATCAAAGTCAATGTCCCTTTCAGTTGTTTTGTCATCAAATTACAAAGCAAAACGTTCATCTCATGCTCATACTCATGTAGGAAGTGTCCTTGACTTCCCCACTATTGCATTTCCTAAGGAACTATGGATACCCAAACTTTCTGCATCTTTTGAATGTGTTGTAACTTTTTTTGTATTAAGATAGTCTTTGATCTTAGTTTACAACCTGAGTGATGGGGATTATGTATTAATTTCCAATGTTTAAATCACATAAAGCCATTAGGCTGCACTTCATAAGTTAAAGCACACATCTTTATCCCATACCCTCTCTCTATTACTGTAGCTGGCACTTATTTTATTCAAAATGCTTACAGCTTGACCATGTTTACAGCAGTTTACCACCATGGTTAGAGGATCACAATTTGGTTGAATCTGAGTTGAGGTTTTTATATGTGCATTTTTTTTATTTTATTGTWTTTTATATTGTACTCACTCTTATGTTTTATTTTTAGGCACTTTATGCCATCTGTAAGCCATCRCAAGTCCCCTCCGGGAGATAGTGGAGGGATATAAGAATAAAYTTGTTGGGTTGTTGTAGMTTTTTTRGGGCTATATGGCCATGGTCTAGAGGCATTCTCTCCTGATATTTCACCTGCATCTATGGCAAGCATCCTCAGAGGTAGTGAGGATCCTCGAAGGTCCTAACTACCTCTCYGGAGTTTTTTTGTCTGTCCCTTCTAAGTTGGTATTTAGTGAATGCTGTAMCATCATTGGATATTACAAAGATCCTGGAATGAAGCAGCATCCGGACCCAATTTTGGGAAGAACACRAGTATTCTATCTATGAGATACCATACTATAACCTCTTGTAATATTGAGATATTTTTAAAAATGTCTCATTTAAAGTTCTGAGATGGCAGCGTGTATTTTAACATTTACTGTTTCCTTTCTTCCCTTTAAAGGTATCACCTGCCTTTCAGGGTCTCTTCCCATCATGCTGTGAGCCCAAACTCAGTGGTGTTACCATTTTCTCCTGAATTCTGGACCTCAAAACCTGTGTCAGACATGCTTAAAATGGCTTGGAATTTGTCTTGGTTCAGCGGAACTGATAACTTACTAAAACTCACTAATTATGAGAAAGAAACAGAAGAGTAAGTTTTTGAAATTACCTTTCAGTCCCCTCAAATGTACTAGAATTAAAAGGAGCATTTGTACTTGTTGGTTAAAGAGCATTTTCTATTATGAATTGTTCTTCATTATACAATTCATACTCTAAAGCAGCCCAGTGGCCTGTAGATGTCCTTTATTCAGAATTTCAAAACTGAAAATTGTGTGGGTGGCTGCTATAATGACAATTTTGCTTTCTGATGGTTCAGTGTACATAAACTTTGTTTCATGCACAAAATGATTGAAAAGATTGTAAAAAATGCCTTCAGGCTATATTCATAATGTATATATGAAGCATAAATGCGTGCCATGTTTAGACTTGGCTCCATCTCAAAGATATCTCATTATGTACATATGTACAGATATTCCAAAATCCAAATAATCCAAGATCCAAAACATTTCTGGTCCCAAGCATTTTGGATAAGGGATATTCAACCTAAAATAGTTAAAAAATTTAAACATGCAAAAATCAGAGATAAAACTGTCTTTTTAATTTTAGCTCAAAGTTTCAAAACCAACACAAAACAAATAGCTAGTGTTTGATGTAATAAAAGAAGAAAGAGAAAACATCAATTGCTTCATTTAGTTCTTCCTTTTTTTAAAAAAAACCCCATACTTAATTATCACTTTTATTTTCTCTTTCATTTCAGATTTTTAGCCACATTAAAGCTCTCTTCTGAGGATCTTATTACATTGAAGATAACACACACAGCCAGTGGACTGCAAGATTGTCTCAATTCCATCATTCAAGCAGTGTCCCACAGGGAAGTTAGGGACGCTGTCACAACAATGAATTTTTATATTCTGAATGACAGACTGGCATTAATGTGCAGCAGGGGCCCTTGTGGGGCCACTTTGAAGTGCTTGGCTTGGCAAACAGCATTAAGCAGGTCAGTGTGTAAGTGCAAGGTGCATAACTGGCCGCAAAGCCATCTGTCACAGTAGATTTGGCTTTGAAACATTCAAAGCTACATGGTCTCTTTAGAGTTTTCTTAAACATTTGCCGCTAGAATAAATATCTTTGAAAGTAGGAAACCTATCTGTGCCTCGCAGCAAGAAGGGGTTTCAAATTCAAAGGTTGATGGATTACAGAACAAGATGCTATAAAGATGTGGGGCCAGGTCTTGTTCATATTTCTCTGCCTATAAAATATATTATATGAAATTTTGTTAAATATGAGATTTAATTCCTCACTCTTTTCAGTTTATTTAATTTTTTTTATCTCTGTTTCAACCTAATCAAAGCACCAGAAGGTCAAACTGTTGTTCATCCTCCACTGATACCTTTTTATGCCTTTTTGCCCCTCATCTTTTAAGCTGGTCATCCTTTTTCCAGCCTATCTGGTCCAAGTATTTGCTTGGGTTTTGGCAAACCTGTGCATGAGAAATGTATAAGAACCCCAGTCATTAGCAATCCTGCTCAGGTCCTTCAAGCTTAGGTCCAATGATTCATTGACTGAATCAATTCATCTATAATGTGGTCATCTTCTTTTCCTACTGCCTTCTCCTTTCCCAGCATTATTTCTTTTCCAGTCAGACATGTTATGTCATGATAACAGGAAACTATTTTTGTCAAAGATTTCTTCAGGTGCTTCCAGCTTCTTCTGAGGATGAAAAACTCCTTGTTGATGTCCTATATTTTCTCAACAAGCTACTTAAAGGACAGAAGAATACACCAGAGATGGCACACCTACAATGGATCCTGGATGTAGTCCTAAAGCATGTAAGGTCCTGTTTAGCTAATATTTTTTTCAAAAGCAGTAGGGGCTGGTAACAGTAGTGAGATGATGTCTTTATCCCTTCTTTCCCACTTATGAATTATGAAAGAAACATCATTGGTAGCCCAATTCTCATATCTTTTTTTAAACTTCTGAAACTACTTGTTCTAAATAAGTGATCTACCTAATCTCATTCTCCAGTTGTCATTGGACCTCAATGCTTGTCTGATGGGAAAACCTGTTTGTTGTTACTGTGTGCAGTCATATAGTTTCCAACTTGCAGTGATGCTATTACGGAGTTTCTTGGTAAGGTTAGTTCAGAGGAGATTCGCCTTTGCCTTCTTCTGAGACTGAATATGACGTTTTCAAGGTCACCCATGGAATTTCATGGCTGAGTGGGGATTTGATTCCTCTGCTTTAGAGTCATAATCTGATGCTCAAACGACTGCATCATCTTGGTTCTCATAGATTAATCTCTAGTAGAAACATAGCAGGAGGTCTGAGGGCAACATTTATGTCTGCAGGACAGGAAATGGATCAGCCTTCCATAACAACAAAATGCTAAATTTTTAATTTTTGAGAAATGTGAGTTTAAACTGTGGGCTGACTATGCTAAATGAATATACATAGAACTGTTTCAGTGAGTGAGTGATAAAAACGTGTGCTTATTTCATACAAAAAAGACCAAAAAAAACTCTTTAAAGAGCTAATGTGTTACTGGTGAAAAGTGACTCAGTAAATCTGCCTTTTCCCTGCCAAGGAGGTGTCACCATCTGGCCATTTTGAAGAACATTCTTTAATTATTCAGTTTTGTAGTATGGCTTATTGTAATTTGCTAACAAAATGTGAATAGGTTGCAATTTTTTGCCCTTTGATACAGGATTCTCTATGTGATACATAGCAACCTGATGTAGGGAGGAGTTATTGACATGCCAGCTTTTTATGTTTCATTGATTTTTTTGTCCAGAATACAAAGTCTTTACTGGATCTGGTGGTGCAACCAGAATCCCAGGCACAAGAGGAAACAGATGACCTAAAGATTCCTGTTAGACAACAACTGCAGAAAGAATTGATTGCTTTCTTTAATACACTTCTGGTCAGCCTTATGTCTGTTACTCACAGGTATATTGTAAAAAAATGTTCATATCAACAATCTATATAATCCAAATTTGATTCTTAAAATGTTCCTGAGAGCGAGTAGGTGGTATGAAGGAATGCAACTGGGGTGTTGTGTGGTTTTCAGGCTACATGGCCGTGTTATTGGCAGCATTTTCTCCTGACGTTTCCCCTGCATCTGTGGCTGGCATCTTCAGAGATTCTCTGAAGATGCCAGCCACAGATGCAGGTGAAATATCAGGAGAACATGCTGCTATAACATGGCCATATAGCCCGGAAATCACACAACACCCCAGTGATTCCGGCCGCAAAAGCTTTTGACAATACAAGGAGTGCAACTATTAATAACAAACTATTAATAACTATTAATAATTTGCTGCATTCCAGGCCTTTAGCCACCTGGATATTCAGGAAGGCCTTTAGTTGGGAAACTGTCTCTGGTCTGAGGGCATGACAGTGCTATTTCCATTTATCTTCTTCTTGAATTTAGTTTTAAAGACTGATTGTGCTAGAATTTTAGTTCCTTAAATTGAGCTTTGTTGTAGTGGTGATTTAGTGCCTTGTTTTTGTATTTTCCTTGCAAACTGTATTGGGTTTCTTTCAGAAGAGATTATATGTTTTCAATGTAAATTAAAAAATAAAGTTAATATATAGTGTAAGTATAGAAAAAGTATACAAAAAGTGAGGAAATGTGTCAATTCATGACACTGATGCCAATTCCTATTAGCCCCAGTCACTGATCACTTATTAGGTCATTTTCCTCTTAAAATACTTTTTAGCAATGTGCAAGAAAAACCTCAAAACCCACACACTGTTTAATGCTTGTTCCTAATTCAGGATTACTTTGCTCAAAAATTGCATATGGTTATGAAAATGTGCAGAAAATTTTCTTTTCTGTGCAAATCTACCACAGAAGTATGGCCAAAACCACATTTTTACTAGCTGGTTATAATCCCGTTGTAACAACAAAAGTTGTCCTTTATCTGTTTAAAGCATCTCAAAGGAGATCAGAATATATTGATCAGATTGATATACAGTGTAAGGGGGGCCAGGACATCTGATGTATATACCTAAGATTAAAGTACATTTGGTTAGAAGTTGGCCATCCCCACTTTTTCTCTCTGTACTTCTATAGTTATAATTTTACTCGAACTAGATGTATACTGTGTGTTGTGTTGATATTGTCTGTTTTGATAAGGCCAATTGGCTGATCAATGAAATCATTTTGTTTCGTTAACCACAGAAGTACAGAGAAAGTTCCCAATTATAATGTTTTCTGTACACAAACTAGCTTTTTTGTTTTCAGAAAGTAATACCTAGAAATACTATTATTTGTACAGAAAATGATTCCAGAGAAAATAGTGTAATTGGGGACATTGTGCAAAAAACTCAAATATGATTGATTTGCATAAAAAACAGAATTTTCTCTACAGAAACAGGTTTTTCTTCCCCCAAAATAATATTTTTACTGATTTATTGATTTACTGTGCGTACTTAGTTCTTATTAATTGCTTATTGGACTGTTTTGATTATTACATATTTTTATTCATTTTTATTGTTACATATATATATTACTTTGCAAACTACACTTGGGAGAATTTATTTTGAGTGCTGTTTGCTATCCGAATAATATGTTTCTGCCTTTTCTGATATTTTTGTTGTATAAACAGAGGGGCTTTAGGATACCTGTAGGAGAACTGTTTTTCCAGAGTTTCTAGACTGGTGATTTTGTGCTTAGAGCTCTATTGAAAAGAAAGAATACAGAAGCTTTGAGCTTAAGAAAATAGTTTTGTGGTTTAAACACATGACTTCTGGATCACAACAAAGTTGTATTCTTAGTTAAACTAATCTCACGAATAATAGATTTAAATAATAACTGTTGATATCTATTAATAGTTAATGTATAATGCTAACATAATTAATATTCTATTTGCTACAGAAAAACCATGGAACTTACTGGCTATTTCCGAACTGAACTGGCACTGAAACTTCTGCAGTATTTACGAGTAACAGATGCTCCTCACTTCTATGGTTTGCCTTCTTTGGAAAGAACATTAAGAGGAATGGTCCACGTCACTGCTCTCCCAGGCTGGAGTTCATACACTGTTACAACAGAGCCATTCATCATTTGCAAAAAATATTTAGCAGGGCTCCTTGAGGTAAGCGAGTTCAAAGTACTGTTTTTAATGTAATTGGGAATCAAAACACTTTGGGTTGGGCCTATGAATCTCGTGGCCCTTTGCAAGTTGAATTCTGTTGTGAAACAAGATCTGTACTCTCCAGTTGTCATGGTTTTCTACCAGGATTGCCGGGATTTTGTCAGAAGTAGCAGTGGTTGAGGGCAGTGTGTGTATGTGTGTGTGTGACAGTTGTGCCAAGGAGATCAGGCATTTTCACCCCCTTTCTCAAACAGTTAGTTACCTGTAATTATCACAGAAAATGATTTTAGTTACTTCAGATCATGCTTTTCTTCTACAGGGTTGTAAAAGATTAAGTCTTTTTTTTGTTACACTACATATCCCAATATGATATGATCAATGAATTTTTACATATTGTATAAATGGATTGTGTGTTGATTAAAATCTGTATTATATAAAATCACTTACAGCATTTCTTCAATTGTAAGTCATAATCGATTGTAAGATACACTGTAATTTTAGTACCACCACCAAAAAAAATTCATGATACACCTGTGATACTAAGATGCACCCATTTTAGAGATATCTATATAGATGGAAAAGTGTGTCTTGGAATTAAAAAATTACAATATTACTGCATATAATGAAATAGTGTAGAGAAAATACCCTTCTGTTCTGTTCCTGAAGTTTCAAGGCAAGAGGCAATACTAGTGTTCTCATACAAAAAGTGGAAGCGGAATATTTCTGAACAAAACATACACGGAGGAGCCTACATAGTGTAGTGATTTGAGTGTTGGACTGGAGCCCCTGGTGGCACAATGGGTTAAACCCTTGTGGCTCTTTGCTGACTAAAGGATTGCTGACCGATAATTCAGCGGTTTGGATCCAGGGAGAGCGGGTTGAGCTCCCTCTGTCAGCTCCAGCTCCCCATGCGCGGACATGAGAGAAGCCTCCCACAAGGATGGTAAAACATCAAACTTGTGGGCATTCCCTGGGAAACATCCTTGCAGACAGACAATTCTCTCACACCAGAAGTGATTTGTAATTTCTCAAGTTGCTCCTGACACCAAAAAAAGTGTTGAACTATGGCTCTGGAAACCAGCATGCAGTCATAGAAACTCACTGGGTAGTCATGGGTGAATCACACACTCTCATTATCAGGTGAAGGCGAAGGCAAAAACAATCCCTATTCTGAGCAATTTTTCATTGTTGTATATTGCTTCCTGACAGCTATATATGTGCTGAGGTATGATGAAGGTGGAAGACAAGGTGTTACTATTAAGAAGGAACAGGAGAGATCACATAATGTGTGACAATGGACTGCATAAGAAATAATGAAGATTTATAAAGTAGTGACTTAAAAGCCTGCCTGAAAACTTTATGGGAAAACATACATGTAGCAAAGTTAAGAATGTGTTATTTTTGCCAGAGTCAGCAGCTTACACCTATGTCACGGTATTGCTTGGAGTAAAGTTATCATGTCATTCTTCTGTTGTTGCTTTTTCCACCCTCATTCCAGGTCATCTCATCTTTTTATGTTGAATGGGGAGGAAATGCCATGTCTTTCATGGGGAAAGGTGTCACAAAAAGTGCCATCCTTTGTTTGCTTCACTTGTCCCATGAAATGATGGCTCAGGCCCCAAATGTGGTAAGAGAACTTAAAAAAAAAAGATTAATCTTGGTTATTTCCAAATGATTCTAATTCAGTGTCACATTTTTTTTGTGGGACAAACACTGGGTAATGTTATGACAAAAATGACAATCAATGTTTATTTAGTCAGCAAAGAGCAAGTACATCTTTAGAACAAAATTTGAGCATAGTTTATAGACTTGAATGTCCCTTAGCAGCCAACTGAGTCTGAAGGGATGCAGAGACAGAAGATTACTAGTATTTTAACATAATGTCTCTAGTTCAGGTTTTTTTTATTGTTCTATGTAAGAATATTAATTTCCATTGGGTTTAATTTGCTGGCAGTTCCCTCCTCCTTTTTAACTAAGGATATTAAACAGTTAGTTTCTTAATGTGTGTGGTTTATTATTCTTTACCTACCTTATGACTACACCATGATGGAAATTGAACACCATGTGACATGCAAGCATGTTGTGTAGTCCTTTATCTGTCTGTCAGTCTACTTCTAAGTCTTTTGGGAAATAAAACTAGATAAAAAATAGGTCTTGGAGAGAACAACATGGTGGTGCTTCCCCCACTGGGAGAGGTATTTCCATGTATCACGATACCATAATACAAGGAAACAAATATTAAGAGGAACTGAAAAATAGGAGAAGGATTGGAAACATGGCTCTCTGATTCAAGGATAGCAGTATTTCCATTCCTTAAAAAAAGTTTCCAGCAACTTCCGTAGACAACTTCTGAAGTGTGCCTTTCTTGGAAAGGCCAAAATTCAGAGATATTGTACCGGTCTCCAAAGAGGCTTTGGCATCCCTATTTTAGAGAAGGTGCACATAAAATATCTGAATGAGGCCCTTGAGATGGTGCAGACCTTTTTGTTTGTTTGTTTTATTTTCTGTATTTTGCTGTCATGAAAAGCTACATCCATACTAATGAAATCAACAAAGATTTCCAGCTGGAGTAGAATTGTGGCATTCATATGACTCTCTCTCTCTCTTTTAGGATTGGGTATCTCTCTGGTTTTTGCCCTATGAAACAGGTGAAGAGCAGTCTCTTTCTCGGCAAGGCTTGGCTTGGCTGATTCCATTATGGGTAGATAGAGACCCAGAGGTCAGTAAAATCTCATCTTTTGGAGTTTTTTAATTCATACTTTTAACTCTAAAATGCTTGATGTTGTGTAATCAACACCTGGAATCCTGTTATTAGCAGCTAGTGGTGAAAGGAGGAAGAGGTCATGATTTTGAAACTATTGGTATGTTGGAGAAATAGCCTTCTCGGAGCTGACGGGTTTTGCCTGCATTTGCTTCACTACCCTGGGAAAAGTGCCCACTGCTAGAGTAGTGCACCAATAGGATGGTAGTTGACATCTCCAGACTTAAACATTGTTTATCATGGAAATGTGTGTATGATGAGTCACTTTTGCCCAGATTCAGGTTAGTCACTGGATGACTGGTTAGTACCTTTGCAGTGTAGAAAGCAACTCAGGTTTCCTGCTGTCCTCTTAAACTCTTAAATTTGGGACTGAAGGGCATAATCAGGGCACTGCTCCTGATTTTTTTTAACACAGAGCTGTAGCATTAAATGAGTCATATGATAGACATGTCCTATTAATATTTGAAATTTGCACGTGGAGATTGATTGTTAAATTGGTATTTCTTGTTAATAGCACTTTTTATACATAAGGTGTGACAAACTAGTAGAAAATAACAAAATTCTTGAAACATAAAACCAGGCCTCTATATCCACAGGTTCTGTTACATAGATTCCACCACTTATAACTTAAAAAAATATTTCAATTTTTGTCCCCAAAAGCAAGCCTTTATCTTGCCATTTTTATATGGGACACATTTTTCCTGTGCCAATGTATATAATGATCATCCATGTATTTTTGTATCCATGGGGTATCCTGGAATCAAAGCTCAGTGGATACCAAGGGGCCACTGTATATGCAAGGTTGACTTGTTTCTTTTGATTTTTTGAAAAGTTACAATAGTGAATGATCTTATCCTGACACCCTTCAGTATAGAGAACATTTTAACTAACTTTGGAAATAACAATAAACCTTAAATGATTTGGCACAAATCTGGATCAGATGAGCAGTTCTTGGTACTGCAGATAAGATGGAAAATCAAGAGACCTCCAATGTAATCTGTGTAGTTGACCATAAATTATTCTAGTGACCATCTGCCACTAGGAATGCGGTGGCAAAGAGACAACAATCCACAAGATGTTTTACCAATTTACTAGCACTCTGGCAGGGAAACTCTTTTGCTTAGTACAGAAAGTTTATACTAGGAGGCAATCCATTATCAGAAAATTTTCAATAATATTAAGAATACATTATTATTATTATTATTATTATTATTTGGGGTTCTTTTACCCCGCCCTTCTAACACCGAAGGGGACTCAGGGCGGCTTACAGAAGCAAAGGCACAATTTGATGCCTGCATCATAAAAACAATCATACACAAAGGTTCTTGTGGGTTTTTTCGGGCTATAGAGCCATGTTCTAGAGGCATTTCTCCTGACGTTTCGCCTGCATCTATGGCAAGCATCCTCAGAGGTGTGAGGTCTGTTGGAAGTAGGAAAAATGGGTTTATATATCTGTGGAATGGCTGGGGTGGGGCAAGGAGCTCTTCCCTGCTGCAGTTAGGTGTGAATGTTTAGCTGATCACCTTCATTAGCATTTGAAGGCTTGCCTGAGCCTGGGAAAATCTGTTGCTGGGAGGTGTTAATCTGTGCCTGGTTTTTTCCTCTCTGTTGTTTAGCTGTTATAATTTTAGAGTTTTTTAATACTGGTAGCCAGATTTTGTTCATTTTCATGGTCTCTTCCTTTCTGTTGAAATTGTCCACATGCTTGTGGATTTCAATGGCTTCTCTGTGTAGTCTGACATGGTGGTTGTTGGTGTGGTCCAGCATTTCTGTGTTCTCAAATAATATGCTGTGTCCAGGCTGGTTCATCAGGTGCTCTGCTATGGCTGACTTCTCTGGTTGAAGTAGTCTGCAGTGCCTTTCATGTTCCTTGATGCGTGTCTGGGCGCTGCGTTTGGTGGTCCCTATGTAGACTTGTCCACAGCTGCATGGTATACGGTAGACTCCTGCAGAGGTGAGAGGATCCCTCTTGTCCTTTGCTGAACGTAGCATTTGTTGGATTTTCTTGGTGGGTTGGTAGATTGTTTGTATGTTGTGTTTCCTCATCAGCTTCCCTATGCGTCAGTGGTTCCCTTGATGTATGGCAGGAACACTTTTCCTCTGGGTGGATCTTCATCTTTACTCTCGTGGCTTGTTCTTGGTTTTGCAGCTCTTCTGATGTCTGAGGTGGAGTATCCATTGGCCTGGAGAGCCCAGTTGAGGTGGTTCAGTTCATCTTGGAGGAGGTGGGGTTCGCAGATTCTTTTTGCACGGTCTGCCAAGGCTTTAATGGTGCTTCTTTTTGACTTGGGTGATGGTTGGAGTTTTTATGTAGATATCTATCTGTGTGTGTGGGTTTTCTGTAGACGGTGTGACCCAATTGTTGATCTGGTTTGCGGATGACTAGGACATCTAGAAAAGGCAGTCTTCCTTCATTTTCTTTTTCCATGGTGAACTGGATGTTTGGGTGGATGCTGTTAAGATGGTCCAGGAACCTGTTGAGTTCTTCTTCTCCATGGCTCCAAATGGTGAAGGTGTCATCCAGCTGTGGACAAGTCTACATAGGGACCACCAAACGCAGCGCCCAGACACGCATCAAGGAACATGAAAGGCACTGCAGACTACTTCAACCAGAGAAGTCAGCCATAGCAGAGCACCTGATGAACCAGCCTGGACACAGCATATTATTTGAGAACACAGAAATGCTGGACAACACCAACAACCACCATGTCAGACTACACAGAGAAGCCATTGAAAGCCACAAGCATGTGGACAATTTCAACAGAAAGGAAGAGACCATGAAAATGAACAAAATCTGGCTACCAGTATTAAAAAACTCTAAAATTATAACAGCTAAACAACAGAGAGGAAAAAAACCAGGCACAGATTAACACCTCCCAGGAACAGATTTTCCCAGGCTCAGGCAGACCTTCAAATGCTAATGAAGGTGATCAGCTAAACATTCACACTCAACTGCAGCAGGGAAGAGCTCCTTGCCCCACCCCAGCCATTCCACAGATATATAAACCCATTGTCCTAATTCCAACAGACCTCACTACCTCTGAGGATGCTTGCCATAGATGCAGGCGAAACGTCAGGAGAAATGCCTCTAGAACATGGCCCTATAGCCCGAAAAAAACCCACAAGAACCTAGTGATTCCAGCAAAGGCACAATTTGATGCCTGCATCATAAAAACAATCATACACAAAATTACATCAATTCACAGTTGACAACAATTCATACATTATAACAATAAAATCAATAAAATCAATAAAACCAATACAAACCCAGTTTCTCCTCTTACATGGGCAGCGTTCGCTAACTCATAGATCTAATTTAACGTTCCACTTCATCAATCCTACATATTGCCTTTCTCAACCAGCATTTTACCTAAGATACAAAAATTGTTAAACTAGCCCTGCTTTACCTCAAATCCAACAATTTGTATGACTCTTCAGATGTGTGAAATCATTTTGTAGTTCTAGTATGGAAATGTGCAGTAAGAAGGTGACACCAAGACTTTTCAAATCCAGGTACATATTCTTTTGTCCCTGGGCTGGTTTCTAAATGTGCCAGAGGGAAATAAATGAGAAAGTACATTGTTGAATAAATGCACCATGTCCACCAGCTGTGGTTTAGCATCTGTGGATATTCATTAAAATGGTATGCAAATGTGTTAATTACATTCAGCTAGTCATTAAATTGTGTGAATTTGCAGAAGCTCTCAGTCTCATGATGTATTTTTATGTGGCCCTTGATACTGAACAAATTACTCTGAGTCAAAGTAAAACAACAATAGGTAACATAATCTTAAAACGTGTGGTTTTAAAAACGTCTGGATAAAATGAACATGGGAGAAAAGGGAAATATTAACAGGAGGAAAATAGCCATTATTATTACACACACACACACACACACCAGGACAAAGAGACAAAGGAAAATAATATCTGTTCCAGCAACTCTTTGCTTACTTAGAAGTCAAGATGGAAGTCAAGACGCTACTAGTTGCGTTTACCATTTCTTTCCCCTCTCAGTGCAAGAATTAATGTGAGAAACATAAACTATATAATAAAATCCCTTCCACTTTTTCTGCAATAGCACATGTACCTATTTCTGGAAAGGGATTTTTTCGATTTTACTGTAACACAAGCCATCTCTCTCCAGTAGATGTTACTATCATTGTTTATCTTAATGGTTCCTTATTCAATTTCTCTCAAACCGTGGCAATTTCCCACATATAGAAATGTACAATTGTGCCTGAAGATAAGAAAAATATTTTCTTTGTTTTTTTTTTTTGTTTTTGTTTTTGCTGTACAATTGCTTCTAGGCATCTACAGTACCCTCATCCTGAAATCTCAAGGGAAATACATAATATTTTTGTTTTGTACTGTTGTGCTGGTCAGAATTCATCGGAGGGTGCAGTGGAATAGGAAATTTGTGATCCCAGTTGATGTACAATTGATGTTATTGAATAAAAGTTTAAACAATGGGGTGCTGTACTAGAATGAATATCTTAAACATCAGACAGAATAATTTTAACAAAGTTTCTAATGTTTGCAGTGCCAATTTTCCTTTCTGGAGCAAGGACCAGTATATATAAACTGTTTGCTTAAACTAGTTCCTCAGGCAGGGAAACACTTAGAATCATAGAGTTGGAAGAGACCTTGTGGGCCATCCAGTCCAACCCACTGCCAACAAGCAGGACAATCACATTCAAAGCACCCCCAACAGATGGCCATATTTCCTTATTACCGTATTTCTTCAACTGTAAGATGCCATTGATTGTAAGACACTCCTTAACTACCAAAAGCAACAACAAAATGCATAAGATACCCCTGCGATTCAATTTTTAGAGATGTTTATATAGGAAGAATGGATGTCTTAAAACTGAAGAAATACAGTATTTGTTATTGTTAATAGTAGTCTTGAAGAAAAGAATGCTAAATTAACAGAATAGAGACCAGACAAAATTCTTTAATGCTTGGTTTATTTATTTAAAATGGAACAATATATTTGTGTTAAAATGGAACAATATATTTAAAATGGAACAATATATTTGTGTTCCTTTTAGGTGTACGAAGCTTGTAGAGCAGTGGTTCCTAACCTCCAGGAGTTTTGGACTTCAGCTCCTAGAATTCCTAACAGTTGGCCATACTGGCAGAGGCTTCTGGGAGTTGAAGTCTCCACACCCGGAGAACCAAAGGTGGGGAACCACTGGTCCAGAGTATAGGTGGGACTCATGTGATATTCGGAATGTTGCCTAATTACAGTTCCTATCAGCCTTATCTAGAATGGGTGATGGCAAGGAATGCTAGGAGCTGCAGTTCAACAGCCTCTAAAGAAAAAGGCATTGCCCACCCATGATTTAGGACCATGTTTATTTTTTGCATTCAGTCTTCTGGAAAATACATTCTTTAAAACATTCCCACAACTGGCCCGAGGCAAAACATGTGAAAACTGTAATACTGGCTTTAATAACCAATTTGTAATTGTTCAAAGCAATTGTAAATGAGAACAATCATAAAGACAGCAAGACAGTGCTACATGGACTGGAACTTGGAGTTGATGGTGAAAATTTAATTGATTCTCATTAATTTTAGGTAAAGTTCACATCACTTGCAGTAGGATCCGCGCTTACATCGGTTGAAGCCGGTTGCTATGCTTTAGCTGAAAGCTGCCGGAACATATCAGGAGGCTTGTGGGGAACAGTGATTAACATCCTTCTGGACAAATCTGAATGCAGTATGGTCAGAAGAGAGGTTTGTATGCTTTGCTTTTTGTAAGAATATAGTCATATAATCATGCATTCCAAAGACTAATATGCAATCAGTATTGGGTTATATTTTCAATAATAAGACATGCTGGAAGTTACAATTCAACAAAATCTGAGCTATTGCAGTTGCCCAGGCTATTTCAGGGCTGGAAGCATTTTCTTTAGAGAAGCATTTGTTAAGTGCCATATTCTTAAATTGTAAGTAAAACATTTGAAGGAAGACTAGGTACCATAGTATAACTCCCATATTCCACTGCCATCAAATATGTTTTTATTGTGGTCTGTTTTGATGTGTTTAGTTGAATTTGATATGCTGGGCCTCTTAAAAATCCAAACTTAAGCTTCACTGATGATCCAAACAAATGTTTCTAGAAGAGGAATATAGAATGAAGACAACTCCTCGTAATGATTTTAATTATTAAGAAAATCTATTGTTTCTGTATTTTGTAGATAAACAAGGTGAGATGTGATTAAAAAGAGAAGTAATAAACCGAAAACAGTTTTCAGGGGTTGTTGAAGTATTAACAATTAAAAAGATTGGGACTAAAATTAAATTTAATGTGTGCACCTATCTCTTAACTACATAATGGACATTTCAGGCAGTGATATTATTATTCCATATATTAATTTCTTGTATTACTTAAATAACCCACCCCCGGTCTGAATTTACAATGCCATCTAACATGGTAGTATAAGTTGAGACAGGGAAATAAAATAACCTACTGAATATTAGTTCCTGGAGTCTTAAAATGAAAAATACAGTAGTGAATTGAATAACAGTTCTGTGTATATTTGAAGCTACTTGGTTTAGGTTATTTAACTGCAGCCAGATGGCACTGTTGATGTTTATTTTCTCTTTGTAGGCTGCATTTATTCTTCAGAATCTTTTGGTGATTCCATTGTCCACTGAAGAGGTTAAAGACCCCATTTGGCAGGTGACTGGTTGACTTGACTTATTGCCTCATTTCCTCAGTATGATTAAACGCAATATTTCATAACCTTGTTAGAGTAGAGCAAGGACACCAATTTTAAATGCGTGGTAAAATGTGGATTATGTTCTACATTTATAAAGTCAAGAGGTAGTCAAAATATTATCCCCTCCTCCAGGATTATTGATCCTTAAACAGAGAAGATTGACAGAACCTTGTACTTTCAAGTCAATTTCAAGATGTCATGTAAAATAACCCAGGACACCATTCACTCAGAGCCTTCTGTTGCAGCAGCTTTTAAAGACCTGGCTGTGTTTGTCTGTTCTAGTATAAAAAGATATAAGGGAATCCTGTGGCACAAGCTTTTGTGGATTCCTTCTTTGCATATGACCTGTAGTTCAAAAAAGCTTATGTTAGAAATGCCTTAGTTTTAAAGGTGCTAAGGATTCTTCTATGATTTTTTTTAACCTTGACAGTCATGACTTTATACATTTTAGTACAAGGAAAAGATCTTCCTCATTGATATAAAGGACTTCAGTTCTTAACTTTACTTGCATGTTGCAGAATGCAGAATGCTCTGGATTATTACAATATGTGTGTAACATTTTTCAATAATTATGGTTTTCTGTGTGGCTCACCATAACAAAATTTGGTTTGTGGTTTGATTGCTACAATGTATATATTTTATTTAATTTTATTTATGTGCTACCTTTCTCTTGGAGCAGGACCCAAAGTGGGTTTCAAAATTAGTAGCCAGGTACTACAATTGAAGAACAACTAAAATCATGTCATAAAACATTTTAAAATTAAAATTTAGAAAAGATTCAAGAAAGAAATAATACATCCTTCAAAAGAATTGAAGCCACCCCCAACCTCTTATACATTAAAAACTTGTAGTCTGCCAGCAAAGGCAAGCAAGGATGGGGTCAGGCTAGCGCTCTATGGAAGGAGTTCAAGTGAATTGGAGTAGTGAAACATGAAGATCTCAAAGTCCTCAGATTGGTGAGGGAGATAAAGTCCTTCGGATAGTTCAGACCTAAGAAATATAGAGCTTTGTAGGTTGAAATGACCCAGGGCCGTTCATCACTGCCATATAAACCAAAATATCAAGGCAGATAATCCACAATATGTGCTTTGAACTGGATTATCTGAGTCCACACTGCCATATAATCCACTTCAATATGGATTTTATACAGCTGTGTGGAAGGGGCCCCAGTAGCTGGTGAAGCTGTTTTAAAAAGGGCTCTCTAAACTGCTGTGACCCACCTTGAGCCATGGGGAGGGGCAGGTAAGATATCTCTCTCTCTCTCTCTCTCTCTCTTTCTCTCTCTCTCTCTCTCTCTCTCTCTGTGTGTGTGTGTATCAGACATCAACATCAGTATCCGACGATGAGAACTTATATTTGCCTCAGTACTGTCTCAGGTCAACAGAAGTACAATCTTCTGGAAACTTCATCTGTAGAACCTGGCTACCAATTCATTGGATCCATCATTATAGCTCTCGCTCTTTCTCCTCCCTCCCCCCCCCCCCCCCCCAGATTGAGAGAGAGAGAGGCTTCCAGCATTGTCTTACTGATGCTGATTAATTTCCAGGTCTGCAGCAATAGTCATGGCAGAAATATGACACTTCCAGGATGTTTTCACAGCACACAATTCTAGTATTATATTCCACTTTTAATGGCCATCTTGTTCAATCCTGGGGCTTTTCACTTGGTGAGGCAATGCAGGTCTCTGGCTAGAATTCTAAGCAAACTACAAAACCTTAAGATTGGCATGGCAATCAAAGTGAAATCATGGTGCTGTAATTATATACATATACATGAATCCACTGGGTGAGGTCATCTGGAGTTCTGGAGAATGGTGCCACCTATATACAGATGACACCCAACTTTATTACTCCTTTCCACCTAAAGTCGAGGAAGTTGTACTGACCCTAAACCAGTGTCTGTCATCAGTAATGGACTGGATGAGGGTAAACAAATTAAAACAATCCTGGCAAGACAGAGGTACTCCTGGTCAGTCAGAAGGCAAATCAGGGAATAGGAATTCAGCCTGTGCTGGATGGAATTACACTCCCCCGAAGATACAGGTACACAGTTTGGTGACCTTCCTGGACTCAGCATTGAACCTGGAAGCCCATGTATCTGCAGTGGCCAGGAGGGCCTTTGTACAATTAAAATTTGTGCACAAACTGCGCCCATTCCTTGAAGGCCAGTTCTGGCTATGATGGCACATTACTTAGTTACCTCCTGTGTGGATTACTGTAATGAGCTTCCTCTGAAGAGTGCTCAGAAACTTCTGCTGGTCCGAAGATCCGCAGCCAAATTGCTCACTGGGGCTGGCTACAGGAAGTGGACAACCACCTTGTTGCAGCAGCTCCACTGGCTGCCAGCCTGTTTCTGGGCATAATTCAGAGTCGTGGTTATGATCTTTAAAGCCCTAGATGTGTCAGGTCCAGGCTATTTAGCTGACCGAATCCCCTTGTATGAACCTGCCTGGACCCTGAGATCTTCAAGAGAGGTCCTTCTCTTGGTCCCACCTCCATCTCAAGCTCGGTTGATGGGAATGAGAGAGCGGGCCTTCTCAGTGGCTGCCCCACAACTCTGGAACTCCCTTCCCAGAGAAGACAGAATGGCTCTCTCCCTGTTGTCGTTCTAATGGCAGGCTAAAACCTTTTTATTCTGACAGGCTTTTAAAGATTAAGGTTTTAAAGATCAAGTCAGGGGGTGCTGTGGTTTTTAACTTTGAATATGTTTTAATTGATTTTAACAATTTTTAAATATTGTTATATTTAATTCTGTGTAAATGGTTTGCATATTTGTGTTTTGTAATTTGTATGCTAATGCTTTTATGTTAAGCCGCTTTGAGTCTCCTTCGGGAGAAATGTTGTTGTTGTTGTTGTTGTTGTTATTATTATTATTATTATTATTATTATTATTATTATTATTATTATTATGTAAAGTGAAAAGGCCCCCAAAGTGCTGAGCAAAACGACATAACTAAAGTTATTATAAAGTAGTCAATTGTTATGGTAGCCAGAAGTTTTCATGTTTTAGATTTTATGGTCTTATATCCAGCAATTGTCATTCCTTGCTCCCTTGAAAGGCAATGGCTCCCAAATAGAGACATCAGAAATTAGGAATCTGACAGTAGTTGGTGTTTTAAAGAGCTGTTTGAATAAATGATTTTAAAATATAGTTGAAAGAGGAAAGGATGGAACAGAGAAATGAACGGATTAGTATAGAAACAAACAGTACGGATTAGTATAGAAATTTAGTAAGCCCTCTGTTTTGTGTCTTATCAGTTTTTAAACTGTAGCTTAATGCTTTCTAATATGACTGCGCAACACTTTGAAAATGTTTAGTGAATGCTTAATGATTTTTTCCCATTTAAATGTTCACTGTCGTAATAATTTTAATGCATTGGAACAGTGAGAAGAAACAAATTCTTCCCATTTTAGCAGAGGAATTGATGATAGGCAAAACCAGAAAAGTTCTCTAGTAATTCTCATTGCATGTATGGATTTTTCTTTCTTTCTTTCACTGTTGTAGTGTGAAATGTAAAATCATCCTTATTTGAGTTGAGGACATTTTACATGTAGAATCCCACCTTTCATATTGTTGAAGGCTTACATGGCCAGAATCACTGAGTTGTTGTAGGTTTTTCAGGCTGTATGGCCATGTTCTAGAAGCATTCTCTCCTGACGTTTCACCTGCATCTGTGGCAAGCATCCTCAGAGGTTGTGAGGATGCTTGCCACAGATGCAGACAAAACATCAGGAGAGAATGCTTCTAAAATATGGCCACACATGTTCTTGAGTAAGAGTTAAAATGGACACTAATCAGTTGAAATGTGTCTTGATCTAGTTAAACGATTGGGCCAAAGTCTAGATCTAATTATATGATTGGGCTGAAGCATAGGGATGAACATGGAAGGACCATTTTCCTTAGGTTATTGTTGCCTGTTTTCTGTTTTGTTTACTAGTTCTATAACTTCATGAGCTCCATTTAGAATTCCTATTCATTTTAATGAAGTAGAGGTATTATTGAAACTTAAAGCCAGCCTAGCTCTAAAAATCTCTCACATATCCCAAGGGGATAATATTAAACTGACAGAGGATTTTCTCAGATAGAGGTCTGATTGCATGAACTATTAGCCTGAATTCTGGTAAGCTGTCTCATATTGACAATAGTACTACCTTTCTCTGTGAACAGAGATTTTTTTTTTGCAAGGTGGGTTTGTATATTACACCATGTGTGTGTGTGCGAGAAGAAACATTAAACATTCTGTTTCTAGTGCTATAGCTCTTTAAATATTAAACAGGTATTTTAGCCTGTATTGCATAGAAAAAAGAGCATATCATGATTTGGATCCCAAGATAACAGAAAGAAATGGAACAATTTCACAGAAGGTGCCTCTAGCCAAATTTTGAGCAATTCTCCACTCCTTCCAGACTTAACTATCCCCATTTAAAATTGTTGAAGAGATTCCTGATGCCTTGGAGGTTTCTTAAGTTTCTGGATAGGCTTTTTAAAAGATTGCAAGAATGATATAACTCCTTTTGTACACTTTTGTTTATTTAGTGCATTTTCAAATCACCCAATAATTGTACTTCTCTGAATGCTTATGCAGTCGCTTAAACTTATAATCAAGGTTCTGAATACCATGAAGTACAGAATTAAAGAAATAGCCGCATTAATCTATTGAAGCATGGAAAAAAAGGGAATGAGAAAAAGGGAATCTTGCAACACTCATGCTATCTGTCCACCTGAGAAAGTAGATTGAGGTCCATAAAATTTGCACTAAAATATACTAAAATATAAGTCTGTTAGCCTTAAAGGTGCTGCTAGAGTCCCTTGCTACCATCCCTTCTTCATTTTTACACACAAACAGGAGTCTTCTTTCATCATTTTCCATAGTGAGAGAACATCCAATTGGAGTGCATCTACACTATAGAATTAATGCAATTTGACACCACTTTAACTGCAATGGCTCAATGCTATGGAATCCTGATAGTTGAAGCTTTGCAAGGTCTTTATGTCGGGACACAGACGCCTTAAAGGGCCAGATTCAGAGTTAGTTCCAAAACAGAGTTTATTAAACAAAGGAAAAAGACTCAGAGACACTTAACTCAGAGTCTCTGGTCAAAACTCAAAGGTAAAAACCAGTCTTAGTTCAAAAAGGTAACTACAGTAATAATCCGGATTATCCTGAGAAAAGAACCGGATTAAACAAAAGCACTCCGAAAGTCACACAAAACAGCTCAGCATGCAAACGGTTAACAAAACAAGGAAGCCACAAGGAAGAAAGCGTGGTCAAGCGAAGTCCAGGGTCGTAGCAAGCAGAATCTGAAGTAGTGAAGTTCCAAAGTCCACGAAGGCAGCATCGTCGTCAAACTGGTCCAAGGTCAAGGAAGGGGGAAATCCACACTCACAAGAATCCAAGCCGAGTCAAAAGCGCACACAAACGGAAACAGCAACCTGCAGATCCAGGACCCAATGCCAACACGAAACAGGCAGCGACAAGTACCCAACGCACGAACTAACCAACACCTTGCCTTCTGCAAAGATTCCCCATTTCAGAGCCTACTTTTATCTTGCACATCATCATCAGAAGATGAGCTGACCTCCACCCCTTGCAGCTGTTCTTGATTCCACACGTGAATTCCTACTCCCATCTCTCCAAGTTCTCCATCTTCTGTCAAGACTTAGATCCCCCGAAGACTCAGATGTATTCCCTGATTGCCAATCCTCATTACCAGAAAACCCCACAAATGTATCACTAGACGTCAGCTCCGCACATACAGCTTGTACCTCTTTTACATTAGTCCAGTCCAATGTGTCATCCCCATCTTCATTACTCCCTGACCCATCACTCCCAGAAAAACCCACAAATGATTCTTCATCTGCGGGAGCAGTAAGTATATCCTGGATCTTTTTCCTCTGTCGCTCCTCATCCGATTCTTGCTCCTGAGTAGCCCTCTTTGTCCCCCTATTCCCATCCAGTGTATCTCCTTCCTCTCCCTCACTCAGTGACCCTTCATCTCCAGAGAATCCCTCGAATGAGTCCTCATCGGTAGGTGCCATAAGTATATCCTGGATCCTTTTTCTTTGTTGTTCCTCATCTGACTCCTGCTCATGAGTACCCCTTTTCCCCCTTCTGGCGCTAATACTACTGCTTGCAACGTTACTTACAGGCTCTACTACAACACTTTAATTTTCTCTGCCAGAGTGCTGTTGCCTCACCATCCTTTCTGGAGCATGTTGGAGAAAGGGATTTATTTATACTCTTTATACTCTTCTTCTAGTGCAGTCATTGAACCAGCACATGCAACACCAAATCATCAGATTACAAGGTGTTTTGTAGTTTCAAGGCTAAAGAAGTCACTGCATGCACAAAACTGTAACATGCAACCGACTCAGTGATTTTTAGCACTCCCCTGTGGCTGTGAAGTGCTAGACATAAAAATAGTAAATTGGCATCAGCAGAGCCAAATATCCAAACTTTGATTCAATGTCATCCTGCTTAACATCTGCAATATTCCCAGAATAGGCAGTTGTCTCGCTTGATTCCATCAGTGCACACTGCTGACATCTTCTGCACATGGATTCTTATTCCGTAAAATAGAACTAGCAAAACTATTGCCTAGACTTGAATTAATTCTCTTACTAGATGTGCTTTCCTTCATACAGCTGTTGCATAATTCTTTTTTTTTTCTCATGTCAAGTCGCTTCTGGTGTGAGAGAATTGGCCGTCTGCAAGGACGCTGCCCAGGGGATGCCCAGATGTTTGCTGTTTTACCATCCTTGAAAGAGGCTTCTCTCATGTCCCTGCATGGGGAGCTGGAGCAGACAGAGGGAGTTCAACTCGATCCCCCCGGATTTGAACCACTGACCTATCGGCCAGCAGTCCTGCCGGCACAAGGGTTTAACCTTGTTTAGTAAGGATAGTGGCAAAATTAGAACAAAACAAATCAGATGGGAATGAAGAATCATACGTGACCTTTCCCCCTTTTTTTGAAAGTCTCGCAAAGTGCTAAAAAAAGTACCTGTCAACTGAGGTCATAAACCAAGGTCATTCGGACAAGTAAGCAATACTCCCCCACAAAAAAAAGGGAAAGTAGTTCTGGTTGTTCAATAAGGAAGTGATGGAGCTGCGGTGGCATAATGGGTTAAACTCTTGTGTTGGCTGAACTTCTGATCTGAAGGTTGGGAGTCCAAATCCACGAGACGGGGTGAGCTCCAATCTGTCAGCCCCAGCTTCCCATGCAGGGACATGAGAAAAGCCTCCCACAGGATGATAACACATCTGGGCATCCCCTGGGCAACATCCATTCAACCAGCCAATTCTCTCACACCAGAAGCAACATGCAGCATATTCTCAAGTCGCTTCTAACACAATAAAAAAGGAAGTGACTAGCAGAATTCTGCAAATTGTGTAAAATTTCCGCATTGGGTTGATCTCCCTTTCTCTCTTTCTCTGAGTGTTAACTTTTTTGCTTTAGGGGAGAAATAGTGAACTATTCAGATGAACGCTTATTTCTATAGCTTCATTCATCAGGGTTCAGGTTAATCTGGTAGTGCTTATATTTCTATTGATCATGTATCCACACCTTGTTAGCTATCTTACATTCCAGCCTTTGGAGAAAAGTGGGATAGAAATAAATAGGAAAAGCTAAAAAATATATCCTTTTTTTTTTGAATAAGTGAAGATTTTCAGGTATGACTGGGGGACCCAGATGTTGGGTTTTCCAGATGTTGGGCAGCTACACCCCTCCTAGCATCCTCACAATACAGATCTTTGCTGGGTCGAGAGCCTGTTCTATGAAGAGAGATTTTTGACCACCCTTTTCCCTCTCCTTTCAGGGTCCTTGTGTGCATGATGAAGAATATGGTGTGTCTCTCACTGGAAAACCTGCCCTCCTGGCTCTACTATATCACTGCCACTTCTATGAGCATTTGAATGAAATGGTGAAAGACTGCTATCTAGGTCGGTTTACATTTGATCTGCATTGTTCCTTGGAACACAGCCAGGCAACAGAGAAGAATAGTCTAAATGGTAAATGACAGTTTAATGAATTAATATAGCTTGGATTTCACTTGCTTTTCTACTTGGGATTACTGGTTTTAACTCTGGGAGTCTTCTAAAGTATTGTCTTTTGTGTGTGTAAAATTAAAATAGCCTCTCACATAAAATATCACTTGATCAGGTGCCGTATCCAAGAAGCAATTATATTCATAGCTGGAGACGGGAGAAAAAAGCAGATTGGATAACTCCTTCCTTCTCTTTGTAAAATATAATAATGGGGTGTAGGAGAAGTGTGAAGCAAATTAATTAGAACTTCTAGAAGGATGAATCTAGTACAATGGGAAGAAGATGCTGAAAAAGGCAATATGTGGGCTCTTACAATTATGTGAGCATTTCATTTCTCTGTTGTAAGTGATTGTCTTAGTGATGCATTGCAAGGAATTTCAGATTGGGATTTTGAAATGTTTTTATAAATTGAAAGAATTGTCACTGTTCCAAAGAGAATGAGACATGCTTCATACAGATACTTCAAAGCAAACAATGGGGGGGGGGGGGGGGGGACGACTCCTGGAAGAGTTATCATGGGGAAGAGATGTCTCAACTGAAGCTTCCTCCCCAATCCTTGTTACCACAACAAGTCATTTTTTTTCCAAAATCCAGTTATTACAGGGACAGAAAGTGCAGTAAAATCTTCTGAACAGGGGCACAGAAAGCAAAGCAAACACCACAGAGATGGTGCTATGCACACCTCTATCTATACTGTTGTCTGTCCTGTCTGTGTATAATGGCATTGAATGTTTGCCGTATATGTGTTCTGTCATCCACCCTGAGTCTCTTTTGGGGAGAGAAGGGCAAAATGTAAATACTGTAAGTAAATAAATAAAATTTGGCTATGGTTACACTTAAAAATGTACCTGTTCCAGCTTGCAAACATATGCAACTTATGAATAAACCTACAGAACCTATCTTGTTCATAACTTGGGAACTGCCTGTACTTCCCTTCAAATTTTAATTTTATAAAACGTAAGTTGGGCTCATAAATTATACTCAATAAAATAAAAAAAATGTCAGTCATCTGCCATTAATAAGTTCAAGAAGAACTTGCCTGCAATCTGTGCAGGGATGGAAGGGTCAATACCACTTATTTTTCAGGGGGAGGAAGAACAGATCATTCTGGAGAACAAGAGGAAGGTGAGTAGGCACATGGCCCACTCTGCAAGCCGGGATCCTTTAAGTTGAAGGTATAGACCCTCCAAAACACCCCTTTGTGATTCTCCAACGCAGAAGAAAAAAGGGAGAGCCAACAAAGGATATTCTGTCACTTGAGGCTGCAAGCCAAGCATGCCAGTGTTACATGAAAAACACTGAAGATGCATTGTGTCAAGATTTAATGTTTTACACACACAAATTGTTTGAAAATAAATTTATTTATGATTCATTATCAGTGAATATTTGCTTTGTATACCTGTTCGTATGCCTGTATACATAGGGTCACCCCAATCTCTTACAAGGTTCAGTTTAAGAGACACAGCCAGCAAAGTAACCAGGCATCTCATCCTCTCAGAAAGAAAGTTTTGTTTTGAAAGGTTGAAAAATACAGAAAGGCTAGAGCCCCAGTGGTGCTCCCAAAATGAAGGGACCATGAGCAGTGACTGTACATTTGCTTTTCTAGGGCTGTGCCGCCATTTTGGGGCATGGCTCAATTATTATCAGGCTCAATTGATTAGAAGACAATCAGGCAATTTCACATTATGGTCCATATAATCTGTCCCATACCCTCCCTTTGTCTATAGTTCTTAACAGTAGGAACTTTTTGTCCCAAACCACCATGTGCAAGGCTAGTGCTAAGCCAATGAGGCAGAGGAGGGTCCAGCAAGCTTCCAGCTTATTAAAACCATTGGTGTCTAGCAGGGTGGTTACAGACTGTTCTCAACATAAAGAATTCGTAGGCAAAAAGGGGTTGTGAGTGAAAAAAGTTTAAGAAATCCTGGTTTAAAAGACTGACCTTTTGTTTCCCTCCTCTCTCCCCAGATCTTGATGACTCTGTTTCTTTCTGGAAAATCCAATCTAGCCAGGGCCAGGGCCAGTCTGCAAGTTCCCATTCAACATCTGACACTGTGGTGAGTTTGGAATTGTGTGAGTTGCTGTTGTAATCTAAACTAAATTGTGCAAATAACTAGGATTGCATTGGGTCTCTTCCTTTCCTTTCAGTCAGTAAAGTTTTCCGGGTCATGGGCGACTTGAGAAACTGCAAGTCTCTTGTGGTGTGAGAGAATTGAACATTTGCAAGGATGTTGCCCAGGGGACGCCCGGATGTTTGATGTTTTACCATCCTTGTGGGAGGCTTCTCACATGTCCCCACATGAGGAGCTGGAGCTGACAGAGGGAGCTCAACCCACTCTCCCCAGATTCAAACTGCTTACCTCTTGGTCAGCAGGCCTGCTAGCATAAGAGTTCAAACTACTGCACCACCAGGAGCAATAGTTTAACATGTATTATAGTTTTATATGCAAAGTATTATATGGCATATATAGTTTAAAGAGTTTCTGTTGATAGGAACTAATTTCTATTCCTAAAAAGAAACTTATTCTAAAAATGACTAAACTGTGATACTATATACCAATTTTGTACAATCTTCTCTCAAAGCTGCACACAAGTTATTTTTAACATATATCAACAACATAAAAACACATTCCCATTTTTATCCATTTTTAAAAAAATCTTGCTCTTCTAAAGGCAGGTCTTTTTCACCACTAGTGAGCAGGATTTATATGCCTATCAGAAAATGTCTATGTTCAACCTCTTCCACATTCTGAAGTCATTACTGGAAGGGTTTAGCTGATGTGAGGAGCTAACATGCTACTGTATATTTTTATAACCATCTTAAATTATTATTGATTTTTATGTGCCCAAGATCTTATTTTTTCAGCTCTAAAAACAGAAGCTTTTAGACAGCACAGCTGAGAAATGAAGAGCTTAATAGCATCTATGATTTTTCTTTCTGCTCTTAAATGTTTTCTACTTATAATTTCTGAAACTCTTCCTCTCTTTAAGAAAAAATGTGTAAATTCTCAACAGTACAAACTGACACTGGATAAATCAAGAGCTTCTTGATAATGTTAAACCATTAAAAATACAGATTTTGAATAAGCTACAATCCAAATGCTGTGTCAGTGGGTTTGTGTTTTTCCCCTTCACTCTTTCTCACATAGTGAAAGGTTCTTTGACGTAATATATACATGCACACAAAGCATTGTGCAAATCTGATATTCTATGTTTCTTGGGCATCAGCTTTTAGCGGCTTTTCCTCAAGACCCTTTAGATTGAGTTGCTCACACAGAAGAGCTTTTTGTAGCCCAGTGAGCCACAGCCCACTCTTGCAGTAATTTCCTGTGAAGAAAAAATACACTTTGAGGTGGAATTAAGCAATACCTGCAGAGATTCAATTTTTCACAGATCTACTGAAGAGACAAGAGTTCACCTGTCAAGCTTCTCATCTGTCTCTGATTCTAACAGAGTTCTTTAGACGTGGATTTGGCCCCATTACTGCCCAGACCTTGGCTAGAAAGGGGGTGCTATAAAAAAGCCCTAAAAGATATCCTATTAAAGAATGAGAAATCCATGACAAATTTAAAACATTTTTTCCCTTATGATCTTGGTCCAGCAAAGCCCAGGAATTGTAAAGAGTAAACCTGAGAAGTCTTTATACCTAAGGAATAAGAGCAGTGAAGAACTTATGACCTTGTTGAGCTTTTCCTCTGAATATTCTCCCTTATTCATTATACTGGTGGAGACTTAAAGTTTAACTTGATTTCACCTCCTTTTTCTAGCTTTTGCTGGACTGCAGTTTACATCATCCATACTAATTAGCTAGTCTAGCGATAGATTATGGGAGTTACGGTACATTAATGTTTGGTCTGCTGTAGGTCTTGCTCTGTCCTAGGAGCTGATCCATACGCTCCATCTTGGTAGGACTATGAAATGTCATCATCTATTTAGTTTCAATCTCATATGTCTATAAGCCATTATGCAAATTATTACAAGTTGTGGTAATAGAATCTTTCCATTACTGACACACAGTTGTTGTCTTGTTGACTTGAAAAAGTAATAAATTTGATTTCTGTTTTTAGTGCCCCAAATTGCATAAACACATAAGAATCCTATTTTCCCATTAGTGAATCTTGAACGCCTTGGTTTCGTAAACTCCGATACAGAATTTACTATCTTCAAATAAGAGAAATCTACTGACTGCATATTGCTTTCTGTGTTCACGTGGTGTTCTTTGGAGACCAGTTAATGAAAAATTCCTATAAAGATATGGATATTAATAGGGGAATCTTAATTACTGTGTGTGGTTCTTTTTCTTAGATTTTTTCTTCTTCACCATCTTTGGGTTGTGTTAGGGAAGTACCAGCACCTACATCACCACCTCTTAATCGATTCATGGCTCAAGGTAAATATTGTTGATCACTATACATAAGCACGATCTTCTAGGTTGGCTGGCTCTTCTGTCTCACACTGCACCTAACAGTAGTCTCCATATGTTATTTCAAAGTTGACGTTTCACTGTTCTGAGTGGGAGGAGGAGAAAAGAAATCTTAACTGTGCAAAAATCTGTCTGAAAATGTTTCTTGACTGCATCCATCAAAAGTTACATATTAGAGAACTATTGTGCATTCCATGCCCTCTCTTGGATGCCAAGACCTTGTTTAAACTAGGTGTTTTTCTTTTACCTTGGTTTTGACTTAAACTTTTATATTATTTGTTCCAATGGCAAAGAATTTGATAATGTATTCATGTACCTGAAATCCAGTAGCTGATCAAATCCTCTTTACTTATGTGAAGAATATAGCTTTGCATTTTGTGTATATTCACAGCTTATCTTCAAGCAATTATATTACTCAAATGTTTGTTCTCTCTCTAAATTTTTGTGTTCTAGGTCAGAGTGACACAACCACAATAGCTTTGAGTCCACATGATTCCTTGCAGTCTGTTATTAGTTCTCATCAGTCTGCAGTGGTTACACCTCATCTCCTGTCAGCTGTTTGTAGCTTGCTGAACAACCTGCTGATTGTCACTCCAAAAGATACCGGAATTGCTCTTCTGCAAGCACATACACTAACTGCTCTCAGTAGGTAAGAGATCAAAACTTCCTCGGATAACAAAAAGACAAAGTACGTGAAAAGGACAAATGTTACCCAAGGCTTGATCAGCAGTGACAATTCAGAATGCTCAAAATGAACTTTTAAGATTGAACTAGAAGAACCATCAATGCTTGCAAAGAGTAGAGCTGCCTGAATAATCTACAGTGGGCCCTCCACATTCACTGATTTGACAACCACAGATTCATGTATTGGCAGGTGTGCCATTGCCTCATTGCAACTGCTTTCTCCCATTTTCTAGGGCAAAAGCAGTATTTTGTTTGGATTCCTTATCCCGTAGATTAGAGGTGCCAAATCATTTTCATTGAGGTCCACATCAGCCTTATGGTTGCTTCAAAGGGCCATTGAATCCAGAGGGCAAGCTATATTTTACTGTAGTAGTTGGTGCTATAAAACCCTATTTGGGTTCCCAGATGTTTTGAGCAACAGCTCCAATCATTTTTGATTACCCTCCATGCAGACTGGAGATAATGGGAATTGCAACCCAACAGCACTTGTGGCTCAGAGTTTCAGGAAAGTTTAAAGGACATTTTAAAGTCAGATATTTTAAAGTTTAGATCCACAGCCTTGTATCTAAATTCAATCCTACTATCTTGACTAAACCGAACAAACTGCAGCCTTTCAGATGTTACTGTATGGCAACTCCCATCAGCTCTAGTAATGTTGAGGAATGCAGGTGTTGTAGTCCAGCTTCAGAAGGGGCCACATAAAATGACATGGAGAGGCAGATTGGGCCTGTGTGTGCCATAGGGATTGAACTATAGACTGAGTTAAGACTCCACAAGCTTTGGCTCATTCTGTATTGCTATCTCTATAGGCTAAGGATTATGAGGTGTGTGCATTTTGTGGCCAGTTGCTGTTGCCACCAATTCTTTCCTGAAGCCCAAGGTTGACATTTGTATATTTACAGCTTCAGTCTTTGAAAAGAAAAAGTACAAAGAATAACTGCCAAAGCCAACCACTTCCTGCAAATTGATGCCACTGCATCGATGCTAGCACAGCAACCTCAGGCTTCATGAGGGGAAAATATAAAGACTTGGCACTAATGCCAACCTCCTCCTGAAGACCCTTGGGCTCAGCAATGGTGATGGGTAAGCACCAAGAATAACTGTCCCCAAAGACCAAATGTACACATAGCAGCCTCAAGTGGGGTCTGATGGCCGCTGCAATTCTTTTTGTTTCCTTCCTGAAGCTTGAGGGTGTTGTGCACATACCGACACAGTGGCTTTGGTCTTTAAGAACTAGCTGGCAGTGTACTTCTTCCTTCTGAGGGGCATCGTATAGGCTATGAGCCTAAAAATTCACAGAAAGCTCCTCCAAACTGTAAGAAATACCTTAACTCATCCTTCGTTGCATACCAGAATTCTTACAGCTTTCAAAAATCTTCATTTTCCTTTGTACTCACTTTCTAAATGATGATAGGAGGTGATGAAACATCACTTTCTGTTATCATTTTATGAGGAATTGCCGAGAAAAACAGAGGTGTTTGGGCTTGCTGCGTTTGTGTATATGTATGTGTTATACCTGAAGGGGAATTGTCTCTTCGCTCCCATGTTGTGTTCAACTTCTGATCTTATGCTAGTAATGGGATTGTTTCTTTTTGTTTGTTTGTTTTTTGTTGAGATTAAAACTAATTAAAAAAACAGCTTTTCATTTATATTCTCTGGCCAGAATCTTCTACACTTTTATTGGCAGAATTGCACTAGTGTAAGCAGTGGTGGCAACAGGAAACTGAGCTACCTTGGGAAGAACAGACAAGAATCCAAGTCTCAGCCACATTTTGAGTTTGCAGATGCTTTCTTTTGGAATTCTTGAAACTTGCAAAAAATCTAGCCTAGATGTTGATATTCAGTATTCAAATGTATGTCTACTTCCCTAAAACAACTTTCTGATTTTTGTATTAGTCTTGTGAATCCAGGATTGATAGAGAGATGTATCTTGGAAATGAAAGCACCATTACCACAGCCATCTTTTGTGGAGTATGCAACAATTCAGGTTAGTTTGATGCATGTTTGCACTCTATTCTATTCTGTTGCTTGTCAGATGGTTTAAGTAATGGAAAGTGTTTGTTTTTTCAGGTTGATTGAATTATCTGACACTCTACTGTTTCAGTTTATTTAAGATGTCTGTTACCACAAGTGCAGCATAGATGCCCTTCTTGAGAAGGCTGAAAAAGATGTGGTTTCTCATGTGAGGAATCTTCATATTAAAGAAAAGCTAGCACTGCTTTAGAAAGAACACTATTTTTTGAGAAGTTAAATTATAATACACAAATATGTGTAGTCTGCTTAATAGTTGTATTCTGTCAGTCTGTGTGGATGTAACATAATATAAATATAATATAATATAATATGAATGTATGTGTGTACACATGTGTGTATGTTGTTGGGAAAAATCTCCTCTCATTTGGGAGCATTTGTAAACTGAAGATGGCAATTTATTTAACAACATGTCAGTCCAAATGCCCATCATTCAAACTGAGCAACCTGACACTGGAACAAACATGACCCTTATCTGGGTTGTTGTGAATTTTCCAGGCTGTATGGCCATGTTCCAGAAGCATTCTTTCCTGATTTTTCTCCCACATCTATGGCAGGCATCCTCAGAGCTTGTGAGGTCTGTTGGAAACTAGGACAAGTGAGGTTTATATATCTGTGGAATATCCAGTGATGGGAAAAAGAACTCTTGTTTGTTTGAGGCAAGTGTGAATGTTGCATTCGGCCACCTTGATTAACATTGAATATGTAGCACATCATAGAAGTATACTGGTGATAAATTATGTAAAAGCAGTCATTAACCTGTAATGTAAAATTAACAAGAAAATACCAAGTAAAAACTATTCATGTTGTATTATTTCCTTACATTTGACAATGTTAGTTGTTTTTAGTATAAATTTTGAATTAAATGACATTGGGGACCAGGCTATTCTGATAATGCTTACTCTGCTTTTCCTTGTGGTTCCTAAGAGCTTAATATATTTGCATCTTCTGCATTTTTTCATTATTCACAATATCTTCCCCAGCTGCTTAGCAGCCTGACCTAAATATTCAGGAAGAAAAACTGACACCTACCTATTCCACAGAGTCAATGCAAAGATGGAAGAAAAATGATTTAAGAAAATTCAAATGGGAAAATGAAACTAGGGAAAAACACATGCTGGGAAGGCGGGGGGGGGGGGGGGAAATAAAATTTAAGGAATGAAATCTGAGGCTCTCCAAAGTTGGGGAAAATAAAATAACAGAAAATAACAGTTGTGCAAGCAAGGTGAAAAAAGAAAGCACAAAAGCTGAGTTGCAGTTAAACATTAAAAAAAAAAAAACCCCAAGATTATGGCAACCAGACTGATTGATAACTGGCAAATAGAGGGAGAAAACGTGGAGGCAGTGACAGACTTTGTATTTCTAGGTGTGAATATTACTGCAGACACAGACTGCAGCCAGGAAATCAGAAGACGATTACTTCTTGGGGGGAGAGCAATGACTAATCTTGATAAAATAGTGAAGAGTAGAGACATCACACTGGCAGTGAAGATCTGTATACTTAAACAAACGGTATTCCCTGTAACAACCTATATATATGAGAGCTGGACCATAAGGAAGGCTGAGCAAAGGCAGACACTTTTGAACTGTGGTGCTGGAGGAAAATTCTGTGAGTGCCTTGGACATCAAGAAGATGAAACCATACTATACTCCAGGAAACAAAGCCCAACTGCTCACCGGAGGGAAGGATGTTAGAGGCAAAGATGAAGTACTTTGGCCACATAATGAGAATACAGGAAAGCTTGGAGAAGACAATGATGCTGGGGAAAATTGAAGGAAAAAGGAAAGAGAGGCAGACCAAAGGCAAGGTGGATGGATGGTATCCTTGAAGTGACTGGCTTGACTTTGAAGGAGTTGGGGATGGCCGCAGCTGACAGGGAGCTCTGGTATGGGCTGGTCCATGAGGACACAAAGAGTTGGAAGTGTCTGAACGAATAAACAACAAAAGCATCTGGAAGGTTCCACTGGAAAATCACACCTATTGGCCCTTCTGCAGTTGCCCACCAAATTATTAACCCCATTTCTTTCCAATACTTCATAAACCTTGTTCCAGGTGTCTTGGATCCCCTAAATCAGACTTACTATTTTGACACCTCATGGTTTTCCATGTAGGACAGGATTTTTCTAATAGACATGGAGACTGATTGCCTCTGAATGCAATTGACTTAAAAGGAAATTAACACATTCAATTCTCTGCAGTTTTATGTGAGGTTGAGGTTTCAGGTGACATATTGGCAACTGCTAGCATTGATTGCCAAAGGGGTTCTGTTAGAAGCCAAATTATAATAGTTTTTTCTCAGGAGACAAACTCGATTCTTCCTCTCTGTAGATGAGAAACTTGAGGGCGGCAGGAAGGGGGGCATTTTTAGGGGTTATCAGATCTTTCACAGGAAAAAGAGAGTGGGCATTCCTGCCTGTCTGCTTTCCATAAAATCTCAGTTTCATCAATTATTAAAAACTTCAGAGCATTTTTCAGTTTTAAAACTCAGGTAACTGAGTTATGCAGTGCATGTCAATATAAAGCTATGACATCAAAGGTTCTTTGATCTCACTTCCCCATGTGGATTTTTCTCTCTCTTTTTTGTGAATGAAAGGAAAAGTAAACTCTTTACTAGATCAGTAACGTGCCATATTAGCTGCAGTTTTCTCTGTAGCTTCAAACAAGATAACAATCCGGTTGCTTTTCAGAAATAAGTGATGAAAAGTACCATTTGTAAGTTTGTTCACATTTATTTGACAGCATATCAGGTTCTGAAATTATTGGATACTGATAGTTAATCACAGAGCTAACACTTGCAAAATAGAAACACTAAAACAATTGGGGAATTAAAATGTCCACATATGTTTGCGAACAATTTCCCTGCACTTCTGATGAAACACAGGACTCCTTCTGTCATTTGTGAAAAGGCACAAGTACTAGAAGTTGAAATATGCTTCCATTGCAGGGCATTTAGACTGCTGTTTCCTTGACAAATTCAGTTATTTTATGAGTAGGTGGGAGAGAATGCAGATGGATCCCTGAAAAGTAATGCCAGTCGTGTGGAAATCATCTGAATGCATATGCTCATCAACAATCCTTTGGGTTTTTAAAATAAACTGTTCAGTTTACACATTTCCTGCAAATGTATTACATGAGAAGGTTGTGAGGTTCTTAAAATGTCTTTTGCTGCAAAATCTCAAACAATTGTATAGCTTTGAGACAAATGGCTTCCTGTTAATAATAACCCAACTTGGTACATCTTTGTAAATTCACTTTTATTCGAGTACCTTTACACAAGATTGCAGCCTGAATTTCCATCCTACAGTTTATTTATTTTCTCCTTTTTCACTTTATTCATTATTTATATTTCTTTTGCTTGTTTAAGACAATCACAATCCTTTTCTCAACAAATCTTGCCTAGAATATCCTGTGCTAGAGTTGCTCTAGGTCAGAAACAGCTTAAAGACACATAGCAACAAGGAATTTATAGCCCACATTTCTCACAATGTGGGAACTCAAACACCTTGAAACTAGTAGTGTACTCAGGTTCTCAATTACCCAAAATTAATCCCCACCATCTCTTATGGTACACACTATCAAGACTTTTGCTTGGGGCTGCAGTTGGAGAGTTATTTGTTTTATATTCTACCTCCTCCCCAAAGCAAAGCCCAGAACAAACTTAAGAATAATTAAATTAGCTATCATGTTAAATAATCATTTACAATGTATAAAATTTTTAAAAGATATAAAATAGAGATTAAAAGACATCATAGGCCCCCACTAAAACACATCTACAAACTCAATTGATCTGCAGATTCATAATAGTAGTAGTAGTAGTAATAATAATAATAATAATAATAATAATAATAATAATTGTTGTTGTTATTATTTCTTGCCCGCCTCTCCTCAGATCTCAAGGTGGGTTACAACATTGTTAAAACACACATTCATCAGCACACATTAAAATGTATTTACACAAAATACATATTAAAATATACAAAGCAAAGATTAAACATAAGATGCAAGTTTAAAATGCATCATTAAAACTGTCTTGGTAGGGCTACCGAAAGAGATAGGTCTTCATTTGTGTCTTAAATTGCAACAGCTGATCTAGCTGTCAGAGCTCTCTTGGCAAGTCAATTCACAGTTGTGGCGAGGCTGAGAAAAAGTTCCTCTGGGTGGTGGTTGCCAGTTGAGTTCTGGCAGGCTGGAGCAGTGGTCCTCTAGATGACGTCAGTATTAGGGGCAGTTTGCATAGGGGAAGGCACGTAGGTAACGTGAACTCAAACTATCTAGGGCTTTAAAGGTCAAACCAACATTTTGTACAGATTAGGCTCCACATCCTGTCTGGAGGGTCAGTCCTGTTGAGTTCTTGTCAAGGAATGCCAAGTGTTGTAGACTATATTTCAGAGGGAGGAACTGGCAAAACCACCTCTTAAGTATTCCTTGCCTAAGAAAAGCCTATGAAATTCAGGGGTTTGCTATAAGTCTACAGACAACTTGAAGCCACACAAATTCACAGAGAATTATTCAAATAAAAAGATGTTCACTAAATATGAACTGCTGGTTGAAGAGCAGTTCATATTTAGTACTGAATTCATTTGAGAACTTGTTCATAATCCTGAATTGTCTCTTCCCTGAAAGTCAATTTACTGGTTATACTTTTTAAAAGAGCAATTTGCTTTAATTAGACTGAATCTGTTCCCATTATCACAGTTTATATCTATCTATATCAGGGGTCCTCAAACGTTTTAAACAGAGGGCCAGGTCACAGTCCCTCAAACTGTTGGAGGGCCAGATTATAATCTGAAAAAATATATATGAATGAATCCCTATGCACACTGCACATTTCTTATTTGTAGTGCAAAAAAAAAAACACCTTAAAAACAATAAATAATTAAAATGAAGAACAATTTTAACAAATATAAACTTATTAGTATTTCAATGGGAAGTGTGGGCCTGCTTTTGGCTGATGAGATGGAATTGTTGTTGTGTGCTTTCAAGTCATTTCAGACTTAGGTTAATCCTGAGCGAGGGCTGGGTAAATGACCTTGGAGGGCCGTATCCGGCCCCCGGGCCTTAGTTTGAGGACCCCTGATCTATATCAATTCATCCTATCTTTCTTATTTTAGTTATTCATTTATTTTGTGTTTTGGCTTTCTCCCAATACGGGACTCACAGCATCAATTAAAATGAAATACATCTATTCTTAAGACATTTCTAATCAAACTGCCATTTTGTACTGTCATTGATGATTGATTTCAACAGTTTTAATGTCTGGTTTCCTTTTAGTGAAGTTATGCATTTTGTTTTTAGTGCCTTGAGCACACCTTTTAGTGGAAATATACATTACAATATAATAACAATGAAACTGTCAACGTAAACTACAATAATGTACTGCTTTCTAAAATAACAGATTATAGAAATTGGCTGAAAGTATCTGAACAAAACCCATTTGTTTAAACAGGTTTTGTCTCTACTGCAGTATCTTTCATCCTTGTCCCAGCTCCTGCAATCATGCTTGTTGATAGACACTCACCTTGTGATGCAAGATGACTTACTGATGCCTCTCTTGGAAAATGCCTTTGTGGTTCTTTCCCTTCGCTCCAAGGATGGCTTAGGTAACTATGTGTTGTAAGGAATATTTCCTAAGGCTTCAAACATGAAACCTGTTGCTAGACCTCAAATGTTATCATTTTTTGTTACATGCAGATCATTGAGGTCCCAGGTATTCCCTGGAACCATATAGAAGTGAGGCCACTGTCATTGCGTGCATTCTGTCTCTATGCAAAGACTATACATGGGCCTCTGACTATGAAAAAAGACCTGCCCCAGTAATATGCTGGCATTGTTAAACATTCCAAAAATGTTATTCTAAGTGAGGCTGAGTATAATATGGCTCACATCATATGGTACACAATATTCCGTATTTTGAACATAAAACTTTTTTTGTAAGCATTAAGTAAACATCAGATTTGATACCATCGGGTTGCAATACACTGTTAGTATATTCTAAACTTGGGGGTTTAGGCGATATCAAGATTTCATTGTTTCTCTTAGCATAAAATTTATTTATTTGTTTGTTTATTTACAATATTTATATACAGCTTTTCTCATCCCTGGGGGGGATTCAAAGGGGTTACATAACATCATGGCAAAATTCAGTGCCTTACATATATAAACCAAATCATAAATCAAACAGCATATGACTAAGCATAAAATACAATAGGACAAATTCAACATAATTTAATAGGACATTTAAACATGAAGTATAAAAGTTAAAAACGCCTAATAAAAACATTAAAATTACATGATCCAAACTCATAGCCCAGGCCAGTCCAGATGTCGATTACACATATTCCATATTTACTTCTTGTACTGCATTACTTTACTAGTCAAAAGCTTGGTTCCATAACCATGTCTTTGTCTCTTTCTAAAGGCCAGAAGGGAGGGCGCTGATCTTATCTCACTGGGGAGAGAGTTCCAGAGTTGGGGAGCCACCACTGAGAAGGCCCTGTCTCTTGTCCCCACCAACTGCAATTGTGAAGTAGGTGGGATTGAGAGCAGGGCCTCCCCAGAAGATCTTAACCTCTGTGATTTTATGGACTGGTATAACAGTTTGTGTCAATAAGCATTTCCCCCAAAATAAGTTAAATCTAACATTTAGATGAATAGTCTTGAACAGGGCTGGGAGACCTATGTATGGTCCCCTAGGTGTTGAATTTTGTTTTCCATCCATCCTTAGGCAGTTTTCTCTGTGGTGCAGTATGATGAGACTAGCAGCTTATTAACTTCTAAAAAGATTTCTGATTACAGATGCTTCTGTAGCACCAAATCTCTAAGGCAGTGCTCCATTGTTCATAGTTGGAACTAAGTCCGGCAAAACACAGTGGGACTTATATCTGAATAGAGAGTTACACTGAAGGTCTCTTTATGTGGCCACACCTCTCTGCCATTTTTGACTGCAGCACTTGCCAAGCATTGGACTGCATTAATCGGTAACATCTAATTGAATTAATGTGTGTGATAGCGCATGCTTTGAGATTTGGGCTTAGAGTTTTATCCAGATCTCTGAGCTCCTCTCATTTCTCTAAAATGTCAACCTTTTCCTCCAGAATTTGTGAGAAGAATTGTAATGCATTTACATGGAAAGATTAAGTTCTACTAAATACAAATACAGTATATTGAGTAAAATGGCACTTATTAATGGCAGAACATATTAACTTGTTCTTCTTAAATGTAGTCCTCAAATTTAAACTTAAAATGTCAACTTATAATATTAAATACCCGCCTATCTTAGTAGACTTCCAAAGTGACCCATTAAAGACATTTTGCTATATTGACTTTACACTAACTTTATGCCACATAGCTATGTAAATGCACAACACTGTTTTATTTTTCTGTTTTCATCGGCAGACTCTGAGCTATCAGCAGCAGTTTATCAAACGTGGAAAGACTTATTCAGTTTTTTGGCTATCTTGTTGAGAAAATGTGGCCACACCTCTCTACCAATTCTTACTGCAGCACTTGCCAAGCGTTGGATTGCAGTAATAGGTAACACCTAATTTCAAATGACTTTACATCTGCAGTGTTTAATATGTGTAGATTTCAGTAGCATGGTGCTATTTTATTATATGATTTTTTTTGTCACATTGTCTACCTTTATCAAGGTTCAGCAAAATTAATTCTTAATTGTTAAATAGAAAGCAGCTGTTTGTTTTGTTTTATAATGGTATCACATGCTCTTAAATTAATTCCTAGTCGTTAAATAGAAAGCAGCTGTTTCTTTTGTTTTATAATGATATCACATGCTCTTCAATGATTAAGTGACCATTGTCATCTGCATTCTTTTCCCTCAAATGGTATAACTGCCAAACACAACTTTTAGTAGTTGCATAGAAGATAGACTTCTTATAGGTTGGTTCTGCAATAATAGAAAAAATGTTGCAGCTGGTCAAATTGTTCTACACAGATGTTTGCACCCATATGCAGAAGTTCTGTCATCTTCTGCATATAGTTATCTACAGTAGTAGCACTTTGTCTTGTGTTGTGCATGGCAGGCAGGAAAGAAGACAGAAACTGAGTAGAATCCAACAAAATTCACAGATAAACTGGAGACAAGTCTCAAAGTGCTCAAAAACTAGTTGCCTTGTTGATTTTTTAAAAAAGAAAACTGACATTTTAAGGAGGCGATCTAAAATCAAATTTCTGGACGAGGAACTCTCAAAACATATAACAGATCAGTGGTTATAATTACATAGTAGGAGATTTCCTGGTCCAGAAATTTCTGAAAGTTGATAACACTGACCAACACACATTTTGGTGCGTCAAACGTTTGACTTGTTTCCGAGTATATTTGACCTGCTGGTTCCAAAAATGGAACTAGTTTTCCTCTATCAGCTCCTCACAGGTCTGCAGCTTGTAGGTCCTCCTGGATTCAGCGCTGACGCTTGATTCTCAGGTGCTGACGGTGGCCGGGAGAGCCTTCGCACAACTAAAACTCATATGCCAGCTGCGACCGTACCTCATGAAGTCTGACCTGGCCATGGTGGTCCATGCCTTAGTTACCTCTAGATTGGACTATTACAATGCATTCTATGTGGGGTTGTCCTTGAAGACGGCCCAGAAATTTCAATTGGTCCAGTGTTCGGCTGCCAGAGTTCTAACTGGAGCGAATTACAGGGAGTGGTCTACCCCCCTGTTTAAGGAGCTCCATTGGCTGCCATTCATTTTCCGGTCCCAATTCAAGGTACAGGTTATCACCTACAAAGTTCTGATCGGTTTGGGACCCACCTACCTTTGTGACTGCATTTCTGTCTATACACCTGCACGATTCCTTCATTCATCGGGGGAGGCCCTCTTTTCTCTCCCACCACCATCACAAGCGCGACTTGTGGGGACAAGGGAGAGGGCCTTCTCTGTGGTGGCCCCTAGACTTTGGAACTCACTACTCGGTGAGATTAGACAAATGCTCACTTTGGCAGCCTTCAAGAGGAGCCTAAAAACTTGGCTGTTCCAGTGTGTCTTTGAGGATTGAACAAGTCCCTTATCTTTGAACAATTTAGCACATAATGTCTTTTGATGCACTTTAGCTCATCCTTCAGTGAATTAAATCCCATTGTTTGTCCCTTCCGCACTTCCCATCAGGTACATTACCCTACTCGTCCATCTCACCCAGGGTTTTAAAATCATATCTGTTGTATTTGCCCCTGCCCACTTGGTTCAATGTTTTATTTTGGATTTATTTATTTTATTGTATTTATTTGATTTTTATTTTATGATCTTTCATTGTATTTTTGTTCTGTTGTAATTTGTTGGGCTTGGCCTCATGTTAGCTGCCCCAAGTCCCCTTGGGGAGATGGAGGCGGGGTATAAATAAAGTTGTTGTTGTTATTATTATTATTACAGAGCATATGCTCCCACATATAAAATCACGATAACCATATCTAAAAAACTAAAGCTGATTCGATCTAGCCAATGCAGTTTTCTGAATCAGCACCCCAAATAATCCCAAGAACAGACCTAAAAACCAAGACACTAAGGAATTTTTTTTGGTTGGTCTGTGTTATAAATAACTCCTTAAAGAACGCCTCAAGAAAGGCAAAATACATCACACTTTTTCTATTGAGGCAGGAGCTAGGAAAGAGCAACACTCTTACTCCAAGCATTCCCCAGTTGACATCTGTCCTAGTCTCTTAAGGTTTTCTCCTTCAAACTTGGACAAAGAAATAGTAGGAAATCACAAACTGAAGAACACTAAAACGCTGTCACTTGTTTTCCATACATGGAGCAAATGTTTGGAGAATGGAATGATACATGCATGTCTGCATAAGGGAATCTTTTTTAAAGCAACTGGTCATAAATTGCACTCAGTACATAGATGGAGCAATGTCATAAAGTTCAGCTACACTGTCATCTGTGAGTTACAATATATACGGCTTGAGCTGTTAGGATTTCAAGATTACTTTTAAGAAGAATGAATATAATGACCTTCCAAAGCTTGCTTGTGGGGAGATTGGCTAAATGGTGGGTGAAATAGTAAAAATAAATTTATTTAAAGCCAACATTCTATCAATTGCACTTTGCCAGCTTCTTTCATACTATTCAACAATATTTTGGACATTGAAAGCATGCAAATATGTTTATTCTCACTAACTAGTGCCCTCTGAGAAAATGCCCATTAGGAGAGACAGATTCTCTGAAGAATTTGTTCAGATTGCTTATAACCTATATTGGATTCCTCTACTTAGTTTATAAATAAAACCTAAATTGATAAATAAATGCAAATTATAGCCCAAATATTGACTATTGTATTATCTGCCCAATATTAGAGGATCTCTACTGCTTTGCATTCACTTTTAAAAGAATTTTCTAATATTCTATTTAAACATGTCATGTGTATTTTTCTTGTGTCTCTGTGATGTTCTAGATACACTTTGTGAATGTTTGCATCTGTCTGTTACACATCCTGATCTGTATGTGAGCTGCTTGCAGTTCCTGGCCATTCTTTTTTCTGAAGAAGGAAAGAGAGAGCTATGCCTTCAAGAGGATATGTCCTACCATCCAACTTTGACTTTGCTTCTGGATGATGATGTGAAGAGCCAACTATCAGTCAACAAACTCTGTGAATTGATAATTCAGGTAAAAACCTGTCTTCAGATTTTAATGTACTTCAATAGTTCAATAATTTTAGTGGTTTTACCTTGGGTAATAATAATTGAAATCACTACTTTGCATTTTCCATATTGAAAAAAAGGCAAAATTTAAATAAAAAAACATACATACATACATAAAGTAAAAATAAAAATGAAATGCAATATCTGTTTTAGACAAAGTGAGATTTATATAAAACTCATAAATGTTTTTTAAGTGTTTCATTTGTCTAAAACACTTTTGGAAAAAACACGGAACTTGTAGTCCATGTATAAGTCATATGAAGCAACATTTAATGCGCTGAAAGAAGAAATGTTGTGTGTATTTCAGCACATGCTAAGCCATAGTTTACATTAGAAGTGTGAGTCTTGGGTTAATGTGTTTTTCTCCATCCTGGTCATAAGAATACTGGATCATAAGAATACTGGAATTTTTCTTCTGTTGTAGACTAGATTTTGTACGTGATTCTGTACAGGTTGTGGTTTACCTTAATTATGTTTGGCTGAAACAAACCAATGCCATACCGTGGTTTTAAAAATTAAGTTTTACCATTATGATTGCCTGAAGCAAGCTAATTTCCTAAACTGCCGTATTAAATTAAAACCATCCTTTTTACTGAATTTCATCCAGATCTGGACAATCTAAAATGCAAACAAGCTCCCCAAACCTTTATAGTTATTGCTATGAAGGAATAGCAATGTATGACTACAGATCTTGTTACCATTTGAATCTATGGCTTTATGTTATATCCTACCCAACCCATTATAATGGAGAAATCATTTTAATGAAAGTAATGGAGAACAAAAGTGGCATGGATAATAGGTGAAATATCAGTCAATCCAAAACAGGCAAGATTGTTCTCAAGCATAAGGATGCCAGAACTGGTTGTGCCTCCAGGTTTTGCCAATACAAAACACACTACTTTTCTGCCATATGATTGTGTTTCCTGGCAGAAACATTACTGTCTCCCTTGGCTGACTAGAAAATAGTGGCTGGTGCCATCTGAGCAGATCAACCAAAGGCACTGAGTGGCAGAAGAGACAGAGAAGCCAGAGGTGGAGAGGGAGAATTGAGAGAGGAATGAAAATTTAGCCTGTCATACAGATAGGTTATTTGACAATTGTGTAATAATTTTTATTTTTCTGAGGAAAAGGTCACTGAAAAGGTTGCATGACACTATTGGTAGTTGAAGACACTTTTTTTAAAAAGACATGTAATGTCAAGGAAAAGCGTTATAGTAGTAGCACTATCAAAGCAGACACAGGTATCAGAAATGGCTGCATAGAAAAAAGTAGGCAGGAAAAAGGACTGTCTTTCACAACTGAGAGGCAAAGAGATAGCTTTAAAATGTCCAAATCAAAGAAATATAGGTATTGTGACCAAAAAATAAAGGTCATTGAAAAGGGGATGGTATATTATCAGGAATAAAGAGAGATTCGACCTTTTGGGGGCAGAATTATTTACAGATATGAAGGAGAAAGGAGATGTGACATCAGCTGTTGTATGTCTTAGAATCTGGTCACCATCAGGAAGGGGCAACAGATAGGAAGTGTTGCATTTATTATAAACCATGTTTAAAATCAAAAACAGTGCATGGGTGATCATTTATTTATCCATCTTCTTTTTATATATGAAGGATGAGGATAGTTACAGATATCAGACAGTCTGGCTAGACAACAAATACAGTGTGTAAAAGATAGGTATCAGTTGTGAGCAAAATTATCATATTGCTGATCCAAACTTGTAGAGATGTTGCCCAAAGATGCTGCAGTTCTCTTTTGTTAGGTTTTTTATTTTCAAGACCCCAAATGTAGTCAGAGTGACACCAATTGTGTGACTCTTTGATTGTTTGTTTTTCGGGCAGAGTATCACAGATAATGGGCATTGGTTATCTAGCTGAATACTATTCCCAGATACTAGAATTACCTATATGCATTTTCTTTTTTTCCTAAATATTTTAATGAAAATCATTCACAACAAAAAGCAAAAAGAAAAGCAACGATATTTATTACTTATTTACTTAGGTGATCCCTCGTTGTCTGAGGATGATGGTCCCCCAAGTGTAGTGTTGTGGTGGTGGGTCCGTAGGTGACTGTGGAGCCTTATTCTTGATCCACAAGTTCTCCTGCAGTGAGGACATTGGTTTGAGGTGGAAGGTGGTCCCGGTCAAGGTTGGCTTGATGCACATTCCGCTTGGCACATTTCTCCCTTTCACCCTCCATTCGTGCCGCTTCGAATTCTGCAGCACTGTTGATCATAGCTGACCTCCAACTGGAGTGCTCAAGGTCCAGGACTTCCTAGTTCTCAGGGTTTATGCCACAGTTTTTAAAGTTGGCTTTAAGCCCATCCTTAAATCTCTTTTCCTGTCTACCAACATTATGTTTCTTGTTCTTGAGTTGGGAGTATAGCAACTGCTTTGGTAGATGGTGATCGGGCATTCGGACAACATGGAGAGTTCAGTGGAGTTGATGGCATAGGAGCATTGCTTCAGTGCTGGAAGTCTTTGCTTCTTCCAGCACACTGACATTTGTCCGCCTGTCTTCTCAAGACATTTGCAGGATTTTTTGGAGGCAACACTGGAATCGTTCCAGAAGTTGAGTGTGACATTTGTAGACAGTTTGTAGAAAATAATTCATAATAGAAAACACACACAAAAAAAGCAACAATACTTATAAATACATAAACATAGAATACTTAGACAACGACTGCCCAACAAACATACATCTCTACAAACAACTAAAACTACCAACGTATACATAAATTAGTTTGAAAAATGGATTTCTAGCTTCTCATTTGTCAGTTTCTTTATAAATGTAACATTTTTTCTTCTACTTTATGTCCAGCAAATTATTTACTTGTTTGTTAGATTTTAGCTATATACATTTCAAAATACCCAATTCCCCTAGCTATTTCTCACCTCGCACATTTGTTGTCTTACAAAGTTCTTTTGACCCCCAAAAACGTAGTTAGGCTTTATAGTTCTGTAATATTTATTTTGTTGTAAAAACATAGAAGATGCAAATTGTGAACATTTGTTATGCCCCAGTGCCACTTTGGTGATTTATTTCTTTACCAGTTGCAAACTAACCTATCAAGATACCCTACCCATTCACTCCTCATCCAATTTCACAGAAATTATAAAAACAAGATTGTTGCATTTAAAAGTGTGGCTAAATACATGCACCAAGGCTTAATCAGACAATGTAGCTGTAGAAAAGCAATTATCTAAGCAAACAATGAGAACTTAATGTAAGTATAGATAGACCAAGACTAAAATAAAGGTAGGCCAAAATACAGATAATCATCAAGTCTGATTATCACAAGGAACAACTAAAATCTTCTTCTGTATCATAACAGAGGTGACAGAAGCTCTTTTGATCTATTTATGAAAGAATGGTTGAAGCCAGTTCTCTGGATGAAAAATATATCCAGGATATATTCTGGTATGAAGCATGGCCTTGACCATAAGAAATTTCAGAAGGAATATTCTGGAACATGTCAGGATTCAGTGATTCCCTCTACTGCCAATGATTACATTGCAGAAAATTATCACAAGTCACATTCATCCACACGACTTATGCCTCAACCACTGCTGCCATGGCCTAAATGTCCCATTTTAATATCAGCTAATGATTAAGAAAGAAGACAAGTGCATAACTAACCTTTAAACTTTTAATAAAGCATATATAAATGAAAAATGTAGAAAGGTGGTGTGGAGTGGTCATTTCCATAGTACATGTTTCTATTTTTCTTTGTAGTGACTGATGTGGCTTTATTTGTAGAACTATGAAGAAAAATCCTTTGAAGATGGATTGAAACGAGTTGCTGCAAGTGCTTTGCTTCACCTTTTGGCTGTCAGTAAAAGTGCCCAGAAATCGGCGTTGGAAGGTGAGTTGCTGTCATGTTACAACTATGGATTATAAATCAAGTAGTCTTTCTTGTGCAACAAGTGCCAAATATTGCCCATCAGCATCTTTATAGCTTTGCACATCCTGAGATATATAAGACTCAGAGCAAGATTACTATTGGGTTGTGAAGTATTTATTCTGTTCTCTTCAAGTGAAATCAAGGCTAAAGATATGTATAATATTGCTTTGATTTGACCCAGAGTTTTATGGAGATCCCATTTCTGTTTCCCTACTAAAAATGTAAATCCTCAACTATCGTGCCCTCACATGTGTGAATGAATAATTGTGACAACTTTAGAATAATATTAATATTAATATTCTTCTACAGTATTTACCCTGTCTTTAAGTGCTATAAAATAACTATTCTACATAGAAAAAAGTTTTTCATGCCACAATTCAGTTTTCTGTGCAGAAAAATAGTTAGCATACAAAAGCTTCACATTTTCCACTTATGCTGAGACATTCAAATACTGGAAGGAAGAGATATTTCCTGGGTATTATTCATCCTGGTAGGATTTTTAATGGTTGATAAAGGGATTTTTCCAACCGGAGTGTAAGGTTAATAAATATTCTATCTGTCTTTACTTTTGAGTCACTTTTTTTAGGTTTACTGCATATTAGAATCAGTCAAGTTTATTGAAAAGGAACACCAAATTCAGTGGCAAAGATATGTTAAGCAACACAGTAATTCAAGTTTATCCTTCTATCCCTGTTTAGGGAATCACCCTGATAATTAAATATGCCTTTTTTATGATACTGTAAACCACCCTTTTCTAATCTGGTATCCTCCAGATTTTTTATTCTACCAAAATTTGACTTTTAATTATTTTGGTGAAACCGACGCAAGGAATTTTCTAACATCTGGAGGGCTATATTCAGGAAAGAGTACTAAATGCTCTTAGGATTTCCATTTTTCCCCAATTGTTAATTTGGCACATTTTCTTCTTTGACATTTGTGAACTGTTCCTTGTTTTTTAAATCCTAATTGAAAAATTTCTTCTTTTCATAAGCTTTTGGAATTTTATCTTAATATTGTTCTGTTGTCCTATATATTTTGATGGTTATGCATTTGTTAGTTTGCTTTATTTATCTCAGACATTTATTGTATTATATCCAGACAATTTGTTCTATAATTGTATTTTATAGTTTTATATGCTTATTTTATCTACTTTCTCCTGCTTGTATATTTTAGATTCTATATTTTGGGCAGGGCTTACTATTTTGTTGTTGTTTTACTTGCAAAATACCATGTATATTAATGGAGCTATCTAAAAAGATGATAATGATGGCAATGATTATGATAACAGCAATAATTTGGCCCTTTGAACCTGACTGGCTAGACTTTTTAACTGACTCTTTAAGTTGCAAGTTAATACAAATATAAATTAGTTGTGAAGTATTTGTTTAATCTTGTCATTTTACATGCAGTGTGTCACTGTAATTCAGCTATACAATATAAAAAGCTTTAATCGTGTTGTATTTGCACATTGTGCAAGTATTCTAGCATGTGAGCAGATTTGTTAATAGAGAGAGTTTTTCATCACAGGTAACCTCATTGAAACGTGCTTGGAACAGATGAAACATATTCATGCACAGCTGAACCTAGATACCTTGAGGCCTGGTAAAGCAGTCCAGAGGAAAAAAGTAAGTAAACTCTGCAAAATGTGATTTTTAAAAATTGATATCTCTGAATTGAATTGCTTCAGTGTACATTATTGTACATTCTTCTGTACGTTTACTCAGAGTAAGTCCCATAAGTCATAGATAAGGTCAGTTTTGGGGAGCAATATAAAGAGCCCTTTCTAGTTCTTTTTTTTTAAAAAAAAATTCTCATGATCACTGATCCTTCTCTCAATTTGATTACCTGGTTTTTCTTTTTTTAGAAAAAACACAAATAAGTTGAGCAATCATAACATAACATAAACCTTTGTATTTTTATATTTAAATCTGCTATATCTGAACATTCTAGGTTGCTAAAATGGATGTTGCCTTCCCTTCCACACTTTTCTGTCTTTGCTCTGTTCAAATCCTTAAGGCATATAAATATTAATTAGTAAACCACAAACACTTATATAGAGCCATGTATTTTTTTTTGTCCAGAATGTATATGTCCATCTCTGCAGGTAGAATTGTGAAATACAGCAGAGGGAACGTGAACACCTTTCCTCCAAGGAATCTTTTAGATGATATTTAGAATTCAAAAGAAAAAACATTTTCATGTAAGCACGAAGTGTTTGAACTAATGTGTATTTGCATAGTTGTGTAGAAAACAAGCGGTGACCTCTGCTGAGCCTTGTTCAAAACTGATGGGGCTTTTTCCTATCCATTTCATCACTTCACCTGACTTTCACATTCTCACTGCTCTTTTGAAAGCAAACACTTTGATTATCATCCAATAGATTTACTGTGATTGAAAACGTAGTAGCGATTATGGATCCTGTATTGTATCACTGTTCCTTTATGCCTTATGGAATACTTCTCTGTATTGGATCGGTCTTGAAATCCAATATTTTTTTCTTTTTGACAGCATTTGGAATGTCAACATCTTGAAACGCCAGGTGGTCAGATGCAATTGGAGTTGGCAAAATACATCTAGAATTCAAAAGTCTTATATATGTCAGACAAAATAGATTCTGCTTGAACATTGATGCTTCCTCACTTTTTATTCCACTAGGATGATAGCCTGAGCAAAGAATTAAAGCTCGTCATGCAACTCCTAAGAAATTGCTTCTTCCAAAATGAGACCTGCAAAGTAAGAAACAAGGGAAATGTACAAACATCAACTGAAATAGTTGGGGAAGAAGTGCCTGATGGAAGTATCAGGAACTGTCCCACAGAAGGAAGTTGTCAACAATGGGAGGGAGGGAAAGAGAATCTATTTATTGGATGAAGGTCAGTTTTTGCCTCCTTATTGTTTCTTCAGAATTGCACATCAAAATTTGTACTGATGGCCTGGAATCCAAGTATAGGAGGTAACTCACCACATCTTAAAACAGTATCCTTTAAAATCATTAAGTTGGACAATACTGCCCTCACCAAAACAAGTGGAAGCAGTATGTTCTTTCCTATCTATCATGGGATACTGCTGTTGCTTTAATGTAATTGGTTTAAAAAAAATCATTATCTTCCCTTATGTGATTTTATTTTATTTATCGTGTCATCAGCAACCAGACATTTGTATTACATTCCCTTATGTGATAACACAGCCCAACTCCCCCCCCCCCTCAAAAAAATCTTGATGTCTTAGTTTTTAGGCCTGTTCCTAAAATTGTTTGTGGCACTGATTCAGAAAATCGCATTGGTTAGACCTATCAGCTCTAGTTTCTTAGATATGGTTATTATGGTTTTCAGTGGGCAAGCAGATGGCAATTGGTAGATGTCATATGCTCTGCATCTTGAAAACTTGAGCTGATATCAGAAAACTGGTGCAATTTTTGGGATTACCAGGTCCAGAAACAGAACTAATATTTGAGGCACCAAAATGTGTGTTGGCCACTGTAATACAGTATATCTTAAACATGTGAATTTTTTAAATTATGCCTGACTGATGTTCCAAAAGTAAAATGTTAATTTTTTTAAAAAAAATATTTTCTATACATTGATTCATGTTTTTTATTGTTTAAAATGTGTTGTTGGCCACTCTGAGTTCCATTATTGGGAGAAAGGTGGAATATAAATGAAATGAACAATATTTTACATGTTGCTCTATCTTCTTTTTATCTGACAGGCAGCAGCCCTTGGAACTCACCTTATCTTTGTTTTGCATTCTCTTTGGCCATGGCTTTTAATGGATGACTCACTGATGCAGACGACTCTGCATTTACTTTGTGTCTACACTGCAAACTTTCCTCTGGGTAGGACATGTTTCAGACCTTATTTGCAAGGAGCTCTAAATTTGCTTATGCTGTATTTCTGTGTGTTACACCTCAATTGGATGTGTTGTTAATTGTTTATTTCATTTTGTGTACTTAATTTTTTTTAAGGAAACTAATCCCTTTTTTTGTAATAAAGTGACAAAATACCGTTTTGACTACCTGGGTGGCAAAATGGTAGCAGCAAGAGCCATGGGAGACTGTGCAAATTGACCCTATCCTCTGGTTATACCAAAATCCATAATGTTGACTCTAAAATCTGTACTCAATTTGTACATGAGGTTAAGTCATACATGTGTATATAAAAAAATACAATACATTTGAAAATGTATTTGAGCTGTAAATAATAATACCAACATAATAATGTCACTATGCAGCATCTATACTCAACCTGCATTGTTCAACCAAGCTTTTGGTTTTTTTAAAAAAAGGTTTGCTTGTTAGATGTAGTAATTGCATTTGAATGGGGAACAATATGTTTGGTCATAAGAGTCTGCCTCACCTTAGTAGATTACAGAGCAAATGAGTACAGTTATTAGGTGTCTGAGTGCTTCAAGTAGAGAAATAAGCCTAGGTTATAAAAGTTTCAGATATAATTGATTTTTTGTACAAAAAGGTAGTGATCTTCAATCTACAGAACAATGTTTAGCTTTTAATGTGGTTAGCTGGTTCATGAGCTGACTGAATCTATAGTATGTGAATACACTAAAAACTCTCCCATGCTGAATTTTTTCTCATTCATCTATAATTGGAAGGTACGAGGTTAATGGCTAATGGCTCTGTTCCTACTTACAGATTCTTTCGTAGGAGTATGTTTTAGTAGGAGTGCGTTGAAAATTCGTTCTTAAACCTGACAAGTTGTCATGGAAAACAAATGATTTCTTATGGTTAAAAATAGCTTTATATGTCTTCATGAAAGCTTTAATTCTCATGTGAATAGGTTTTGAAGACATATTGTGTGTGTGTCATTATAGCTGCAGCTTTCATTTTCTGATAGCTTTATAAAACATGAGATCATTTTAAATTATATCTGGCCGATGAACCAAAGATCTATATATTCTTAAGACTGAAATGTTGGGGAAAGTTACAGAGGGGACAGTCAAAAGCAGTTTGTAATATGAAATGACATATTTGAAAAAAAGAGTCTAAATTGCAGAGGCTGTGGTAGCTTTAGGGTCGTAGCCATGGCTAACATCCAAAGTCTGCAAAACAATTTTATTCATACATTAAATCATATATTAAATCAAATTAAGTTGTGCCTGGATCATCTCATATATCTCATATATCTTTCCTGTGGAATAATTTATTAGTAAGAGATCCTCTTTGCTACAGATGTCTTAGGTACTTGTAAAGTTTTCCTCAAAACATTCAAGTACCGGTTGTTTTGTTGTTTATTCATTCAGTTGCTTCTGACTCTTTGTGACCTCATGGACCAGCCCACACCAGACCTCCCTGTTGGCCATGGCCACCCACAGCTTCTTCAAGATCAAGTCAGTCATTTCAAGGATAACATTCATCCATCTTACCCTTGGTCGGCCCCTCTTCCTTTTTCCTTCCATTTTCCCCAGCATCATTATCATCTCCAAGCTTTCCTGTCTTCTCATTATGTAGCCAAAGTACCTCATATTTGCCTCTAATATCCTTTCCTCCAGTGAGCAGTTGGGCATTATTTCCTGGAATATGTACTGGTTTGATCTTCTCACGGTCCAAGGCACTCTCATAACTTTCCTTCAACTCATAGTTCAAGAGCATCTAACTTCCTTCGCTTAGCCTTCCTTTTGGTCCGGCTCTCACGTCCATAGGTTACTACAGGAAATTCCATTGCTTTAACTATGCAGACCTTCATTGCCAGTGTGATGTTTGTATTCTTCACTATTTTATCGAGATTAGTCATTGCTCTCCTCCCAAGAAGTCTTTTGATTTCCTGGCTGCAGTCTGCATCTGCAGTAATCTTCATGTCTAGAAATACAAAGTCTGTCACTGCCTTCATGTTTTCTCTTTGAATTTGCCAGTTACCTGTTAAATGCTGATTTTCTCTTTTTTCCCTTTCCTTTGCCTACATTTCTACCTCAAGAATAGTAACTAAGAGCAAATGTGGCAGGATATTTTTTATAAACCTCAAAGTTATTTCTGAAGACCAATTTAAAAAGCAGAATTGCAATCCTTGTAAAGTAATGTGATTATGTATCTACTGGCGCCAAACATTTCTAGTTATATTAACGAATGCAATATCTGTATGTTTTGTATTATAAGAAATATGAAATGAGATTTTTCTTTTCTAATCAATTTTAATATTACCAGAACACTGATAAACTAAGACAATTTTAGTGTTTTAAATGAGATTTTCACAACTTAACCACATTCTTACAACATTTTGCATACAGATATTATATATGTTAGAATGAAATTATGATGCTTTTTATATGGAAACTATGGAAAATACATGTTTTTTTCCTCTGATTAAGAAATTCTACCATGTTTCAATTTTATAGGCTGTGGCGCCCTTTGTATGGCAAGTAGTGGATTGTCTCCCCTTCAGACAGCCCAAAGAACTGCAGCTGGAAACTCACTAATGCACAGTATTGTGAAGTTAGCTTCTCAAACTCTAGCAGAGAACAGTAGCATTCAACAGATGACCTTCAGTCTTCTGGCAAACTTGGTTGTGTCTCATGACTGTAAGAGTGTTCTTCAGAAGGTAGGTATATCATCTTCAGTTTCTTTCAAAGACACTGAAAAAGATGCATGTTTGGGGCAAAATAAAATAAGCATGTTAAGATACCCAAATGTTTTCTAATGGCATTGAACTATAGGGTTAAAAGGCAAATATCAGAAAGTTAGTGATAGATATTGCCCAAAAGTCAAGGGTGTTTCTCCAGTTATGCAAACTCTTCCATAAGTGAGATTAGGAAAAGTACCAGCCATCTACATTGCTCAAAACTCTACTCTGAATGGTCTACTTATTCTCCTAGAACTATCTATAAGGGGATGTATATTGTAGGATCCTGAACATCGTCTAGTTCTATTGTTAGTAAATATTGTGGTTGACCAATTTCATCTTTGAATGCTTAGTGGAATGAACACCACATTGTAAATGAAGGGTAGGCAAATTATTGGTTACACACCCAAAGCCCCTATTGCTTTCCCAGAAATTTCTTCCAATGCCTGTATTTTGAAAGAATGAATTTTGGCATTGTAAGAATGACAGGTTTTACTTTAGCGTTCACAGCCCCACCAGCCCAGCTCCTTCATCCTGAAGCCCCCAAAATCAAAATGAGAAATGTTTACCTGGTTATGTCCAGTTAAGGTAGTTTAAACTTTTTTTAATTGCAATTAAGGACCATATTCAGTTTTGGTGTGCACCACTGTAGCTGCCAGCACTAAAAATTTCACCCTTTCACCCACCACAGCTACCCACCCTTGTTTTTAATTTGTTGTTGTTGTTGTTGTTGTTGTTGTTGTTGTTGTTGTTGTTGTGTTTCTTCCAGTCATTTCTGACTTATGACCAATGTAAACCTTTTACAGGATATGCATTTGCCTTCCTTTGTGCTTCAGACATGCCCAAGGTAATCAAGTATTCTGGTCATAATAAGGCCAATTGCTACACACAGGAAGCCAACCAGCAGGATTTAATTGTTTTCTCTGTCTAATATTTCCCAATGACCCGTATACAGAGAGCTATTGCCTGTGACACTGGAAATGTTATCCAGCCATCAAAGTAGTAGCCTTTGATGGCCCTAACCCCATGTCATCATTATCTAATCCCCCATTAAAACCATCAAAATTGATGCCATAATTTAATTCACAAAATATCTCTGTGATGAAGTGTTTTTTTTATCTGTACTGAATTTCTAATCAGTCACCTTTAGTCAATAATCCTGAATTCTAATATCATGGGGGAAATGAGATAAACTTCTTCCTTCTTCCTATCTGCTTCCTTCACAATGTGCATAATTTTATATATTTCTATTGCCATTTATCTTGCACATTTTTTCTAAGTTGTCTTTAGAGAAAGGTAATAAATAAATGGCTACAAACATTGTACAGGACCTTTCAGAGGTACCCCCCCCCTTACACACACACAGGCAACCTGGAACCAAAATTGTTTTAATTGGCACTGTTACAATTTGATGAAACACATTGAGGACACATTGAGGGAACTAGAAGCCTCCTGGCCAATTAGTGGCCAATTTCTCAAACATTTTGTGTCATTAGAAATGGAAGACCTGGAAAAGACTCTAGCTGCCACAAGACCAACCACCTGCTCCCTCGATCCTTGCCCCTCCCGGTTGGTATGGGAGTGCTGGGAGGGACTACGAGATCCCTTGAGGAGCATCATCAACAGCTCCTTGGAGCAAGGAATTTTTCCAGATTGCCTTAAAAAAGCAGTGGTCCACCCTCTCCTGAAAAAACCAAGCCTTGATCCTGCCATACCTAGTAACTATCGCCCAGTTTCAAACCTTCCATTCCTGGGCAAGGTGATTGAACAGACAGTGGCAGGGCAGCTACAGCAATTCTTGGATGAGACTGCGGGTTTGGATCCCTTTCAATCAGGCTTTCGTTCAGGTCATGGGACAGAGACTGTCTTGGTAGCTATTACTGACGAAATTCGTTGTCAGTTAGACCGAGGCGGATCAGCGCTATTGGTACTCTTGGACCTCACAGCTGCATTTGACAACGTGGACCATGACTTGCTGATTCATCGATTGGCTATGTCTGGTGTACGAGGTTTAGCCCTCAAGTGGTTTAATTCATTCCTCCGGGACCGGAGACAGAGGGTGGAGTGGTCAGACCAAAGTTCTGAAAGCTCCTGCCTTTGCTGTGGAGTTCCCCAGGGTGCTATCCTCTTGCCCCTGTTATTTAACATCTACGCCCGACCACTTGCTGGACGGTGCGGAGCTTTGGCATAGAGTGCTACCAGTTTGCAGATGATACCCAGCTACTCTTGCATCTCGAACCTGGAACAACTGCGATTCCTGAGAACTTTAAGCTGTGTTTGGAAGCAGTGATGAGTTGGCTACGAGCAAGCAGACTAAAAGTCAATCCTGCAAAAACTGAGATACTTTGGCCCGGCCAGCCACCAGAATTAACCCATTCTCTGCCTGATTTCGATGGGGAAGCTCTGGTTCCGTCTGCCACTGTTAAAAGCCTTGGGGTTGTGTTGGACTCATCGCTGACGATGGAGTCCCAGATCACTGCCATAAGTAAGCAGGCCTTTTTTCATCTTCGCCAGGCAAGGAAATTGGCATCCTACCTTTCGGTAGAAGCATTGGCAACAGTAATCCACACAACAGTCACCGCGAGGTTAGACTATTGCAATGCCTTATATGCTGGCCTTCCGAAGTCAACGACCCAGAAGATTCGGATGGTCCAAAATGCGGCAGCCAGGCTGCTAGCGGGATCATCTATAAGATCCCATATTACACCGATTCTGCAACAACTGCATTGGCTACCAATAGAACATCGGATCTCTTACAAGATACTGATCCTGACATTTAGAGCTCAAAATGGCCAAGGACCTTTATATCTTAGGGACCGCCTCATTCCTTTTCCCATCAGTGGTCACCTCGATCCACCCAGGAAAATCTCCTATACATACCGGGTCCTAGGGAGGCACATTTGGAAGCTACAAGGCGTAGAGCTTTTTCGATCTATGCTCCAATTCTGTGGAACTCATTGCCTCCATATATTAGAGCAATGTCGGAGTTGCGACCTTTTGCAAAGGCGCTCAAGACTTGGCTGTTTGGTTGTGCATTTAAGTAACCGGATCAAATTTTGCCATAGTCACTGCTGAATGTTTTTATGTTGAATGTTTTATGTTGAATGTTTTATGTTGAATGTTTTTATATTGAATGTTTTTATATTGAATGTTTTATATTGTGTATAAACTGTTTTAAATTGTAAGTCGCTCGGAGCACCTTGGTGGAGAGCGACTAATTAAGAAATAAAGTGATGATGATTATGATGATGATGTACACAAAGCATATATAAAATGTCAAAAAATCAGAAGGTGTTTATGTGAATGCTTCTGCAAGACATTGTTCTCATATGGGAGTTTCTGTAGTCCCAGAATGACTTTTTATTTCATTTTTCTGTCTCTTTCCAGGCAATATCAACATAATTGTACATGCTATTCCTGATCTGTTCACTCTGTGGATTTCTAAAATAACCCCATCTATTGCACTTTAAATTTCAATTTCTTTCTCATTATACCCAAGATAAAATTTACCATTTCGAACAGGAATAGCATAACAAGTCAACACTTTTCCCCAAACTATCTATCACAATATCTTTCTTAGTCTTTCTCTGTCAGATCCCAGTAGTAAACTGGGGATTTCCTCTAGTATACCTCACTTTACCTTGAAATTACTTGCCATATCCCCTTTATGGCTAGCATTTTATCATTAGGACAGTTCGCTTACCCCTCTGTTCCAGACTACTTTGCATAAACTGAATTGGCCAAAAAGTATAGGAAGACAGTCATATTACTGCATTTTTACCAGCTGACTATACTGTATAACTGAAATTGTGAGAATTGTTAATAGAACTCTACAAATATATTGTTCTTATTTTGTTCTTATTCTTTCCAGAATAATTTTCTGCAGAACTTTTTAGCACTGTCATTGCCAAAAGGAGGTAATAAAAGCCTTGGTGCATTGGCTGTTGCTTGGCTAAAGCTGCTTTTGAATCTGTCATTTGAAGAAGATGGACAGCAAATGATTGTGAAGCTGAATGGTGGTTTAGATCAACTTATTGAGATGGCCAAGTACAAACACCGAAGTAATCCATATATGATCCTTTTGATTTTACACAACACTTGCTTTAGCCCAGCAAACAAACCCAGAATACTAGCTAATGGTGAGTAGCGGTTGTTTTGTTTAAACTCTGATTGTGAAACAGTACTGATGCTTGATAATAATATAGGTTGCTGAAAGTCTGTTGATAGATGAGAAATTGTGTATGAACAAACTTAGGCCAAGATACTACACACTTTTGGTGCAGCTGTTTATGTTTGAGTAGTTATGCTAGATCCAGAGTTGTACAAACATCTGCATCAGATGTAACCTCCTTGAGGACCCCACTGGCCAATAGTTGACTGCCACCTCAATCTAATGTGATTGGGTTTCTTGCTCCCCCAAGAATTTTGGGAGGGAGGTTTCCAGAGCTCAAACATGCATGGCCATGGGATCTTGGGATTGGGAAGTAATTTAATAGTTGGAGCCAACAGTATTTCAACACATGGGCATCCCAAATGCTGGGAAATTTGAGCGTGTTCGCTTACATGCTCAAATTTATTTAAGCAATATGATACGCTGTCTTATGTAGTATTGGTTAGTTCTTTCTTCACCAGTGCCATGGGGCTCGATGATTTTCAGTGGCAGAATGGTGGACCTAAATCTCATTCTCCATTAAAAAAATATCTGTATACTTATACACAGAATGATAAAATGGGAAGGAGTTTGGATGGACCTATAGGATGGAATGGCACCTCATTAGTCATCCCTTGTAAGTCATCTGCCGCAGCATAAATGCTCCTCACCACCATCACAGACCAGCGTTTTTTTGTGATCGGCAAAAATTGTTCTCTGAATAACAGATATCTCAAGAGAGCTTCTACGTGGGCCTTAGAAATCCTTCTTGGAGAACAGATAACCACAATTATGGTGACTGATTGTGGTTGGAGGAGAACAAAGCTATTAGTTTGTTCCAGTGCTCTAAAAGCCTGCCTGAATTGGTCAAAATAACAGCTAATCCAGTTTTGTTAATTAAATGGAATGGAAAAACTTTGGTTTCTCCTTAGTAGAGACTTTCTGAAAATCTCAAATAAAAAAGGGAATTAATATTGCTATTTTATTATGTATTAATGTTTTTAACTTGTTAATCGTTTAAATTGCTTTTATGTATTGTTTGTTTATTGATTTAGGCATTGACTTGTGCCTTCGTTTGTAAGCCGCCCTGAGTCCCCCCTCGGGGGTGAGAAGGGCGGGGTAGAAGTAATTGAAATAAATAAATAAACAAACAAACAAGAAAAGAGGAATTAATCTGGGAGGTCGTCTAATCTGATAAAATTTATTGGTATCTGAATTATCTGTCAAAATATCTGCTACATTCAGAAAACTAATCCAGTATTTTAACTATCTTTCTTCTGCAACTTTCCTGTCCCTGCGCTAGCACACAGAAGCTGGAAATATATTATTCGCTTATAATTTGCAATACCTGGAATATTGTGGATTTATTATTTCTGATTTTTCTTTACAAGGAACCATTCTTTATGACAGAAGATATGGATAGAGATTACTTGAATTAAATTATTCTGCATATTATTTAAGCAAAATTAATGTGTGAATCCACACATGACTCTAAGTTGCCTGTTAATTTATGACAACCCTATGAATTTCATAGGTTTTTCATAGGGAAAACTTATGAAATACTCAGGGTGGTTTGTACTGTTGTAATATTTATCACAGAAGGAGACAAATTATCTGCTGGAATGCACAGGAGCAGCTGAAAATGTGATAGAATTGCCTTTTGTTCAGTACATGTGTGGTCTTTTGTCTCTCTCATAGATAAAGCTATTGCATTGCTATCTGCCTGTCTAGAAAGTGATAGCCCTGTAGCTCAGAGAATAGGAGCATCTGCACTTTGGGCTTTGCTTCACAATTACCAGAAGGTTAGTATTTTAAAGACAGAATTGCTTTTCAGCTGTCATGTTTCTGCAAAAGCATTGTAGGGTTTATTTATGTATTACATTATATATCTGCATTTCCATTATTATGGTCAACATGGCTGATAAACAGAGTCCTGTGTAAATTAGGTTTTTTTTAAAAAAAATATCTTAAAGCAGATTTGGTTAATCTTAGTTTACTCAGCTATATTGTCTGATTTTTAATTTATTCTGAAGCAACTGAAGAAATGCCGTAGCTCCATGGTAAAACACATAATTTGCATGCAGAAAATCCAAGCTTCAATCACTACATCTCCAGCTAGGGCTAGAAATGATGCTTATGTGAAACCACTGCCTGTCAGTATTGGCAATACAGAGTTAGATCATCAAATGATCTATTTAAGGTAGCTTTCCATGTTCCTGCATTTGTAGGGTTAGAGCAACAACTGGCACAGCAGTGGGCAACTTCAGTATCTCTAAATATAATTTTTCCACACCTCAGAATCACTCATGATGATGCAGAGTGCCCAAATTATCTCCTTCTGATGTTTAGAGGGTTCAGGAGTATATTATCAACCTTAACGCCCCTCAGAGCCACACTTTGTCCACCTCTGCAGTACCAAAATGGCTCTGGTCTTGGAAGGTCCTTCCACTCATTTTTTGTGGATTTCCTCTTTTCCTGCACGACAATTCATTCCATTCAGCATGGTCACCAGATCCACTGTGTAGCATCATCAGGGAAGTGGAGGAACCAATATGGGAAGGGCAATGAAGTTGAATTTTCTAAGTCTAGTTACCGGTGCCTTAATATGAATATGAATAAATGTGATCTAACTCAACACAGCTACTATCTTACAAGTCTCTTTGGTGTGCTGGAACACAGCAGTTATTTGTGATAATAGCTATACAGGAAGAATTTTTGTAACATCCTTGGTGTAGATAAGACACGTCAAACTTGTGGCCCTCCAGATGTTTGGACCTCCAACTCCCAGAAGCCATAGCCAGCTTTTCCAATGGCCAGGAATTCAGGGAGCTGAAGTCCAAAACACCTGAAGGACTACAGGTTTGAGACCACTGCTGTAGATGAATTCATTCTGTTATACTGGTTTCCACATCTGCATGATGTGGACACCAGTATAACAAAATAAATTCATCTACACCACATCTGCATGATGTGGACACTAGAGAAAGAGTTGTTTTATGCTAGTTTCTTTCTCTTCTACTATATTAGACACCTTTATATTCCCCCTTTGCTTTGCTCCCATTCCCATCCTTAATGGTTCTTAAGAGTTCTGTGAGGTATATTGCCAGTCCTTACCTGCCTAATGTTCACAACCTTTTGTAATGAATCAATCCTACCTAGATTAAGCTCTCACAGAAACTGATGTAGTAGGTTCCCTGCGACATATTCTGTCACATCACACAACTTCAGCAGCTGGTTTTAAAAGCTTTATTTGTATCATCCCAACTTGCAGCAGGTCTAATTCAATGATCTCTTGCAAAGCTTTCCCTGTGTTGCGCTAAATTTGTGATAGCTGCTTCAAACTACCTCAAGTCTATATTGGGTCTGATAACCAGTATTATAGAAGTATTTTCCCAAGTCCTCATTGCCGTATTACTCTCACATTTCCTTCCTGGCAAGCAAGAATGAGCCTCAGTGGCACAATTAGGATTCATTTCATTCTTTTCATACAGAGTCTTCACCTGCACTGTATTTCTTGTTTATACTCAAGTATGAGAAGATGTTGGGAGTTTTTTAAAAATACTTCTTTTTCATTGCCATTTTTTTTGTCCTTATCACAGTTAGTTAATGAAGCTTCTAATGGCATTAAGAAGGGAGCATGTTATGGTGCATCTGTTTAAAATGTCGATTCTTTTTCCGCTCCTGGCTTTTGCATTGGTGTTTGTACAATGCATAAATACATCAAATTAACACTGGTGAATGGCACCATAATAAATTATCCTGTAAGTTAGGTGATGCATGGCTTTAAAATATGCTGTTTATTGTCATGCTATAGGCAAGCTATTTTTGTGCTTGCACTGTTGTATTCAGCAAGAAATTGGGAAGCATGTCATTCACAAGGCAGCTTAATATTCAATGGAGAGCTTTCTGTTGTGCTGAGCTTTGCAAACAGCTATGTTTGGGGAAAATTGTGCTTCCTTTGATGGCTATATTTTACTGAATTATTCTCTCTTCTCCTTCCCCATAGCACTATTCACAGTGGCATGCTCACACATTACAGTCTTAAGTTTGAGAGTGCATAGCCTTATGGTCTGCTGCCAAGAAAGAAACACAAGAGGAAGGAATGAGTTTAAAAGTATCAGCATGGGGGATTAATGCAGTCATTGAATTGTTCTTTTCCCCCCTACTTTTTTGTGCTACAGGCAAAAGTGACTTTGAAGAATCCATCAATAAAACGAAGAATAGATGAAGCTTTCCTTTCAGCGAAGAGAAGTATGCTTTAATGGAGAAAGTTTAGCTTCTGTCACAAAGGAGTAACAACCATTTCTATAATTGTTTTGTGAGATAATTATTATTCAACAGTAATCAAGGAAAAAATGTTATGAAATAGGATTGTTTATTGAGAAGTCTCACTGCTTTCAATGACACTAGATAGAAATTTTACATAAGGTTGTGAGATAGTCTCTAAAAGAGACCGAGAACCAGAAACTATGGATCTACCTGGGGGTGAGAAACACATTTTCTTTATCTTAGGTAAGATGTAGAAATAGTCCCTGATAAAATTGATACTGTAGAAGAATCTATAAAACTCAAAGAAACTGTATCTTGTACTATATTTTAATAATAAACAATAGAATTGATGAGGTCACCATTAAAAGCAGGAGTCCTCAAACTAAGGCCCATGGGCCAAGGTTGGCCCACCAAGGCAATTTCCCTGGCCTGTTGGTAAGGTGGCTGGGATTTCTTTGAACTGAAGTCTAAAACACCCAGGGATACCAAAAGTTGGGAACCACTGATCTATAGAGTGGAGTGAAATTTACTCCATCGTCAGTGAGCCAGATCAACTGATAGATAGTTTAAGTCATCTTCCAACGCTTCTGTAGAAAATTTTATTCTAGTAGGATTTGTCAATCTAAAAAGTTGACATGCCACATTTTATTCTACTCACAGAATTATATAAGGAAAAAGGAGTTCCAGTTTAATTGAATGATTTTGACTTTTTTCTATAATCAGAGAGTGTTTCTGATTTATGATACATTCTTGCCTTTGCCTCCCCTTTTAGCTTTTCAGATGCAACAAGAAAGCCAGCAGGATCCCTATTACTTAAAATGTCTGGAAAACCTTGTTCAACTTCTCAGCAGTTAACCTCACTTATGTAAATGAATGCTGTGTGTTACAAAACTGGTTTCACTGAAGGCCAACAGAATCCAAATGGAAATGTAATGCCACCTTGTTGAAGTGGGATTAAATCCTTTCTTATCCTTTGCATTGCATTCCAAAGAAGAATGCCAAAGAATGTACAGTTAACATATTTGTGTCTCTGGAAACATCAGTGTTTTAATGTCATCACAAGTGACATATGGGAGAACAGAAGAAAAAAATATAGACTTTTAATGATGTAAATTGTAAATATGTAAATTTGTATAAATAAAGATGTGAATTATATGTTGATTGTTTTACTCTTATTGGTAGCAGAGGGATGGGGAATCTTTGGCTGTTTGTACATTGGATTACCATCTCCTAGATGTCCCAATCAGGATGGGAAGAGATAAATTGTTGGCTGTGTAATTCAGAATAGATTATAAAAGGTTTACCTTCCCTATTGTAGTATTGCATGATCAATACTCCGCTCCCCGAATTCAAACTGTCAACCTGTTGGTCAGCCATCCTGCTGGCACAAGAGTGTAACCCATTGCACCACTGGGGGCTCCCAGTGAATTATGTAATTGGTGAAAAGAAATTGTGGTGGTTATATCACTACATGGAAGCATTGTGGAATCATTTCGTCTGTCCCATAGCAAATAAATAATTGAAGGTTTTAGTATATTTTGGGAAGGGGGAACATTATGGCATGGAAAAACCAAAGAAAGGAAACTTGGGTATTTATGTAAACTAATGCTGATTTTCTTGAGTGAAAGGGCTATGGAAGCTTTAGGATATCCTTAAAATGCAGTCTGAATAACTTAGTCTTATGTTTTGGATTCCTTGAAAAGATGGGGATGAGGAGACAGTCACAAACTTTGCTTTCCTGATGTCTTCAGCTTATTTTTTTTTACTGCTTTGCCACAACACATACTGTGTTATGTTTACTTGTGCTGTTTATATAGATTAAGAGAACAAGAGTAAAGTGGGACCATTTTGATGGTAGAAAACAGAGTGAGGACATATAGCTTTTCAGATTGTCAGATTGCATCTCCCATCATTAGACAACACAGCTGCTGTTGAGGAATAACAGGAGTTATAATCCAGTTTTATCTGTAGGTTTCACACTTCCCACAACCCTCATATAAATGAATGTGTGCCTGGCTTGAATGTATCCAAAGTGTTCCCTTGATTCTTTCACAGTTTTCATTTCATACTTGTTTTTGTAACTTTCTAAAAGAATAGATAAATTGTAACTATATATGTTAACTTCATTTTGCACTCACCCTCCACCATCCAACTTTAAGATGCTTTATTTGTTCTACACTGTACTCAACACAATTTACTGTTGTGTTGAGTACAATTTAGTAAACATAAAACTAAATTGTCTAAAGGGGAAGGAAAAGAAATAAAAAGGTATGGGCTGATATGGTAAAAACTGGATGAAAAGAAAAACATTGCAGGTGCACATTTTTGTCATCACAAACTGTTGAATGCTCTTCAAAGTCGCAGGGGAGACTCTGTCATATATAAAAGCTGTTTTTCATCCTTTGGTGCTAAATTAAGAATATAAGAAGGCATGCTGAATTAAATCCTAGGCCTATGTAGTTCCATCAATCTTTTTACACCATATCCGACCAGTTGTCTATAGGAAGCTCGCCAGTGGTGCATAAATATAACGACAATATGAGGAAGTTAAATCTGAGGCTTATTCTTGTATTTTCTGTTTCTGTATTTTGTGGGAACTTGAGTGACAATTAGAAGTGCTTTAATTCTCATCTTAAACTATAGGGTTTACAAGAGAGTGTCTCTTTGTGTCTCTCTGTGTGTTTTATTAGTAGGGTTCCTAATTTTGGAAAGGAAATGGCAAATGCTGTCACTATTTTATTTGCATGAGTGGGCAACATTCTACAGGATGAGAACATTTCCATGCATAGTGGAAACAAGTGTATGTGGCTGACTAGGTGAAAACCACAGATCTGAAGATAATGTGTCTGCATCTGCCAACGAAGAAATTGCATCTGTATTTCGGAAATGGGAGCAGGCGGGTGGGTTATTTTATCCAGACAGAAACTGCATTAGTAAATGACACACAACTATCAAGCATCAATTAAATTTCATTGCCAATGTATAATTATTCCATCGTTCTGTTTGCATGTTGAGTGTTTTATGTTGGTCACATCTGTTTATACACAATTTGACCTGCTTTCTATGAAGAAATGACATTTTTCCTTGATGCTTCTGCTATCACACATCTCTTCTGAATACAATGTTGTATATGCTCAGTTTTTCTTTGCAGTTTGGTCCTTGGCCAAAAAGAAATACATAGTGAAACAAACTGCTTTTTGACTGTGGAAATCAGCTGTACACCGAACACAAAAAACGTTTGTGCAACAGGTTGAGAATTTCTTATCAAGAAATGTTTTGGATATTGCTTGGATTTCAAAATAGAGGAAGTCCCCAAGTAACAGACATTTAATTTATATATGGCTCATATATAAAAGAATGAAGGTGCAACAACAGGAAGTGAGATAAATCTGACCCTAGGAAGGGAAATTCACTCCTGGAAGAGTTCTCATGGGGAAAAGTTGTCTCTAATGAAGCTTTATCACCAATCCTTGTTTCCACAACATGCCTTTTTTCAAAGTTCAGTTGCCACAGTGACATAAAGTGAGGTCAAATCTTTTGTACAGGAGTACAGACAGCAAAACAACCACCATGGGGATGTTAATCCTTCCCTATGCTACTCAAAGCTAAAATGTTTGTTTGGCTGCCTGGAGTTACACTTAAAAATGTACCTATTATGGCTTACATGCAAATTCAGTTTAAGAACACACTGACAGAACCTATCTTGTCTGTAACTCGGGGACTGCTTGTACCTGTATTTGCATATACATCTATAATATTTTTGGAATTGACATCCAAGTCCAAACACAAAATTCATCAATGTTGTATATTCACCTTATACATTTAGCCTGAGAGTAATTTTATACACATAATTTGTAGCAATTTTGTGCATGAAGCACAGATTTAATTATCTCAGTCACCCAAGTGGACAATTTTGGAGTATTTCGGAAATTTGGATAAGGAATCATTGATTTGTTGCATATATAGGGGCAAGCTCCTGCATGATAAAACCACAGATCAGACAGATATTATCAAATGGAAAGAAATAGACCACAGCTTTATTTGGTTACAGCTGTAAATAAGGTTGGTGCTTAGATGGTGGGGATTCAGGTATTGACTAACCTGCGTGTTGATCAATGAGACCATGGAGCTGACCAGCTGCCAAGTCCCATGAAGTTCCTGCTGGGGAGAACCCTAGTACAGTCACACAGCTACCATCAGGTCACACACTCTTAGCCTCTGATCGCTATAGTTTGAAATTGATTTCAAGACACCCAACAATAATGTTGGGTATCAAGCCACAGAGAACAGATGATAAAAGTATTTTATCAGAAAACAACAAAATATAGTTTTCACATCCCAAACATATTTTGCTACTAATAACTAATAAAAACAGTTTAAATAATTCTAGAAATAATGAAATATTTTATCTGTGAGGAATGTTCTTACAAATTAATTTTGTTCCGCCTCTCTCCAATTGAAAGATATTCTATAAAATCTCTTCACAGAGTACAGAGTAAATTTGTCGCTGCCTTAGCCCCAGGTTTCTCAACATTAACATCTATTACTGCTAATGAGTTAGCAAATGAAGACCAGGGTAGGTCTATTAATATCTTATTCTGGGAACCGACATTACAGGTAGATATCCGTATTAAAGGAAACCACATACATATCAAGATTTCAGAACATGAGATTACATTTCAGAACATGAGATTTTGCCTCATTTTTCCATTCTCTTGTATTAAACAATTAATACATAGCCTAACAATTAGAAAAATAATTTGGTATTTTGGAAAATTATATAAACCTGACATCTTGTTGATGAAGTCAAACTCACATAAATTAATCACTAAAGCTTTTTTAAACCTCTCTGAGTTCAAATATACTCTTTTATATTCCACTTTTAGGAGCAAATGGAGAAAAAATATTTTAAGATTTAATCTTAGAGTGAGCCAATCAGATCTGATTATGGCTATTTAATACAATCCTTTCTATTCTAATTATGAAAGTACTAAAGAAAATTCATTGAAAATGGTGTGTCAGTGGTTGTTCTTCTTGTGTGCCTTTAAGTTGTTTTCAACTGGGGGATTTATGGAGAAGAGAATTATGCTTGTTGCAGAAAAAAAGCATTTAATTTTTAAAATTAAGAAATATTGAAAAGGAAGATCACTGTAATTTTTTATATTTTATTCCTGTAATTTTTGACTGATTTATCATATGTTCATGGGGTCAGCATAAGTCAACAGGCAATTTGAAGGCACATGGATGTTTTTAAACTACCTTGCATATTTTGGGGAAATGTATTTGGAAGATTGATTATTATAGCATTATTAAGATCTATTCTTTAATATGTATTTTACTTATTCACTGAATGTTTATAGGAAATTGAAAACCAATGTAATTAAAAAAAACAAGAAGCTTTTTAAAAATAGCATAGAGGACAGGACTGAACCAGTGGCCAGAGGTTCAACAGGAAGCTCTCAGCAACATCTTCTCAATTTGTCCCTCTGAGAAGAAGTAGAACCATTATAAACGAGTGTCAAATATCCTATCCACTACCAATAGCATTGAAAGCCTTTGAGATGTTCAGCAGTACCAATACTCCATTGCTAGTTTCTGAATGCCACCCACAAAGGCAATGAAATTTCTGTTCTATAAACAGAAATGAATCCAATTTGAAATTAACCTAGATCTGGGTTCCTCAAACTTTTAAAGCAGGGGGCCAGTTCACGGTCCTTCCGATTGCTGGGAAGAAGGCGGACTATTGTTTGAAAAAGACATGAACGATTCCCTGTGCACACTGCACATATCTTATTTGTGCAGCAAAAAACAATGAAAAAACAATACAATACTTAAAATGCAGAACAATTTTAACCAACATGAACTTACCAGTATTTTAGTGGGAAGTGTGGGCCTGCTTTTGGCTGATGAGAAAGTCAAGTTAATTAGGATTGTTGTTGTTCTGTGTTCTTCAAGTCATTTCAGATGCAGGCAAACCTAAGTCTAAAGTTTAGGGTGGGGCCAGGTAAATGACCTTGATTTGGGGACTCCTGATCTAGATTATCTGTTTTATTCATGAACTTTTGAGAGACCGCCAGACCCTGTAGTACCTTCCCAAGAAATGGATATTAGTGATTTTTTTCACATAGTACGGAGCTAAAACCAGTTACTACTATTTATCTATGATCTTGACTTTGAGAGCAAAAGTGAGCTGAGCTAAAACAATTTCCAAAAATCTCACAGTGTTGGTGCCTCTTGGGTTAAATAAGATCTTTTTTCTACACAAAGCATTGGCAAGATGTAACTTTGTAGGGATGTGCTTAATGTCTTTCATTTAACAGAAAGGTGTATCTTCTGTCAAACTGATTTTATTGCAATCTCTTCCATGCAGTGAAAACTTACAAGTCAATCTTGAACAATGAATAGGCCTCACACCTGTTCAGCATATCTTCCTCTAATCTTCGCAATTTTAATCAGAATTTGAAAAGAGAAATTAAAAGCAACAATAGCTATCTGATTTAAGAATGATAAAATATAAATGATCAGATCAGTGAACAAAGTTTGTGGAGTTTTTAAGGCTTTGTAAGTTATAGCCAATTCCTCACGTTGCTTCTGCCTCTGGCTCATTCTGTACCAGTTTGCTCATCTCTTTAAATCAAAATAACTATTGTTTTGTGCTGCAAGACTTTAATTTATGTTGGCAAAGAACTTTTCAGATCTTGGATAATACATCTGCTGTAGGAAATAATGTTCCTCTTTATAGCCAATGCATTTTCCTACCATCCTGCTTAGAAAAAAACAGTCATAGTTGCAAATATCAAATGATACATCTTACAAACCAGTTTTAGGTTAACTATGGGTGCATGCAGATTCAATGTAAGTTGACAGCAGTTTATCTGCCATGGCTACCAAATCTTGGAAGTTGTAGTTTGGGAGATACTCTATGCCAGAGGAGGCTAAAACCACTCCCGTGATTCCATAACATTGAGTCATGGCAACTTGAATTGGCATTAATTCTACAGTGCACATTCATCCTTGCATGCTATCTTTTGAGTATTACCATCAACATGGTTATCACAGAAGAAACTAGAGACATGTCTAAAGATTCTCAAACAATCTTGTGGGATTTTACTTTTACTAACAAAATAATTATCTTTTAAACATCTTGAAATATGTCTAATTTCTTCTGTGAGTTGCATTTTCTTCTTTTGCCAACATGGTTAAACAACTTTTTATCTTTCTCTTTCTTACTATTTCCAGTTCACAAATGGAACATATAGGCAGAGGATGCCTGATTTGGCCAACTCCATCTGGTGCCATTGATTTAAGAGAAAAATTGAAATGTTTTATAATGAACTCCCTTGTCATTACATTTTGTCTGGTAGTGCTCCTTCTTTTGTCTGTTGGTAGTTTCTCATAGTATTTTGTCAGTTATGTCAAACTGAAATGAATAACAATGAATCTTTTTCTTTTCAATCAAATGCAATAGATTAATGACTAAAACCTGCTCTTTAAGCCATGTTGTCCCTACTAGCACCCAAAATAATACTTGTATCGATAGTTATGCCAAGATACATTATGAAAGAACCCTTGGAACAGCATCACTAATAGTACGGGAGCGAATCTTGTATCTTCATACAGCAGCTCAGATCATGCAACTCTTAGAATGTCTAGTGGCAGAAGATCATTTCTTTTTGTTAAAGATGTGTAATCCCACGTCACAAGAAAAAGATATAGGGCTGTGTGTATTGATGTGTCTAGAATGATACACAGCTGTGTGTATTGATACGTTCTGTTGACAAGACTGAAAGTTGAAAATGTGGCAAATGGTCACAGAGAGGTAGACATCTTATGTCCCCCAAACAGAAAGGACAAATATATTATCTTGTGTTTGAAACATTGCTTATGTGATTTTCTAATGCCAAGACTGAATCACCTGGTTATTTTCAAGCTATCAAGTCATCATTATAATCCATAAGCTGGTTTACATGTTATATATTTAAAATGAAATGAGAACAAAGTTGAATTGCAAAGCTCAGTGCCTATAACAGTTTTCTTTGTTCTATAGTGCTCTGAACAGCACATCTTTTGACTTTTGAGGCTAATGAATACACAGTAAAGATTTTTGCCTCAAGTCCAGTGACAGCCTTGCTTGCTCACTTGAGACAATATTTTTAGGCCTTATTGATCTGACTAAATTGATGAAGGCAAATTGAATTAGTGTGCCTTTTACAGTGCTAGAGTGGCAAGCCATCTCACTTAGGAAGGCATTAGGAAGGTGAATGCGGAGAGGGATATGTTTCCAAGGAAAGAACAGGTCTCTACAGTGAGGAGACTTTCACGTGTAATTTTAGTTTGGGACTTATTTTTCATTTTAATTTAGGCTACTCAGCCCTGAAATTCCCTGAAGTATTCTAAGTAAATAAAATAATTTGGCCTAATTTTATTTCCGCAGGCAGATTGATGGAAGCCATAGCTCTGAGTTTGCAAGACCTGAGCAAAGATGTTAATAGCAGAGTCTTCCAAGCTGTCTCATTCATAGAGTTGAAACTAACTTGTTTGCACATAACAACAGTAACAAAAATTATTCATTAGAGGTGTTCAGAGATGAAATTGAAGTAAGGATACCCATATAGGTCATGGGAAGGAATTATGCTTTACAGAGAAGAAACAAATCAATCAGTTCCTGTCTTAAGAAGGCCAGTTTCCAATAGTTTCATTCTGTTATTGCAAATGATGTTCTCTCGTAGGCCTGAATCCTATTAGTAGTCTCAACCACAGTGCATCCTTTCAATCAATAGGATTGCCACAAGTGTTAATACATCATTCAACAAATGATTCAGTGAGTCTAAATTAGCTGATACAACCAATAGGATTCAGGTCGTGGAGATCTCATTCCATACTATGTACAATGGAGAATCTAATGCAATTTCACACCTGAAATTTCACACAGCCTGTGTACAATCCATTGCAGGACTTGTCGCACAATTAATTGCACAAGCCGTAGCCAAAGGACTATAAGATCAGATCTGTTCCTGCGAGTCCAACAGTTTCCTCATTCAACATCATGTTGGATTTAGGCCATAAAATCAAGAATTCAATGAAGAATAAAAAGGAAGGTGGTTCACTCAGCTGTTAGTTCAAAAGAGACTATTCAGCTGATGCAACTATTGAATCAATTGCTGAATTATGACACTTCTTATCGATCTATTCTGTTTTAGTTGAGACTAATAATTGTATTTAGATCCAAGGCTGCTAATTTCAGCAGGAACTAAAGAGCTATGTCAAGCATTGCAAGTATTGATGACAAGCATTGAAACTGACCAGAGCAACTGATATTGCTGTCATAATAAAATAATTTAAATTATTTGTCTGAGATTGCCACCAAATTGTAGGAAGCCACAGGTGTCTAGACTTCTTTGCGATACCTCAAAATATATTTTTTAAAAATCTACAAAAATATTGCTCTGTGTGTTTTTGTTTCTTTCTAATTGCTACAGTTCTCAAAAGAGAGGAAGAATATTCTGTCTTGCTTATTCATTTTGGCAGGATACCACCACCCACACCATGTGGCCAGGAAACAGAAGCAGCCTTCTTGAAGTTCTAACACATATCTCTTTAGCACTGCTGGAAATGGATTATCTCGCTTTCTTCGTTGCTGCTGTTCTACTATCATATGAAAGTAAGCTAGATTTCTTACATGCTGTGCTATATGTCATATTATAATTAGTCACATGCTAGTCCTAAATATGCTTATTAGCAGTAACTTGCAGCAACTTATTTATTTATTTATAGTATTTTTGTATCAGCCCACCAGGTAATCAATTTGACTTATTTGTCAGTAGTTTATTAAAAATAAATGTGGAAATATTTCTAGTAACTTTTGTTCATAATAGTACCATCTTATGCTTCCCCAAAAACATTTACTCCAGTGTGTTCATTGGTAGGACATTCCAGGTAACTTTATATAAAATATACCTATATCATGCCAAGAAACTATATCTTAAAAGAGAGTGAAAATGTGGTTCTTTGATCAAGCCTTTGGAAAACTTGTGCAGTAGACAGATATAGAATTATGTGCAAGTATTATTGTAATGGCCCGGATTACGATTATGGATAGCATGGTTTAACAATGGTGATGTTGGTTTAAATGTTTTAAAATGTTTTGATGTATTTTATAATTTCATTTAAAATGTTCATTTTAATAGTATATTGTTTTTAATGGCATTAAATAGCTGCCTATGTGTAAAGCTGCCTTGAATCCCCTCCAGGGTTGAGAAAGGCAGGGTAGAACTGTCATACATAAATAAATAATAAGTAACAATGTTATTGTTTCTGCTCTTGCTCATAAAAGGTTTTATTTTAATTTAAACGGCATTGCTCATTCAGTACATGCTGCAAATGTTGGTTCAGTATCAACAGATTTCTGTGGTTCAATGTTTTATAGACATTAATATTTTGTTATGTGCCTTTAAGTCATTTCCAACATAGGGTGAACCTATCATACATTTTGGCAGAATTTGTCAACATTAACATTACATTTTGATTTTAGGCTGTACTACAGTCACAGTGGAAGGAAAACATGAGGATTCAACTGTGAAGCTTGGCAGCACTATGACTCTTGAGTGTGTCTATCCAAAGACTGCAACTATAATTCAGGTGTCATGGAGCAAAGAAAAGGGCAAAGGAAAAGAAAACATTGTAGTCTTCAGACTGCCTTATGACCTGCACATGGAAAGGAGATACTTGTCCAGAGTTAATGTTGGTAATGTAACTACGAACAACAAGTCCCTCATTTTTTACAACACTACTGAGGAAGACATTGGATTTTACTTATGCTCCTTTCAAACTTTTCCATATGGAACTTGGGAAAAGAGAATACAGGTTGTGAGATCAGGTAAAGTAAAATAACTGCGTTTTAAAAATTAAATATATTACTTGTAAGTGAAAGCTCTAAATTCTGTCAACCAAAAACATTAACTGTTATGGATGAAAGAAAATCAGGCAACATTATAGGTGTGGCTCACATTAATCCCTCCCTGACACAAACACAATGTTTTTTTGGGATAAGAGTGTCAGAATCAAGGCAGATACTACAGAAGGTTTGTTCTCCTTTGAAAAGCTTCACAAAGGTGGCATTTTGAACCAGGAAAGGTATAAAGAGAAAAGGAGCTAGGTTATTTGTTTGTTTGTTTATTTAGTTCCTTCTTTTCTGCCAAGTCGCTGACATTGTAATGAAATTAAGTATAAATGCAGTTAAAATGTAAAAATGTACTTTAAACAGAAGAGATTAGATATATTATATATAGATGGGACAGATAGAGAGTGATAGATCTACTAATTTATAGATGATAAAGGAATGTCTGAATACAATAGTATTAATCTGCTGGTAGAAGGACAACCCAAAGTGGCTCAGTATTGCATCTCTCAAAAGGAAATTCCAGAGCCTGGGAGCAGCCACCAGGAAAGTCTTGTATTGTCACTATTGTCATATTGCCACTAAGTATATATCCATTGAGTGCACTTTGACAAGAGGACAAAAGGGGACAAAGAGTCTTTTTTCCCCTTTTGTTGACTGATAGTCCATTTGCTTTCAAATCCGTAATGAAATAACTTTGTTATCTCCTGCACAGAGAAAGACATAGAACTGGACAATGATCATGATTCCTTCAAGTTCCATAACTTGATAAAACTGTGTTGTGATTATTGTTACTATTATTTTAGAACAATCCTTTAAAACAATGCTTCCTGGTTCACTGTTCTCCTGTAAATATGACCTCTTTCTCCAACCAATATGACAGATTTTGAAAAGATTTATATTTATACTTGTAATTTTTTTAAGTCAGGGCTAGAGAACAGAGATATGAGATAATGTGTGTGTGTGTGTGGGGGGGGGAAGGTTATGTCCTTTCTCTTACATCAGTTGTGTACATAATCTACTCTCCTGTTTGGAAAGCTATTAACTCTGCCCCATAGAAAACTGAATTTGGTGGGGGGGGGGGACGTATTTCAAATGCTGTGTGAAAGCAAGATCCCAGAGAAACGATTTTTAACATTATTTTATTATTATTATTTTTTTATTAACTTTATTTGTACCCCGCTAGCATCTCCCGAGGGACTCGATGCGGCTCACACAGGCCGAAGCCTCAAAACACAATACAGTAAAAAACATAACACAACAATAGCAAAGCAAATCAAACAATAAGCAATAACGACACATTAAAGTATGGGAAATGTTAAAGTGTTATACCATCACTACTAATGTTTCTAGGGTAACTCGTATTTTAAAAGATGCCCATTATTTAAAGGCCAGAAAGTTTCTCCCTGTATTATAATTCTATCTGAGGGTTGGAAAGCTTTCCATGACCAACCATGAAAAAATAAGACCAGACACAGAAAGTTCAGTTAAGTAAGGGCCATATCATTTGATAATTGAGCCAGAGAGGAGAACAATCTGATGTGTGTCCAGCCGAGACCAGGTGTCTACTCTAGCCTTCACTTGACTCCTTCCCCTCCTCCACAGGCCACAAGACTTGTAGAGGCAGTTCTAGAGCTCTACCCTTCATCAAACGGGTTCCAGAGGCATAAAAACTTGGGGAGTAATCCTTCACATAATTCATGAATGTGGATAAAATGCTAATTTTACAAAGAAATGCATGACTAGGTTAACTGAGATCGATCCTTTGGCATTTAGACAGAACACAAACATGTTAATAGCTATTTCTTGTTTGTCTACCCTGCATGCCATGAATTTTGACTATCCCACTGTTTATCCAATAAATCATGAATGCATCAATAAAGCTAATGAATAAAAGTAACAAAAAAGTAATAAATTTTCTGGTCCTGTAGTTACTTTTCTAAACAAATGGCATACTTATTGGATTTGGTTACATTGATCTGCAAATATAATTTATTCAAAATCAGGCCATAATGAAAGTGGGATAAAATGGAAATCAATCAACATATTCATTTCCTTATAATTTAAAAAATATAACTAACTATAACTATATATAATAGACTTGTAAAAATATAGAAGAGTTTGACATTACTTTCTGATAGCACCTGAGACTTTTATTCTCTTTTTCCAGCATTCAGCTGGAGAAGTAAAGTCTTCAGTGCATTAATCTCCCATATCCTCTTGACACTGCACATTTTATACTTCTAGTTAAATGAATGTGTCTGATTCATAATAAAAGGCATAATAAAAGTCATCTATGAGCATCTTTGGTCTTTCAAGACTGCCATGCAGCTTTGTCAGTATTGTCATCCAGTCTTTCAAAGGCTCCCAGGATATAGATGGTTCGTGGTTCAATTTAACTGAATCACTAAATACATACACACTTATTCACCCCCTTCCTTGTGTCAAATCTATTTTTGCTAAAGGAGAAAAAACGTACAGAGAGAATTGCTTCTTTTGTTGTATTGGGGAGCTATACTAGCTGTACAATTATTCCATCTGCTATGCCAGGTGTTTAATTATAAAAGGTGCTGTGTGCATAGGGCCAACCTCAAGCAGACAATCCTTGTTAACTATACCCTTTTAGGCTGAATTTGCCTCTCAGTCTCTGTCATCTTTCATTCTAGACTTTGAAAAACTGAACTCCTAGACACTGGGTCCCCAGTCCAAATTGTTAGGATGTCCCTATGAGAACTCTAAGCGGAAAGGCTCATATTGAGAGAGAAATCCTTTGTGAAGGATAAAAAGCAATTAGATGTCAAACTTCAAGAACTCAACATGAACTAGATGCTTGCCTCCTGCTGTTGATATCAAAGTTGTTCCTAAATGTTCTTCTATTTGACAAACATAATAATTGTCATGTTGGGTTGAATTCAGTATCTTTTCATTGATCGCCGTGGCTAGTAATATGCTTCTGACAAGTGTGAGAGACCAAGGAGACATGAGCTATAACTTCATGACAATTTTAATGTTAGTACAGAACTAATCTCACTCGCAACCGGAGATAACCCACACTGTGTATGTATTCAAAGACATAGCCCTGTTATAAAGATAAAGGTTTCCCTTTGACATTAAGTCTAGCTGAGTCCAACTCTGGGGGGTGGTGCTCATCTCCATTTCTAAGCTGAAGAGCCGGCACTGTCCGTAAACACTTCCTAGTTAATGACTTTATGGAGCACAGTTACCTTCCCGATGAAGCAGTACCTATTAATCTACTCACATTTGCATGCTTTTGAGCTGCTAGGTTGGCAGAAGCTGAGGCTAACAACGGGAGTTCACCCTGTCCTGTGGATTTGAACTGCTGACCTTCCAGTCAGCAAGTTCTGCAGCTTAGCGGTTTGGCCTGCTGCACCACCGTGACCCCTTTTATAGCCCTGGTTATTTGGATCAAAATGCAAAAATGATCTTGTAACATCTTTGCGACTGTCAATTGGTAGCACAAGCTTTCGTAAAGCCTATTTTATCATGCATTTAATAAAGTAGACTAAAGGCTATGAAAGTGTATGCTATTAACTTATTTCTCTTTTAGTCTCAAATGTGTTATATTCACTTTGCATGATGTGCCTGATGTATGTACTTCCCAATTTTTAGTGCCCAGTAAGTGATTGTGACCTTGTAATACTTGGATATTATTTCCATATAGTGCTCCACTTTATGAAATACTAGTTACACTCATGATAATACTATCATGAGTGTTACAGAAAAACACACATTAAAATTATCATTTAAAAAAAAGAATCAGGTTAATCATTGTAGGGCATAATTAATGGTATTGATTATGCTTCGTTGTTGTAGAATCATTTTCTCTTTCAGGATTTTAAAGGATAACTGGACTGGAAAGTGGTAGAGAATCATTAGCCATGTGATAATTCATCTTTTTTGAATAAAATAGCAATTAAAATGGTCAGCGGATGTCACCAGGAAATTCAGACTAGAATTCCAGAATCAGATTCTACATCTTTTTCAGGGGCAATACAATTGTGGAAGGAATTAGTTTTGGAGCAGAAACTTGTTGCTAGGCTATTTCCCAACAAGTATTTTCCTCAATTAACCTCTCCCTCCAGCTTCTGTTAATGGGAGTGCAATGTGAGCAGGTATCTTTCCCCATCTCCATGCATATTATGAAAGAGAGATAAAATTGGTGATGTTTTCATACTACATAATTATAGATCTATGAATCTACTTTAACTGTCATGCCTTATGGGGACCCCATCAATTTCATAAGGTTTTCTTATGCAAGGAATGTTCAAAGATGGTGTTGCCAGTTTTTTCCTTAGACACGTATTTAGTGGTATCTGATATTCATTGGCTGTTTCCCATCAAATACTAACCAATGCTAACTCTGCTTAGCTTCCAAGATGAGATGGAATGGGTCTTTAATGCATTTCGGCTCTTTATATTGCCTTTTAAAACTAGCCTAAGTTGGGTTACCTCTTTGTAAGGTTTTCCAGTATTTCTAGCTGCATGTTTAAAAGCTGTTTTAAATATAGTGTTTCCATTGCAATATAAGTTGCTGTTTTATTAATGTTAATCTTACCTGTTTAATGCATTAGTCTTATTTTGAGAACAATGCTTCTATCTTGTAATTGTTGACTGCAGTACAAAAATAAAACATTTTAAGACTAATATGACAACAATACAACATTGTCATTAACCTACAATCCCATGTAATGCAACTCAGAACACTGTACTAATAAACATTAGATTAAAAAACCATAATATGATATAATGGTTTGGTTATGTTACTATATTTTATGTGTAAACCATCTAGGGAGGTCTAGATATATGTATAAACAAGGAGAGTACACAGAGGAAGGGATGAAATTCTGTAGCATTTTTGCTCTGGAGTCTCCTCAACATTCATACACAGAGATGATTTTAAACAGATGAAGAAACATCTCTGCTTCCCCTTGTTACATCTGGCCTGGACCAGACTTTAT